GTGTATTTTTTATAAAAAATCAACAAACACTCAACATATAGCAATGGCAACAAAGTCAACAAGCAATTATAACAAATAACTTAACGATTAATAACGATAGACTTTTTACTGTACGCAAGCGTACTTTTGGGAGCAAGCGGAACGAGGGCGCGGTGCGGGACGCAAGGTTCGACTGATCTACCAATAACGCGNAATCAACAAACACTCAACATATAGCAATGGCAACAAAGTCAACAAGCAATTATAACAAATAACTTAACGATTAATAACGATAGACTTTTTACTGTACGCAAGCGTACTTTTGGGAGCAAGCGGAACGAGGGCGCGGTGCGGGACGCAAGGTTCGACTGATCTACCAATAACGCGCTCGATACGATTTCCCCTGCCGTCGCGCCTCACTCTCACCACCAAAGTGATCTAAAATTCGGTTCTGCGCAGTCAAGGTCATTTGCTCACGAAGTTTGCCGGTTACTATAATGACAATCACTTTGTCTATTGTTTCCGATATAACCACTTAAGCGGGCGGTAAGCTCGTCTATCCTAACTAAACAATAAAAAAACTATTCCGAAGACCGTACAGTCATTCCTTTCCAATGACTTTAGAAGAAGAACAGACTGAAAAAGTAAGTATGTATAATTATGCAAAATCGTAAAAATGTAGTTTGAAAAGCAAATGAACTAAAAACATATATTTAAATCCTGGTAGAATTACAAATACAAAAATGTACTGTCATCGGTCCAAGATAAGTATGTTTTTCAAGTGAATTTTCATCGAACTGTTTTGAATGATTCTGTAGCGTACTACGCATGCTTAATAATAGCTTAAACTAAGGTTAAAATGAAAATTGTTGGGAAATAGGAAAAATGTACTGTCAGTTAAAACTTGTCTCATTTAATTACTTATACTTCTATGGAAATAGCCTGATGAATTAGTAAATGATGTATTGTAAGAATAGTTGATTAAGTAATTATTGATATTAAGCGATTTTCCATTATTCATTATAATTTTATAGACAGTTTTCTCTCAAACCCTTAAAAGTTTATGTTAGCTTAGTGTATTATCTATGGTCAACGTCATTTTACAAGATTTATCAAAATTTGCACGAGTAAAAAAGACAAACTGCAGATTTTCCGTCTAGAATAACAAACGTAAACTTTTGTCGTAGGTTTTGGGCTTGAAAAAATGTATTTTCTTTATAACTTTGGACTTGAAAAAATGTATAGCTTTGGACCTAAATCTTAATTGGTTAGTCTATTATTAGGCTCGCGATATAGAAATACAGGTCAAGTTAATAAAAGCTGGTTAAATCTTTGCGGTAGAATAAGCACCATGAGGTTATTATCGGTTGAGTTGCTGGCTGGAGTTAGGTGTGAGTAGTGATACAGCGGACGAATCACATGGAGCCGGTAGCAGAGGTTTTTTTGTATAGTTTTATAGTTTCAGGGACGGCAGTGCCTCTTCTGAATTATATGTTACTATTTGCTATACTGGTGCTACTTGATAGATGAGTAGAGGTATTCACGTGATGACTATTAAATAGGTTGTCTCCAGGCTTATGGTGGAATTTACGTTGTAAATGTCTATGGACTACGGTAGCTACTTAACACCAGGTTGGCTGTGAGAACAGTCAAAAATAAACTTACTAGGCTCTTCTGACTTAGAGGGAGACAATAAACGGATAGAAAACAAAATGAACGTCAATAATGATTCATTAAATTATGTGTTATTATTAAACATTATGTACTTCTTTATGTTAATGAATGTGATGCAAACGACCTTCAATATAATGCGGGAAGTTTTTCTTTCCAGTAAAGGACGACATTTGAAATATTATATATTGGACTGCCTTAAGCACACAGAAACAATAAAAAAACAACAAAAATATACACAAAACAATTTATTTTTATTACAATACATACAAGAATAATGACGTCGTTATTTTAAAAATATTAGCGTCGGAAAAATGAATTACAACAAAACCGTGTTAGTTAGTCTTGACTGCGACCTCGGTTACGTTTTAAAAAACACTAATTACATATACGACATGCAACACAAGAATCTACAATAATACAACTAAAACATGTATTGTAATTGACACAATTATTATACATAAAATATAGCCTTCGTTTATGTGGTCTGCGTGAAAAACGCCACTTTGTATTATACTGTGCTTGGTTTCGCCTTCAGTGACGTGAGTAAAAATCATTTGAATTTAAAATATAACTTATTAAATATAACTTGATACACGAGACAGTAAAAAGTAAATTTGTTTTTCAATCGCTTGATGATGCGTGTATGCACTGTCATATGTGCGTGTCAAGTTATATTTAAAAAAAAAACGATAACAACTATTAATGTATTTTGATTATTTCAAATAGTTAACTGCCACTTAATCTTGACTAGATTTAATAGAAAGATCAACGGATTTTGCTACAAATAATTATTAATGTCATATATTTTAGATACTTTAACACTACAAGTCCGACTGGCGGGCTTTTGTGAGTTTTCGTGAGTTCGTTGTTCCGGGCTGTTGGCGAAGATGATATATAAATAATGTTTACACTGATTTGGTATGAGGTTTAATATAAAAAAAACGACACAATAACTAACAAAATACAAAATGAGTTGAGAATCGAACAGTTACACTAAGACTCGCAATATCTTACTGGTCGTCGTCGCGCGCGCTGAGGGCGTGTGTTTTCGCGCTCAGAGAGCTCTGTTTCAGCGGGCGGTAAGGCGGCGGCGGGGGCGGTATCGCACGTTCGGAAATTACGTTCCGTTATATCCTCCCCCTCCGAGTCACTAGAACGCCTCGTTGGTGGCTCGGCAGAAACAACAAGGCGGGGCCGTCCACGCAGGCGTCGAGGCTGTACTGGAGCTGAGACCTGACCGGTTTGATTATGATACGGCTTCAAATGAGNTAGCTGCGTTCGTTGAAGGGTGTCGATCAGCATGGTGATGTCTTCCGGGCGGAAGCAAACACTGGCGGGCGGCGCGTCACTCGACGGCGCGTGGGGCGGCGACGCGGCTCTCGCGTCGCGCTCCTCGGAATTCGGCATCTTCTTTGGCGGCATTATTTGACGACGGTTTAGTCGGTAAAGTCAGGAAAACACAAATCGTTCATGTAGGCGCAATAATTTCATATAAATATCACTTCACAGCTAAACGTTCGGGCGCCATTTTTAACACTACAAGTCCGACTGGCGGGCTTTTGTGAGTTTTCGTGAGTTCGTTGTTCCGGGCTGTTGGCGAAGATGATATATAAATAATGTTTACACTGATTTGGTATGAGGTTTAATATAAAAAAAACGACACAATAACTAACAAAATACAAAATGAGTTGAGAATCGAACAGTTACACTAAGACTCGCAATATCTTACTGGTCGTCGTCGCGCGCGCTGAGGGCGTGTGTTTTCGCGCTCAGAGAGCTCTGTTTCAGCGGGCGGTAAGGCGGCGGCGGGGGCGGTATCGCACGTTCGGAAATTACGTTCCGTTATAATACACAAATAAAAAATAAAAAATCAAGCTTTATCATTCACCAAATAAACGGTAGCTTCTGTTCGTTCATTTTGTTTATTTATGTCTTCTTTAGACCAAAACATATAAGTATACAGTCGTTTTTTCCTTATTGTCTGATAAATGTAATCGTTAAGTAGTTATTGAGCGTCTTAACAAATATATCGAAAACAGAAGAAAAAAAACAGGTAATTTATTTCTGTTATGAAATCATTGGTGCGACACTGGACTATTGATTATAGAAGAAACATTCGGTCTTTCATTCTATAAGTCGGTATTCGTGTAGGTATGTATAGATTATGATACTCCCCTTCCCATCGTATGCCAACAACCCTCTGAACAAGGGCGAGGGTTCTGACTGACGAAAAGGGATGCCAAAACTTTACGCTTGTACCTACCTATTGACAAAAAAATTGTTGTTTTTCCCGCGTACGCCAAACTGTAGTATTTGTATTAGCATATAAAAACTAGCATAGATATATATTTTAATAAAATAATCGAAATTACTCGGCTTCTCGCTTCTGTTTACCATGTCTAGAATGAGCGGCAGTGATCGTGATCGGTGTTCGATGGCACAAAAAAAAATTAGCACCAGGTTTTGTTTGAAGTTTGATGATGGAAGAAATAAAGAACTGATACGAGAAAGAGATACTTCAGCACTAGAACCATGTGGATAAGCTTGGAAGGCCAATGAAGGAAATAATCCCTGTTCCTAATAATATAAGATCCTTTAAAACGCATTGCAGGATGAATAACGCTATTGCCGTAAGTGAAATGTACTCCGATACAATAACTTGATGACATAATAATATTAAACAGGTACCTACGTTTCTCGTTATGCTCCTTTGAATACCAGAATTTAACCTAAATTTAAACAAAAACATAACACGGTCACGATAAGTACTTACATAGTTTCCACGTTTTCAGTAAGTCTTTCCGTCCTCTAATTTGCATATGAACATGTAGTGTGAAATGCTCTATTGTTTTGGCTCCAACTACTTACATATATATTGCTTTTACGGTACTAGATATGGCCACAAATGAAAAAAAGACCAATCTAAAAATAGTGTTGTGTAGTTATGATTTAACGCTTTTTTTTGCTGACGGTAGGTAGGTTCGCATTCATATTTGGCAGTGGTTAAGTAAGTACGTATTCGTTACTGCTGGTAGAGTACATTGTAAGTCAAAGTAGCTAATAAGTACAAAAAGTAAGCTAGAAGCCTTTGAAATCCTTTAGAACAGAAGAAAAATTACGTAAATTGAACATGAATATAGGTAAATAGGTAGGTAGTACATACCGCTATGTATCTACCGAGCGTCATATAACTTTTCGAAATAAAAAAACCCCATTAAAACTTCGCAAAATCACAGCCTACTAAGAGATGATTATACATACCAAAAGGACCCTCCAGCATATCATGATTTAGAAGTTTTCATTTAAGCACGAATAGACACGTAGACACACACGTAATTAACACAGCTAATCTTTATCAATGAGGCTGTTTTGGTGATTTTCATAAATCAATGTGCCGAATCGATAACATTTAAACTTATTCAATAAAGAGACATTTGGGTCCGGCTTCAGTAAACCATTTTATTTCAGCATTACACATCCGTTATAACAACTTGTAATTTTGAAACATCTGTTATGTGTTTGTTTCACCGGCTTACTCTCGGCTCTCTGGTTTCCAATAAAAGCAGTAGCTTGACTGTTGTAACAAATATATTACAGAGAATAAAGTATATTGTAGTAAATTACATTTAAAATAATAATAAATAAATCTATAGCTTTATTACTAAATAGATATATATCATTAAAAAACAGTTATATTACAATCGTTATGTTTACACATACACAGATATATTTAAGTTATAGATTAAAAATAGCTTTAATTATTTTCATTAAATCTAACAAAATAAAATCTGCACCATTAGGTATATCCCCTGTTGATTTCGTAAATAATCTTTATTTCCGTTAATCAAGAGAATTCATGAAAGTATTTACAATAATTAAAATGGATCGTACCTTATTCGACACAAAATAAACTCTCTCCTTAAATAATGTCACAGAAACATTTCCAAAAAATACGTTACAGCTTACGAGCACTTCCATATGCAAATCGCTTGGTTCCCGCCAAAATACATGTAACATATCGTTGTGCACTCGTACGTGATTTCGAAGCCGTAACTCTCGCCGACGACAACATGGAAGGCGGGACCGAACTTCTTGTCCATGGACTCTTTGACCATTCTCGCGGCCAACTCATTGTTCTGTGCGAATTTCTCGCAAGCCGTCACGGAAAGTTCCACTGCCTCCGTCCGCATCTCTTCAGACATATCTGAATGCTGGGAACAAATGAAATGAAATGATGTTATTAAACATAATGTCTAGGGGCAAAATGTTTAATTTAATTTTAAAAAACCTAAATGTAATCTATCATTAGTGTAATACCACACGGGTAAAGTACCATTAGGTATCCTGCCCATTTCCGCAAAGTTGCTGGTAATATTTATGTTGGGCTCCTGTAACCACTTGGCACTAGATGAGCCGTGAGTACCTGGACTCGTTTAGTGCAATTTAAAATGTGTCGTTTCGCAATAATGCACATATCTATATGTTAATACGTGAAGCAAAAAGTTTGTACCCCTTTTTTACGAAAATTGCGCGAACCGAGTACTATGAAATGTCTTACACTTATAGAGAATATAGAGAAGGAGTGCAGACTGTTGATATATATTTTTTTATTTTGCATAAAAAATACATTACACACAATCGCATGTATTTGACACAACACATACCTATATATTATATGAATATGTCATACATACATACATATTATATGAATTTGGTCACTTTCGCTAAGGACTGCTTGGAAAGTGACATATTCGAAATCTATTTACCATTGATTAAAGTAGTAAACCATTTACTTGAAAACACAACTCCTCCATCAATAATCTATATTTTAACTGAAGGAAATCGATCCAAAAATAAGGATAGGTTGGTAGTTTTTAATTTTAAAAATCGATATCATCTAACAACAAACTATTGGCAACTATTTTTAGACTTAAATTTGATAGATGGGCACACTATCCGGGGCCTACAGACAAAATTCCCACTCCTCCTGGCTGAACCCTTGCTCGCCCACCTGTCCTGGTGAAACTTTTTTTTTCCTACCTAAGCTGATATCCTTGAGAGGCTATTTCAGCCTAACCTTAACTAGTAGGTGAGCTCACGGGGCTCAAACCGGAGTGATGCTAACACTGACCCTAGAAAGACTAGTGCTTCGCAGAATCTACCACCAGATCGGAAATGCAACCCACTGAGAAGATCCGGCGAGAAACTCAGTGGGCTGTGTCTATGGGTTAATTCGCTCATCGAGCCCTTCGTTGCAAGCGACGGGTTCGATGAGGACGGTGGCCTGTGCTTGTGGTACCTAAAAGTGGTGAAACTGGAAAGGCCTCCGGGCCACCAGTAATCCCGCAATAAAAAAATACAATAAAAAATCCTAGGTAGGCTGATGTCCGCACTGTGACATAGCACCGACCTTCCAACTAGTGCTACCCGCTTGCGGCTCTACTATGAAGTCTTTTAGTCTTATAGTTTTACAACTTACGTTACCACCAATGCAGTAACACTACTCTATGTAACAATAGAAACAAGCTGATACTGATGCTCTATATTTATTTTATAGTTTTATAAGATTCAGCCATAAAAACCTTATAAAGTTTTTTTTTATTGCCTTTGCAGGCATACAGACGAGCATACAGCCCACCTGATGGTAAGTGGTCAGCATCGATCATGGACGTCAGCAATGCCAGGGGCAGAGCCAAGCCGCTGCCGCATTAAGTACTCTCCACAAGCCTCGTTTGAAGAAGGACATGTCATAGCGCTCGGAAAATACCGTTGAGGGGAGTTCATTCCAAAGCCGGATGGCAAATTCGGTGGCTAAAAAGATCTTTGGAAACGCACTGTCGATGAACGCAGCGGTTCCAGATAATATGGATGAAGTCTACTCCGATGGCGGGAGATGCGATGGTAAAAAGATCATCTCGAATAATTCCTATAAAGTATGACGTAGGCACACATAAAAAACGTACCTACTACTTATTACAATAATAAATTAAAAATGAATGAATTACTGAATACGTATTGAATAAAAAAAAACCCTTTCGGGAAACGTACCGAAAGTACCAAATAAGATAAACAAAACCAATCGCAACTTATATTTTTAGTAATTAACAATAATAAATGAATCTGTAATGAAATGGAAACGAGAGAATGCGTCCACCTGCCAAAGCAAACGCTTTAAGTGCTCGCGATGACGGAACGGACTCTCCGAAGGTAATTTCATTTCTTTTTTTTTTAGGCGTTATTACGTAAGTCTATAAATTTAAATTATGTAAACAAATCGAAATGGTTCAAATTTCTGTTCATGTATACCTAATATTATAATGGACGGCTCGCTCCAGAATTCGATACTTCTACTCGAAAAATCACTGAACATCAGCCATCAAGATACGGGTAACCGGAGTCTGGTGGTAGGACCTCTTGTAAGTCCGTACGGGTAGGCACCACCACCCTGCCTATTTCTGCCGTGAAGCAGTAATGCGTTTCGGTTTGAAAGGTGGGGCAGCCGTTGTAACTATACTGAGACCTTAGAACTTATCTCAAGGTGGGTGGCGCATTTACGTTGTAGATGTCTATGGGCTCCAGTAACCATTTGACACCAGGTGGGCTGTGAGCTCGTCCACCCATCTAAGCAATAAATAAATAATAAATAAATGAATAAATAATAAATAAGGCACCACCACCCTGCCTATTTCTGCCGTGAAGCAGTAATGCGTTTCGATTTGAAGGGTGGGGCAGCCATTGTAACTATACTGAGACCTTAGAACTTATATCTCAAGCTGGGTGGCGATTTACGTTGTAGATGTCTATGGGCTCCAGTAACCACTTAACACCAGGTGGGCTGTGAGCTCGTCCACCTATCTAAGCAATAAATAATAAAAACTATGAACATAGACACCACCTGTTAAAATTAAATAACACCCGTGCCAACCTTGAACTTTATAAATGTATCTAAGTCCAATGAGCACTTGTACCAATTATGATTTTGGAACAGAAATACGAAGGAGCGCGCGGCCACCTACAGATCCATAGCGGCTTATATATCACCATTATTTGACCACTAATTTGTACAATTCCAAATCCTAAGTACGTATCTGTCTTTTGTCGTAGGTACCTGCGGTGCGGAGAGATCTGTTTACATTGTGATATCCGGTGATTTGCGATATCTACGTTATTTGATATTCGTCTTTGTCTATTTAGAGAGAGCTTGACCGTCGTTTGATCCACCAGTTTTTCGTCGAAAAGCTCGACAGGTGACGGGTTTTATATTACGAAGCGAATTTCTGATTAGAAAAAAAATATATTTACAGCAAGCATATCGAATAGAAAAGGGGAACTTTTATCTTGAATAATTTGCACGAATTAAATACTCAAAACTTACATTAATAGGTAGAGGCTAGGTCGTGAATTACACGAAAATATTTGATTAAATGGAATTCGTTGATCCATTGGTATCTTTGGCCTCCGATAGCCGGCTAAGACTCGTATCGGACCGAGAGGACTGGTGGTCGTGGCGCCGACGACCGCCAGTCCGGCGTCCTGAGAGAGAGGGTGATGGGAGAGATGTGCTCCGCACTAAACGCTTCACTTTCCCCCCTTTACCTTTTCATGAGTTCTGTCTCATGCGAGGTTTGGATGCTGGTTGTTGAGCGACAGGAGGTTTTAGTCGGTTCAACTCCGACATGCCCCGCCCTCCATCCCCAGTGGAGGGCGGAAGTCCGGCGATTTCCTCCTGACTAAAAAAAAAGAAAAAAGACTCGTATCGGGGCTCATGTTAGTAAACATTAATGAACACGAAAGCACGTGATGGTATTTGATCCTTATCGCGTGGCCTTGACAAAAACAAGACTAAGACTGTGGTAATTCCTATTGAAACGCTGATGATTACTTCATAAATTTACTTCACTGACGATTTTAGTCGTCGTCGTGGCCTAAAGGATAAGACGTCCGGTGCATTCGTATCTAACGATGCACCGGTGTTCGAATCCCGCAGGCGGGTACCAATTTTTCTAATGAAATACGTACTTAACAAAATGTTCACGATTGACTTCCACGGTGAAAGAATAACATCGTGTAATAAAAATCAAAACCCGCAAAATTATAATCTGCGTAATTACTGGTGGCAGGACCTCTTGTGAGTCCGCACGGGTAGGTACCACCGCCCCGCCTATTTCTGCCGTGAAGCAATAATGCGTTTCGGTTTGAAGGGTGGGGCAGCCGTTGTAACTACTGGCATTTACGCTGTAGATGTCTATGGGCTCCACTAACCACTTAACACCAGGTGGGCTGTGAGCTCGTCCACACATCTAAGCAATAAAAAAAAATAAAAAAAAATATTTGGCCTTACGTATCCACGGTTATCCACCTGTACTTACTTGCCGCCAATATTTTTATAAATCAAAATTAAACGAAGTTACACCTACACAGATACGTACCTACTTGCATTTGTACGAAATAAAAACTAAATTACTTCCGCTTGTTCGTGTCTTGATCCCATTAACAATTATTTTTATTATCTAATTTAATAAAACTTTTTGCAACAGATGTTCATTTGGATGTATGTATTTAAATTAAATATATTTTTTAATTAGTAATAAATATTTTGTAATTACAGCTCGTGACTACACAAACAGCTGTGGCATTTAATACAAATTAAAAAAGTAAATAGCTATGGTATGTTTTTATTATATTATTATGTACGTATAAAATACAGAAATTACCCAAACTACCTCCCAATAACGTCGCTTAGAAGGGACTGTGTTAGTGTGTTATATCCGGACCAGTACGAAATTCCAAAAAAATAATTAATTTTGGAACTAAAATATTTTAATTTTGTTTTTTAAAACATCCTATTTCTTTGTTTCGTTTATAATTAAATGAATAACCTAGTCGTCAATATTTTTTTCAACAATCTGGATAGTCGTTATGTTTCTATATGACATAAATTGGATCAGAAAGGATGGTATTTTATGAAATAATATAAAAAATTATAATACAACATTAAAGCCAACCGAACTCTTGATTTTTACGTTTTTTCACATTTTCGTGTAGCCTCAATGAGTATCAAATATCAATATAAAAAGGACTCGGAGGTGTTATCAATGATCATACAAACACGCACGGCCATTGATTTAAATATATTTATTATTATTAAATATATTATATTTAAACTCTCTGCGCACGGCGCTAATGGGGATGTGAAAAACTGGGACTTAGAACTCATGTCTGACGGCGGGTTGGTGTTTACGTTGTGGATGTCTATGGCTTTCGCGCGTCCGCCAACCTGAGCAATCAAAAAAAATGGTACATAACTATTTCAAAACTCAACTGTAGGAATGCATACAAAACAACTATTAATATTAATTAACGTATCACTATTGCAAAATTCGTAACTTTGTTTAATATGTTGCATATTTTTACGCGGTAATAAGTTTTATTACAAAAAAAAAAAAAAAAACTAGAACGACTAACTATGTTTTTATTTCAACATTACATTATTCTGTAACCGAGGCCCCTATTACAGACGTCAAGGACGTCAAGGCCACTGCCTAACTTGTGATATCAGGTCGAATTCTGATACTCGCTTAAATACTCGATCCTGTAGACCGAATGGTAAACAGCCGATGTCGCCCAAAACACGTCATTACGGATCCTTCCGATCCATTAACGGTGCTTTTAGGTACCACAAGCACCGGTCACCGTGCTCGTCGAACCCGTCGCTTGCGATGAAGGGCTCGACGAGCGAATTAAGCCACAGACATAGCCCACTGAGTTTCTCGCCGGATCTTCTCAGTGAGTCAAGTTTCCGATCCGGTGGTGATTCTGCGAAGCAATGGCTCTTGCTAGGGTTCGTGTTAGCAACGTCGTCAGGTTTGAGCCCCGTGAGCTCACCTACTAGTTAAGGTTACGCTGAAATAGCCTCTCAAGGCTATCAGCTTAGGTAGGAAAACAAAATAAAAAATACTCGCTTGATAGTGGTAAATCGCTCTTTAGACTGTACCACCTAATTTCTTCGCGTCAGAAATGGGTAAGATAGTAATACCGACTCATATGGAGTTTGTAGCCCTTAAAGCACTAGGTGGGTTGAAGATTTTAATTCCCACCTGGTGTTATACGATTACCGGAAACCACATAGTCCGCCAGCCACCTTGAGATACGTCGCTTGCTCATTTCACGAGTTCAAAGTCTCAACCGATTGTATGTTTACTTCATAGCCGAATGCATGACTGTTATTCGCATAGAAAATAGGCAGGGCGATATTATTCAACCATGCAGGCTCACAATACGCCCTACCACCGTTCATTACATAAATTCTAAAGGGTGAGAGATCAAAATACATATAACGTATAGGTAATATATTTTTTTGTCTAAGTTAGGACAATTTACAAAACCGCCAACTTTAATGTTGTAATAACTTTATTGTTGCTCAATAAAGGTAATGTAGATGGAACTGCAAAGCTCTTTATTTACAAGTCATACCTGCAGTAAGAACGCATTAAGAAAAAAAACAGATTTCAGGATATCCCTTAAATATTAAAAAAAAACGAGTGTCATAGAAAAAACATTTTAAACTAGAGATCTTGCATCAATATGTAAACAAAAGTATTTTGATTAATGGCAATATTTTTATTACATACGATTATAAAAAACTATGTATTAAATAATGAACCCACTCACTCTTATTAACGGATACGTGTGGACCACCTTTTCGGCGCCTCCCTGCGTTGCGGCACCTTCTTCGGCCATAGCACAACACAATGCACAATAATATTTCGGTAAATCAAATACGAAAATGAGCTGCGCAACGTGCACTTCCGAGCACCGCGTCTCGACACTGTTTACGCGTAGCTATGACAACCGACGGGAAGGCGGGAATATTGCAATTGATTTTTCTCAGCGGCTGTAAGCTGCCAGTGCGTTTTGCTCTGTATCTGAAGGAAATAAGACCTAATGGACAAATCTAAATACAACTTTAAGTTCATAACTCTAACATGAGAAAAATTTACTCTGTTTTGGAACTACCAGGAGATTAAGTCAGTCTATTCGCGACGAGACTTCATCTGGGCGCTAATGCAGCATCAGTGCATGAGCCCACTGAGCTTCTCGCCGGATCTTCTCAGTGGGTGGCGATTCCGATCCGATGGTAGATTCTGCGAAGCACTGCTCTTGCTAGGGCTAGTGTTAGCAAATTCTCTCAGGTTGGGCCCGTGAGCTCGCTTACACATCCGGTGAAGTTAAGATAACCCCTCGAGATTAACAGCATAGGTACGGAAATAACTATAAAGTTATTTATATCGCCGGCGTTTAAAATAACCTACTTTACTATATAAAAAAACCGGAAATGTTATTCTATACTTCAGAAATATGTTCCCGGATACTCATAGTTTAATTGCTTTACGTTGTTCATAACACAGGCAGTAGCCCCTAGCTGGTCTTCAACTATTAACTGCCAGAATTTAAATAAGCAAAGAGGTCCGCATCACCAACACCTCATTTTTTGCGTAGTAGGTACCTATTTCGTTGGTTGTATATTTCAGTCAATCATTGTGTCAAGGTCCTGCGTGGGAATCACCCAGAGTCTCAATGATGTAATTATTATAATCACTTGTATCCAGCTCGTTTTTTACTTGTTGATGTGGTAAAATATATTCTCAGATTAAATTACTTAGTAAGCTGTATAGATATCTTTTACACGAAGTACTTTAAAAGGTGTCCAAATTTATTTTCTAAATGTACGTGTTTTATTGAACGTGCTTAAGCTCAGTAGCTGTACGTTATTGTGAAAGTTTTCGTTAGCGCATTTATTCTATTGGGTCGATGGGTAATTCGTTTCATGCCAGTAAGTTGTCCATCTCAGATTATCATACCTACAAGGCCCAGTACTGATTGTAGTCTGCTGTGAATCATAACTACATTTTAATATTAAAAGTTAGTGCCGTGACCGTCGGTACAAATGACTTCGTCGTGAGCTTCGATTATCTATAGCGATATGATGAATCCGTAAGGGTCTGCGTCGCAGAACCACGAGACAAATCCATTAAGACTGCAATTACTGTCTAAAACAGCAGCGGTTACACAGTAGGTATCTCTAGAAGGATTTCTTGCGACTCCTTACCATACCTGTAGACTGGATGAGTACGAAGACAGCTCTCTCTAGAACTTTTAGTCTATTGCAACCCATACCGAGTGATTCCTAAGTGTGACGGTCATTGAATCTGTACAGTAAGTATTAGCGGCTAGTTTGGAGTCTCCGTGTATTCGCATTTCTTAAATTGGTTACCACTGGTGCCAGAAGTTGAAAAGCCACTTAAATATCAAAAACGATTTATAGATTGGCTATCAAACGCTGGACCCAGGTTTTAATATGCACAACCTAGTATAGTGTACATCTTAACATTAAGTAAATTACATTACACAAATACTTTGGTCGCTCGCAGGCTCCATTGTATGCTCACCGTCAGTCAATTACTTAGGTAGGTACCACTTTAGAAGATTTTGACAGAATATGGAAAAAATTTGAATGTCTCTATTTAGAAAAAAAGTTATTCATTTTACATATTTTGTTATTAAATTAAATTATCTACGCTTGTGGCCAAGCAGCTTGGTTTATTAAAGTTTCATCAAGTCAAATCATCGGTTTTCGCGGGTCTTAGATATAATTAAAATTGTTTTTACGGTTTAATCCCGCGATTTTTATTTCTGAATTTTCGAATATCTTACAGATTTTGTGGCCACGGACGAGTCAGTCGTATGAACACGAGATAACTACCAAGACCCATTGTTTATTTCACTTTATTTTTCTCGGGTTCGAAAAACGAATCCTTATAAAACACTGTTGTCTCTTTGGTAGTTAATGACAAAGTCGAGGATGTTCCACCGAGCGAGTGAAATTGGTCGATAGACCGACGTTCCGAAAGTTGTTGCTCGGTACTTATATACATATATGCAAACTTATCTTGGAAATATTGTTAGCGAGATCTATGCATTTGTCAAATATCTTGTATTCTATGATGGCTATCGCTACATCACTCCCCCCCATACCGGAGGACGTGCGGTTAACTTAGCATTGTCCGTACTGAAATTAGCTTGCTAGTGCCAGTGATACTCGAATTCTCCGGTGAGTCGAGACTGATTTTTGAATGCTACCTTAATGTCGTTAATGGTTCATGTGATACAGAGCTGCCCCGCCAGACGTATGTGACCCCAAGTGTTGATGACTAGATCGTGGGCTGCGATGGGTTGCAGAGGCTTGATGAGGCAGTGAGGAGGTATGCCGCAGGACCAGGAAGCACGGCAAGTCGGCTGCGATGGGCATGTTGAGGCTGTCATGCTCGTCTGCTGTGGCACGACTATTGTTGACTTACGATTTTAACTTCGAGAGTGCAGCAAGAAGGCAAGAGCGCGTCACGGTGTTTTAAAAAATATATGTTTGCACCAATGAAGTATTCACAAACTTATATAATTTAAATTATGCATAAGCGTAATAAATATTATTAGGTAATAAATATTATTAGCGTAAGAAAATCGGCAATTCTCAAAGTGATTGGCGGCCCATCGTGATGTTTAAAGGCTTAACTATCTTTCTGTAGTTAAAAACAGAAAAACTTGCATTCGTAATTATCATGCAAATTAACAAAAAAAATTTTTATTAATTCATCAATCGAATCATAATATTATTTTTAATATTCACTGTACACAAAAGTGTTATAATAATAAATACACTTTAAATGATATATGTATATATTACTTATATTATAATATTATATTACACAAAAGTGAACTTATCTAGCCTGTGAACTTTAGGATATTCCTTAGATTTTAAACAATTTTAACCAAATGAATTAAAATAGAATACCGTTATATTTAATTTTATTTAAGTAAAATTGCCTCATTTAACTATATTTAAATTAAGTAATTTTGAAGTACATATTTTAAAATAAGTATTATTTACCATTTTTCATACAGAAAAAAAACCACAAACGTCATTTAATGTCGTATGTCATTTTCAGCTGTGTTGATAAAATGTAACGTCTTAACCTCGCAGTTTGTCAAATTTAATCGTACATCACATTTATTATTTACTTCATACCAAGACGCCTGTTCAATAATAAAATGGCATCTCGATTTAGTGGTGCATTACAACTTACGGATCTTGACGATTTCATAACTCCTTCACAGGTATGTTTTTTTGTTTTCAATAAAATCCTGTGCTGGCGAAAAAAATATATAATTCAAATATAACTTTTTTGTAACAATTCATTTCATTTTAGTTCAATTCTTATTCAAATTTTGTACCAATATACTTTGATAATATAATTATTCATAATATACTATAATTTACACAAGCACTATTAACTATCTAATCGAAATTGAGACAAAAAGAACTTTATAGAAAAAAATATTCTGAATTTAACAATCAGAGGTCTTATCATATAAGTGTTTTTTACGATTTCATACATTTACTCTATTTAGAACTTGTACTATAACAATAAATAAGTGTACACCCCATCAGTTATTAAGTGTTAACACACAAGCAAACTTATGAAAGTGAATCAGTCAGTAAACTTATTTATCATAAAGTTGAAATTTTTAGGAATGCGTAAAACCAATCAAAATCGACAAATCAAAAACAAAGACAGGTGCCAAAATAAAGATTGGCGAAGGCGGGTACTTTGATGTGTCAAGCGGAACAGAGCAGAAGTTGAAGAAAGTTGAAATCACCTTAGCAGACTGTCTTGCATGCAGCGGATGTATCACATCTGCTGAGAGTGTGCTCATTACTAAACAAAGTCAAGAAGAGCTACTTAAGTAAGTCCTGTGAGTTTTCATTACCAAAGAGAGTTTCTAACATAATATCACGAAATGCCTAACAAGTTAAAGAAGGAATAACTTTTAAGGTATAAAAAATAAGGGGGGAGTTGACGGGGTTATTAATTCCTGGCCACCTGGTCCATAAAGATTAAAGAAGCCCGTATACATCACTAAATGAATGCCGGCACCCACTGAGACACTGGATCAAAGTACATTTCATAAGAGCTGTGCCATTCTTCAAACCAAAAGTATGACTGCTTTTTGGCAAAAACAGGTGCGATGACGGTAGTCCTCCCTACAGGTAGCACTAGACACTTAAATGAATAGTAGTTCCTATTCACGGAACAAAAGTATAATTACCATTATGTATTGTTGTTAATGTTAATTATATTTTGCATAGTAAACATATTTTAATTTCAGGGTATTTTCAGACCGTAAATACACAGACAGTAAAGGAGTGGTGAAGGATGTTAGTTTAATAGTAATATCTCTGTCGCCGCAACCCATACTGTCACTAGCAGCTAGGTACAAGCTACCGCCTGAAGATGCCACAAATAAATTAGCAGGTCTATATTTATAATGATATTGTAATGAAAACATTCCAGAAATACTCAGCAGAAACTAACTGTATTGTGTGTCAAAAAACATTCACATTTCATCACTTTGCTATGAATACAAAATAAATAAAAACTGCTTAGTTTGCAGTAGATACTAAATAAATTTTCTGAGGATTTTGTTTGACATATGTGATACATAAATGGCATATATATTGTATTCCTCTATTACAATGAAACTTCTTGTAACAAGGTGGGTACCAACAGTCACAATATGATGTCAATAAGCTCTGTTTGTAACCAAACACCAAGTGTCGTGTAGACAAATCTAAAGGTTATGTAGATTTAATTGTAATAACAAATTACAAGATGATTTGGTTAATTTGGAGGTCCTTACAATGTCTACAAGTTTGAATTTAAAATAAATTTATTTAACTATGAAGTTAACTTTTAATTCATTATCACAGGGTACTTTAAAAGTCTTGGAGCAGATCTAGTTCTTGACATGACGATAGCAGAAGACTTATCTCTGTTAGAAGCACAGCAAGAATTTGTACAAAGGTATCAGGATCAACAGGCTGATCCCAATGGAAAATATCTTCCGATGTTAGCCAGTTCCTGCCCTGGTAAGCATGCTTTAGTTTGAGAATATATATTTTTGGTACTATATGCCTATTTCTGTTGCTATAAAATAATACCAATTTAAAAAAATTGAGCAGTAATTAATATCTTACTTTATATTTCAAGTTGACGTTAGATGGTGGCTTTGTTCATAAAGATGTACATTTTTACGAAAACTCTAATTAAAAACAATTAACCAACCAACTAATCGACAATTTTCAGGCTGGGTGTGCTATGCTGAAAAAACGCACGGTAACTTTATACTACCCTACATATCCACCACAAAATCTCCACAACAAATAATGGGTTCTCTGGTAAAGCAGTACCTGTCCCGTGCCAAGGAGCTGACTCCCGGAGAGGTGTACCACGTGACCGTCATGCCGTGTTACGATAAGAAGCTAGAAGCATCTCGGGAGGAATTTTACAATGATTTGCTTAGCTGTCATGATGTAGACTGTGTCATAACTGCGAGTAAGTATAAAATTGTTTATGAGAATTAATAATTCTTTCAATACTATTTTCTTTTATAATATTTAGACAGCTGTGGAATAAATTAGTGAAGCTTCCTTATTTGCATTGTAATTTTTCAAGACACATGTACGGCTGATTTTTGTAATATCTTACGATATATTCTAGAAGCAAAATATATTAATAAATTAATGGTTAAACAAAAGTCAGGGCAACCCTATAAATGTGAAAATTTTAGTCGAGCTAGAACAAATGTTGGACAACAGCAACATGTCACTAAACGATGCGGAGAGCTCCTCGTTGGACAGTCCGTGGGGCGAAGGGGCTCCCGCGGCAGTCCGCCGACACCGGGGCTCCGGCTCGGGGGGCGGCGCCGACCATGTCTTCCTCTACGGAGCCGAACAACTCTTTGGAGAGACCGATGCTCAACTCGTGTATAGGAATCTGAGGTGAGTCTGTTATGTTACGTTAGAAGGATGAGGTCGTGGTGGCCAGCTGCGCGGTCGCCGGACTCCGTTTGCTCAAGTCCACGTGTCAGTGGCACCTCATGTGATGCAGCAGCAAAATTACATTCTTTAAATGGTCGACGAGTTCATAGTTTACGTGCAGTACATACGCGTCACGAGCTAAAGGTCGCTAGGCTGCTTGAGACAAGAGGCTGTGGCTTCATTTGAACAACTTGAAAACTACCAGGTCCATTGTTATTGTTCGTTGGTCTTTGTAATCAAACCGCATAACACAGAAATATATGTTTTGCTTTACAACATTTTCCAGGAATCCAGACTTCAAAGAGGTGACTTTAGAGAGAGACGGCAAAGAGGTGCTTCGTTTCGCGATCGCCAACGGCTTCAGAAACATTCAGAATCTCGTCCAGAAACTAAAGAGGGGGAAGTCTCCCTACCACTACGTCGAAGTCATGGCTTGTCCTTCAGGTAGGTAAATTAGGAATAAGGACGCAAATGCTCAACTATCCGATGTAGTCAGAGATAAGTAAGAAACCAGATCGTGAGTGAGTTGGCTACTTTTAACCGACTTTAAAAAGAAGGTTCTCGATTCAACAGTTTTATTTATTACTTCAGAACTTTTATCTCCGTGAATTAATTTGAAGATTTTTTGATTTATTTATTTGAAAGCTGATGCTTCTCTTGTGATCCCATTTCAATTTTATCAAGATTTGACCTGTGGTTTTTCTTAATAATACTTTTTTAATTGTCCCAATGTAGTATTGTTGATATTTTCATTTTACTACAGTTGAAGTCGATTTTCTTTGTTGTTAACAAATTTTGTTTTACGGGCAACTAGAGAATGTTATGAAAAAAAAAGAAATAGCCTGAGCAACGTTTACGAATTTTTAAATACTTAACCTTTTTTGTTATGCTAAAATTTGGGCAGGTCAAATTAGCTAGCTGTGTAATATCTAAAACAGTATTATAATAAGGCCGCCCCCGCTCTCAGGTTGCCTCAACGGCGGCGCCCAGGTGCGGGCCGGGGGGGGCCAGGCGCGGGCCGCGGGGGGCGAGGCGGGGCGCGAGCTCGTGCTGCGACTAGAGACGCTGTACTCGCAGCTACCGCTGGCCACGCCCGCCGAGAACAAGTTCCTGAGGAAACTGTACACGGACTGGCTCGACGGAAAAGATTCGGATAAAGCCAAGGCCGTCCTGCACACCACGTACCGCGCCGTCGAGAAGTCCGATATCGCCCTTAATATTAAGTGGTAGCTGCTCGCGCTGACGGCCCGGGAGGGGGCGCCGCGGGGGGTTGGGGGGACCAACTTCTAATTCCACTTTATCATTGTAGGCCGAATTAAATGCCCACACTTCACGTATTAACGACTGTGTCACTACACATTGTGCTCTGAATAAAATGCGACATCGCGCGAGAGAGCTCTGTCTCAGCGGGGGGCAAGGCGGCGGCGGGGGCGGTATCGCACGTTCGGATACTTGGTTCCGTTATATCCTCCCCCTCCGAGTCACTAGAACGCCTCGTTGGTGGCTCGGCAGAAGCAACAAGACGCGGCCGTCCGCGCAGGCGTCGAGGCTGTACTGGAGCCGAGACCTGACCGGTTTGATTACGATACGGCTTCAAATGAGAAGCATGAAATTTCCCTAAAATCTGCGAATTCAAATCAGTAACCTCATAGGTAGTAGGACTAATGATATTGCTAATCTGTTAGGGTTCTTCACGCTTAGGCATGAACTGCTTCGTTCTACCTTTGGCGGCATCACTTAACAAGTGCGTAGAGAGAAGGACTAGATCACCTACTTGGTAACTGGGACCAGATAACCGACTTTTGTCGGATTGCAACTTCCTATCATCTTTATGATGTTCAGCGTAAGGCATTGGGTCTCCCCCTGGTGTGAAGACATCCTCATTGCACTGCAGGAGAGTAGCTAGGCGGTCACGCTCGGGAGGGCACAGCATAGTTCCTTCGTTTTCTCTTAAAAAATCAACAGCGGAACAAGGCGTGAGGTTACCGGAATATTCTAACTCCAATGGAAAAACTCGTTCAAAACCTTGGTAACGCCATGTCGAAGTATCGAAGTCGATGGCTAAACCAGCTGCTAGTAAAAAGTCTACACCCAATAATGTGTCATTATCCTGAGCGTCCGGGAATACGACGAATTCTATGGGAATCATCTTACCCGGTAATAACTTCACATCAAGTGTCCAAGAAAAGGCTGGTTTTGCTGTTGCAGTAAGGCGTAGAGTGAAGAACCGGCAACAGTTCGCTTGGCTTCGGTGTCGATTAAACCCCTACCTCGGATTCCTAAAATCTCTATACCTAAAATAGGTCGTCGTGCATTGCCATTTTGCGAAGAAGTTACAGACGAAAAGGTGACAGAACTTGATAGTTCTGGTGGACCACAGTAGGGGACCACAAATTTTAATGGTGATCCATTAAAATTTGTGGTCCCCTTAACCGCTGCATAAATTTCCAGTTTTTGTCCAGAAAATTTTTTGTTCACTTTACTTCTACTTTTGATACCAAATTCCTGGTTTTGTCCCGAATCATGGTCGCCCTACTCGGTGACGGACCACGTGACGTTTTACATTTATTTCTATTATTTACGACGTACTGATTATCACAAAATTCCCTAGGAGATACTGATTTCAATTCGCTAGGTACATGAATGCGGTTAAAACACTCCCCCTGCTTAACAGGACGAGATAAGGATGTAAACAAGGCATATCGTCGGAACGCGGCGAATTTGAATCAATTTGTTTATCAACATGTTTACGGGACGAATTTACATTACATTTACGGGCAAAATTATTATTTCCGGGAGGTGTACTTACATTAGTACATGATACCAAACTTGGCTGAGCAGTGGGTAGCGATGACTTAACATAATTTGGGCGCTCAGTATGAACACTACTGGATAAACACAAATCAGGTACAGCCCCAGTAAAAACCATAGGTAAACTTTCAAAATTACACCTGGGTGGACGGCTTACCAACATCTGTATGCTTAGTGCGAGTTTTCTAACATTCTCGATAGCGTATAAGATAGCTCATATTTGTATGGAATGGGAACGTTTGCCTACGTTTGCCGCTAGGGGCGCTGTTCCAACTGCATACAAAATTGGGTTAACTTTTACGCTATCGAGAACGTTAAAGAACTCGCACTAAGCACACTGATGTCTCAGCGGTCGTTGTACTTCGCGATCGCGTTCGCGGTATTTGAATGAAGTCGACCGCGGTAAAATTTTAACTACACTTGGAACAATTAGAACGTATGACTCCGCTCGCGCCGCCGCGCCGCCACCGTAACATTTATTATTTACTCTACTAACTACGTTATCGTTACTGTCATTCGCGGTTTGTTTTGATAACAATTTACGACACTGATCACGCGTTTTGTTTCCCCTACCTAAGCTGATAGCCTTGAGAGGCTATTTTACCGGAACCTTAACTAGTAGGTGAGCTCGCGGGGCTCAAACCTGACGACGTTGCTAACACGAACCCTAGCAAGAGCCGCGCTTCGCAGAATTTACCACCGGATCGGAAACGCGACCCACTGAGAAGATCCGGCGAGAAACTCAGTGGGCTGTGTCTACGGGTTAATTTACTCGTCGAGCACTTCGTCGCAAGCGAGGATGGTGACGGTGCTTAAGGTACCTAGAAGCACCGTTAATGGATCGATACAATATCAAGAGATATAACAATTCAGTGCCTTTTTCATGTCGACATCAAAGTACATAACATGTAATTTATAAGATGAATATAAATCTAGAGGTGTCAGTTACCACATATTATAGTCTGATCCGGTAGAATTCGTACAATTGTGCGCGTAAATGCTTCCCTTCGAATATCAATAACACTAATTATTCTTGATGTTCTGTTATTTCTATTTATTATGTGTTCTATTATATTTAGTTTATTCTAATTGTTATAAGAGGATTAGTGATAAGAAAGGCGATAGTTGTGATTTTCGTGTAACTAAGTTATTGAATAAATACGTTTGGTAATATCGAATCTGTTGTTTTTATCCATTACCTACGCATTTGATTGCCGTAAGAACGGCTGCTTTCTAAATACCTATTTAATTGTTTTCTATTGTTTTCATTAGCCAATCGGGACAATGTATAATGTCAATCTTTTTTTAATTGCTTTAATGGGTTACGAAGCTCACGGCTCACTTGGTGTTAAGTAGTCACTAGAGCCCACCAACATTAACCACGTCAATACCGCCACCCACCTTGAGACGTGAGTTCTATGGTCTCAATTTTATAGTACAACGATTACTCCACCCTTTAAACTGGAATGCATTATTGCTTCACGGCAGGAAAAAGCAAGATGATGGTACCCCACCGTGCGGGCTCACATAATACGCTATCACCAGTAGTTCGCCCGGTCATCGTTCTCGTCGAACACGTCGCTTGCGACAAAGGGCTCTGCGAGTAAACTAATCCACAGACACAGCCCAAGCACTGAGTTTCTCGCCGGATCTTCTCAGTGGGTCGCGTTTCCGATCCGGTGGTAGATTCTGCGAAGCACGGCTTTTGCTAGGGTTATTGTTAGCAACGTCGTCAGGTTTGAGCCCCGTGAACTCACCTACGTGTAGGGTTACGCTGAAATGGACTCATAAATTAGGTGAAAAAATAATAATTCGCGTTTAATTTAAAAGTAGCTCTGTCAGGACCTAGTCGATTTAAAATGTAATGTTAATTAATTAATTAAAATGCCTATGGTAAATTTACCAGAGGCATTTTTCACATTATTAATTATGTTCTGACAATTTAAAAACGTCGGTCACACCTTCTAAGCTCTACATACTCTACTCTAATTATCTGATAACATGGTATATTTTTGGTATTTCCCTTGATTAGACTGTAGAAGGTTAGTAGTTCAATGTCCACCTGATATTAAACAAGATGGCAGTACCTACCCTCTTCGGTTTGATAGCCACCCACTGGATTATGCAATATTTTACTAGTTTTCTTTTTATTATCCGTTCACCCGTTTCTATAAGCAAACTTATAATTTCTGGCTTTTCGAATGCTCTAGGAATACTTCCGGCATCTGTTATTCTATAGTCAATGCTTGTAGCATCTATCGGAAATTTGGTGAAACGATATGGAGCAAGAATTTCAAGAAAATTCTCAAACAAGATTTCGATGATTGATGGAATCAATTAAAACGCACGCATGTGCACGCTTTAAGGGTTTCCGAACGGTGTGAGGTGACAATATTTCAAAAGTTTACCCACTGAGTTACTCGTCCGATCTTCTCAGTGGATCGAGATTCCGAACCGGTGGTAGATTCTGCGAAGTACTGCTCTTGCTAGGGTTGATGTTAGAAAATTCTATCGGGTTGAGCCCGTGAGCTCACCTACCCGTCGGCGCGGCGGAGCGTGGCTGGAATAGCCCCTTAAGCTACCAGCTAATAGGTAGGGAAAAAAATAAAATCAACCGTCATTTCAGCGGTTCTTCGAATCAGCGACGCTAGGTACCTAGTCACGCTAGGTATCATTCGCATATGGTCGCATAAAGGGCAAGCGCGCCGTGGGCAGAACACCAGCCAGATGGTCCGATCTAGTAAGAGAAGCACTTGGTAGCTTGGTAGTCTGTACCATGCGGTTCACGGCACCCATGATCGAACACAGTAGAAGAACGTCACATGTGGTCACGATCCTCAGCAGTGAGGGAACGATATAGAAGATAGAAGAAGTAGGTATCATGATGCCACTGGCCCAGCGGTATCCTTAACTATTACGATGATAATTGAATTCGTCAAAAAATAAATATATATATATATATAACTAGTCAGGTCATAAGTATTGTCTCACAGTAAAAACTTTTCTTTTAGAATGCTGGCCACAAAAAAGTTTATTGAATTCGAATTTCGAATTGTTCATGAAAATAAAAAATGTATACTTTTAGAATTTTACTCATTTTTAAATATGGAGTGGACGCTTAAAGCAGATCGTGTTGTAGTTATTGCGTTGCATCGTTGCGGTTACACGCCAATTCAAATTTTTCACATACTGAAAAATTTGAATATAACCAAAAGATTCGTTTATCGTACCATCAAACGATACAATGAAGACTCTAGTGTAGATGACAGGTCAAGAAGTGGTCGCCCTCGGTCTGTTAGGACTCCAGCAGTGATAAAAGCTGTGAAGGCGCGAATTCAAAGAAATCCCAAACGTAAGCAGAAACTGTTGGCCCTTCAGATGGGGTTAAGCAGAACCACGGTGAAAAGGGTGTTAAATGAAGACTTAGGGCTTCGGGCATATCGAAGAAAAACAGGACATCGTTTGAATGCTCGTCTAATGGACCTGAGACTGAAGAGATGCCGCGCTTTGTTGAAGCGGTACGCGGGAAAAAAATATCGGGAAATTCTTTTTTCGGATGAAAAAATTTTTACCGTAGAAGAGAGCTACAACAAACAAAATGATAAGGTGTACGCACACAGTAGTGAAGAAGCGAGCAACCGTATTCCGCGTGTCCAACGAGGTCATTTTCCATCCTCGCTCATGGTATGGTTGGGAGTTTCTTATTGGGGCTTAACAGAGGTACATTTTTGTGAGAAAGGTGTAAAAACGAATGCAGTTGTGTATCAAAATACAGTCCTGACGAACCTTGTGGAACCTGTTTCTCATACCATGTTCAATAACAGGCACTGGGTATTCCAACAAGATTCGGCACCAGCTCATAGAGCGAAGAGCACACAAGACTGGCTGGCGGCGCGTGAAATCGACTTCATCCGGCACGAAGACTGGCCCTCCTCCAGTCCAGATTTGAATCCGTTAGATTACAAGATATGGCAACACTTAGAGGAAAAGGCGTGCTCAAAGCCTCATCCCAATTTGGAGTCACTCAAGACATCCTTGATTAAGGCGGCCGCCGATATTGACATGGACCTCGTTCGTGCTGCGATAGACGACTGGCCGCGCAGATTGAAGGCCTGTATTCAAAATCACGGAGGTCATTTTGAATAAACTTTAGTGTCATAAGAATCTATGTTTTGTTAAGTTCATTTTGGTACATGAATGGGTACATAATGAATAAACTTGTTTCAATTATTTTACATTAAACATGTGACAGAATTTATGACCTGACTAGGTATATATATATGAATCGAACATTACACAAATTTCAGTTAGCAACCGATTACTGAACGTAAGAAAGTTTGAAAAAATTTGATCACGAAATATAACTAATAGTAATGTTTAATTTAAATAACTGTAATGACCTTCCGTGCCCGTCGCGGAACATATTAACCGAACGAGGGCTAATGAATAATCAATTCGGCATCGGCAGTGTACAGTGTACAGTGCGAGCGGTATTGCGCCTCCAACAAATAATGTTTACATAACAACGCTGCAGCCGCAGTCTGCGAGTATCGTTGCCGTGAGATGAGTGGTCGCGAGCTGATCGCAGCGTATAAGATATGGCTCTTATTTGGAGCCCTAGCCGAAGTCGTGACGGGCACGGGTTTTGGGAGATGCCCGGCCTACCCGTCTCTACCGAATTTTAACGCACAGAGGGTGAGTAGCCAAATTTTAACAAATGTTTATGAGTATAAAAGTGTTTTTTTTTGCGTCGATAATCCTCAACGCTGAGGGCCGTGGCCTCATGAGGCTTTCTTGGGAAAATACACGTGGTGGGGTCCTACGTCTTTCCACGGCAGTGCTTTTTGAAGAGATTTAGTTCTTCGAGGGCGCTGAAGTCTTATTTCGGTCCAGCTAATTAACCACCGCCAGATATTCGGCGTTGACTGTTTTAGTGTGGAAAGGTCGAACTCCAACTCAACCTTCCTCTTTTCTCGTCCGGACTTGGGACCGGCATTGGCAGAGTTTGTTTTAGTATTACATCGTTTATGGTTATTGAAAATTTTGATAACACTATTGGCATACCTAATGATTCATAATTATCAATATTAAAAGTTGAAATAATACATAAAAGTTATACGATTTTTAATAAAATACCTGATCGATAATAGATGAAAAAGTTTAAATGATGTACCTATAACTATTAACATGAAATTCGCTTTGAGGTGTTCGTTGAAAATCAATTTTCGGAACTAATGAAAGTGATACAGTGATTTTATTGCTTTTAGAATTTACCAAACTTAAATTCTGTTTAACAAAATCACTGTATATTTCTATTAAACTATTATCGTATTGTACATATATGGGTATGTGTCGCGCGTATGCTGAAAACACGTGCATACGATTAACCTCCGATGCGTATTTAACTGTAAGTAAACTTTGTAATTGACTAAACAACTTCAACTGGTCGTAGTGTGAGCCCGCACGGTTACTGTCGTCTTGAATATTCTCAAGCATCATACGTATAGTACGAAAGGCGAGAAAATCCTTATACAAAACAATTAGGACAGACTCTAGAAAGATCAGTACAGATACGAATTTTATAAAAATTTCCAAAAGTTTCGATAACACAGAATAAAAAGAATCTACGTCCTAAAACTTAACAGGCTTCAAATATTAGTTATTAGTGTTTTATTTGAAAAACCACTGACACCCATGAGGTATCATTTTTGCCATATTGCTTGTCGCTTTGCCACACGATGCTTTTAGAGGTAGGGCATCTTGTGAGCCCGCACGGGTAAGTACCACCACCCTACCTATTTCTAAAGCGAAATCGATGACACGTTTAAAAAAAATTGGATCTCGGATCGGCGACTTTGCGTATCAGAAGCACGTGTGATAGACACTGAGGCGCGAGTAGTCAAACCAAAGCTCCTAACATGCCTACAAATAAGAGAAAGTAAAAACATTATTAATGAAAATGCATAACCTAATCCTACTAAGACTTACAAACTTCATTATATTCGTCTCTAATCGATTTGTTTGATTACGCTTTTTTATTTAAAAATCTGCAATACGTTGATAGCGTGTCAAACTTTCGCGATTGCAATATTGTGAGTTTTTATAGTTAGCTCCATTCTATCTACATTGGTATGCACATTAAGTTAATCTTCGTTAGACTCCTGTCCGTCCGACATTTTTGTCTGTTTAAACCACAGAATCAATTTTTATTGCTACAGATAAACAAAAATAGACCAAACTGAAAAATTAAATATCATAAACTTACAAACAACACATAAAAAAACGAAATTAAAATATTTCATAATAACTATCAATGGTAATTAATTATTGTATCTACTAAATGTGACCAAAACCCCGTCGCGCAAGACATTGCTTATCGGAAATGGCGTTGGACACACTCTACGGCGCAGCGGAGTCAACGCAGCATCAATCGCGTTTGAGTGGCAACCGCTTGGCAGGAGAAGACCTGGTCGCCCTGTACACACTTGGCGACGCACCGTGGAAAGTGAGATGAGGTCTGCCAACGTGACCTGGAGTGATGTCAAGGAGCAAGCGCAAGACAGGGTAAAGTGGAGACAACTTGTGAGGGCCCTATGTACCAGCGGGGTACCCTAGGACTACAACAACAACAACATCTAGAAAACCGAATACAGACTCACCTCGAAAAAAGGGCAAAGTTTAGTTTAGTTTAGTACATACAAAAATTGATATCATTATCATATTTTAACAAATGAGATGATCGTTCCACAGATGACCGGCATTTGGTACGAAGTGGAGCGTTCGTTCTACTTGGTGGAGATAGCCGCGAGTTGCACCCGCCTTAATGTCACCCTTAACGACAGGGGTTACTTCCAGATCACCGTCGATTCTGTCAACAGATGGTGAGGATACAATTTTACTAGAACTGCATAAAGAACAATCTAAATTTAAAACTGACATACCTTATGATGTATTATGTGTATGTAAGTATATTAGTATGTTTTGTATGTAAGTATGTATATTGGTATATATTTCATATTATATGTAAACGGTATATATTTTGTTTATTATATGTATATATTTTCTATAATAATGTATTATCTATAGTACACCACAACATACCTGCTATCTTTTTTATATTGGAACGAAGTTCCTTATCGCGCGTTGTGAAAGGGGGCTAGACGGAAAAAATTCTTACGAAAAGTTGTCACGACACTTTTCAGATCCGTCATTCTGACCAATCAACGTGTAAGCGCTTATCGCGTGACATTGCTCGTATCCGATTGGTCCGCGTAATGAGTACAGTTTCTCGAGATAGCATTTCAACAATAGTAATTTAGTTCATAGTATTGTTTTTTTCTTCTTCATAATGCCGTAATTTATTATTATAACTTAAAAAAAAAATTACAATTCCTTCACTAATTAATCGAAAGGAACTTCGTTCCATCCGAGTGTCCCTTGACACCTCTGAAGTTTTTTCCAGAATTTCTATAAATTAAACGGTTGTCTGGAAGGGATCGCTTTTAGCGATAAGACCGCCTATTGTACAAATTTACCTGCTTTTTTTGATTGTTTTTTTAATGTAAATTGTGTTTTGGTGTGCAATAAAGTGTATTCTCTCTCTCTCTCTCTCTTATGTAATAATACTTACATAGCCAACCATAATACCCATAGTCACATGAAGCTCACTCAGCCAGCCTACCCTCATCTGCGTGGATGACATCGCGGACTGAGGTGTTGAACTTACGCGTTATGATATCTAAAGGCTTCGAGACGGGCCGTGAGTCCTTGTTAAAATAGCCTACGTATTGATATCAGTTCGGGAATGAGACACTACGAAGTATATTTCTCTAATATAAAGTCTATTTCTCTAAAACCTTTACTGGTGGTAGGACCTCTTGTGAGTCCGCGCGGGTACCACCGCCATGCCTATTTCTGCCGTTAAGCAGCAATATCTATCAATAGGCAATCTTATCTCTCTATCAATCTGGAAATGGCGACTTCAACTATACTCTGAAATGCTTTAATGCTGTAATGTGTTTCGGTTTGAAGGGCGGGCCAGCCGCTGTAACTATACTTGAGACCTTAGAACTTATATCTCAAGGTGTGTGGCGCATTTACGTTGTAGATGTTTATGGGCTCCAGTAACCACTTAACACCAGGTTGGCTGTGAGTTCGTCCACCCGTCTAAGCTTTAAAAATAAAAATTGCAGGACAGGAAGCCAGTCAACTTCATACGGCATCGGCATTCCGTCGTACAATGGGTCGTCAGTGTTTCGATATAAACTAAACAACCGCATGCCTTATTTGATTGGGAGGCTGCTCCCGGGCGCGGGGCAGTACAACATACTCTTTACGGATTACGACCAGTTCGCGCTCGTCTGGTCCTGTAGTAGCGTCAGTCTTGCGCATTCAGGTTAGATCTTTTTTTTATTTATTTATTCCAGCGTATCTGAATGCGGTTGTTGCAACATAAAACCGCGAGTCAATCAATTGATGTTGTCGTGGCCTAAAGGATAAGACGTCCGGTGCATTCGTGTTGAACGATGCACCAGTGTTCGAATCCCAGGCGGGTACCAATTTTTCTAATGAAATACGTACTCAACAAATGTTCACGATTGACTTCCACGGTGAAGGAATAACATCGTGTAATAAAAATGAAGCCCGCAAAATTATAATTTGCGTAATTACTGGTGGTAGGACCTCTTGTGAGTCCGCACGGGTAGGTACCACCGCCCTGCCTATTTATTTCTGCCGTGAAGCAGTAATGCGTTTCGGTTTGAAGGGTAGGGCAGCCGTTGTAACTATACTGAGATTTTAGAACTTATATCTCAAGGTGGGTGGCGCATTTACGTTGTAAATGTCTATGGGCTCCAGTAACCACTTAATACCAGATGGGCTGTGAGCTCGTCCACCCATCTAAGCAATAAATAAAAAAAACCGACTTCCTAATTCTGATCACTTGAACACGCACGTTATTTATTTAAAGAGCAACTTGTAGCAATCACCAAAAACTAATTTCAGTTAATCGAAATTTAACAACAACAGTATCAACGTTAATTTAGTTAGTTTAAAAAAAATCGACATTTGACCTTTGAAATTATGACAAAAATGATTCGCCAAGTTGTTCGCCCGTGCATGCTGACAGAATCCTTGCAAGGCAAGAAACATCCAGATACTGTTATAACCCCCTACTGAACCCTAATTAGATGACATGGCCGTTAGTTATTACATCTCGACATTTACGCCAAGTCAACACCTTTATCAGTGAAGGCAAAATTAACCAGTCTTACAGTGAGGCTATTCACATCTCTCGCGTCAATCGGTTGCCTTAGGGTCCTTTCCTCCTCATACACTACTAGCTGTTCCCGTCCGCTTCGCTGGGCATTTAAAATTAATATTATTTCTCACCCCCACATAGATTCTCATCATTAACGCCCCCGCAACTGGTGTAGGGAGTCCAACGCTCATATAAATATTAGCCTATCCATTATTTCATGTATTTTCTACATGGATACCAAGTTTCAAGTGAATCGGATGCACGGTTCAGTAGTTATAATGGAACATCCGTAAAGATCACTGTAGATTTTTAAATTAGTATAGATTTATAATCCAACAATATTTTAATTAATTTTAATCTCCTCTTTAAACCCTCCTCAGAGAGTGACTCTGTAGTAGGCGCTATTCAAAATGCGTCTTTTTTTTTCATCAGTTTTTTTATTCTCTTACAGATCGAATTTGGGTGTTAGGCCGAAAACAAGAGATCGAAGCGGACGTCCGAGTTCAGATCTACGCCATCATGCAAGAACTGAGACTGGACCCAGACAGGCTGTTCATATCCAAAAACACTAACTGCACCGACTCATTGGAGGCTGAATAATTAAAAGTCATAACCAAATTCAAATTTAAAAAAAAAACCTTCATTTTTTCAATTTGTTACATTAATCACGTTTGTTTAAAAAAGCGCACGTAAATTGCATTTATATCAAGCTATTTATTGCAATTGGGTTAATGAGACAGTTCTAAGTAGGTATATAAGGTACTAAGTAATGTTATAAACTTTGCAATCTCCTATGTTTTTTAATTAGTTAATATATTAATAATACTATTTTTTCGTATTATTTCATCATTAAGCTCACAATTGCTTTGTGGATTTGCATTTGAACCTGATGGACAGGGGCGCCTGTGGCTTATTCTAATTGTTTTAACTAGTTATTCCGCTATTAATTCATCTCAGATCGACTATTGCTGTTACGGTGCCAATTACTTATTTAATGGGCATAGTTATAACTTCAACTTCATCTCAATGTTTCAAGCAAAATGTATTAACCCTTAGGGCCTATGCACACCACGTTTTTTAAACGCGCCGTCGACGCGCTTTTTAGAAACGCGTGTCGACGGCGCGCTTTTATCCTACTGAGTGGTTTGTTGTCGTTTGTATCGATACGAACGCGATGCTAACGCGCATGTGTATCGATACAAACGCGTGTTAGCATCGCGTCTGTATCGATTCAAACGCGTATTTGAATGTATACAGGTGTGCAAAGGTCTACAGGCTGCGTCTGACTTGCGTGCGTATCGCGAGTGTATCGCTACAAACGCACGTCGACAGCGCGTTTAAAAAACGTGGTGTACACAGGCCCTTAGCTGCACTGCAGGTCACCGGCGTCCTACGCGGCGAACTGAAGTCATTATGTCGATTTCTGTTACTAAGTGCCTGCATTGTCTAACTTTGCCTTCTTTTGTTCGTTAACGTATGTTTTAGTATTTTAGATCTCTTAGAAATAAATTCATTCTCAGTATCTTCATATTCGTCTTTCGCAGTCTACTAGACATTGCGGCGGTGACTAAGGAGTCACAGAAATCGGCAGAATTACTTCAGTGCACCGCGTAGGACACCCGTGACTTACACGGCAGTCAAAGGGTTAAAGCAAGGGCCATGTTTACACCATCTAATGGGCTCGTTTGACATGGTCTCGGACGAAAATGATACGAAATAAAACTGACGAAAAAATGATCAAAAATCTTCTTTTTTTTTCATGAAAAAATATTTTAATATTTACAAAAGTTTTCAAGTTAAAAGACAAGTAAAAAATCGAGTCTTCGAATCTAATCACAATTAAAACTACAAGATTGTCTTCGTGATACATATTAATACACACTGATTTACCAAGCAATATTTAGAAATGCTTTCCTAATGCTTTCCTTTCATACCTTCATGCCAGAGAACGTAAAGCACAAATTCAAATTTTGAAAGCATTATCAATTTCACAAAATTATAATACCTACTATTTAATAAAAAGAAAAGTTGTGCAGACATTTTACTTTTCTCGATTTTTCTTTGCCTCATATTAATTTAATACAGATAAGTTATTTTCGCATGAAGGTACCTAATTACGAACTGAATACAAAACTCGAAAATAAAATTACAAGGCATTCATAATTTCTAAGCATCTTAAACATTTTCGTTGAAAGTTTTTCTATGAACATTTATAAAATAAAAATCGTAAATTAAGAATATTTTAAATAAATTATTATTTAAAATTTACTGCTTTATCATTTGGTATTAACAAAAAAAATATGTTTTCCAAATCGTAAAAGGTGAATTGATAAAATATCTTAAAATAACCTCAAAAACTTTCAAGTTTTCCACTGTTTAAATATTTCGTTAATATGTATGAAGGCTACAAAACAATCATAGCTGCAAACATTAAATAAAATCGTCAATACGCTACATACATTTTATGTACATTCATAATATTTTAATACCTTTTAAAAAATCTACTGATATATATATATCTATTTTACGGTCTGGGTAAATTGGAACTCTTTGATAATTTATAGAGCCAGTAACACAGAAAGTAAAGAGTGAAGGTCGGCCTGGCCTTTTTGGAAGTGAGAAGCGAATTGTTACATTTTGTTAGTTTTAGTTTTTTTTCAGGTTTAAACACGTAATATCAGGAAATTACTAAATGTTTAGCATCGATTAGTGTATAGCTGTCCAAAAATGTCACAAAGTAGCTGGACATGGCTTCTCGGATTCTTTCAAAAAGTCCACTAGTCTCCGTAAATAACCACCATTTTCCTGATACTATATTCAATTTTATCGCATGTCGTTTCATTTAATATCATCCTAATTTATTACAGTTTCTAAAATAAATCAAGTTCACTCATTACGTTCCATACCCTTTTGATATAACAGAATATGTATTAAGTAATTTATGATTTCTATAAACTCGACAATGATATCGCAAGAACCCAATTTCCATAATTAAAATAAAAGGAGAGAAGAAGAAAAACGAATGAGGGTTATCGTTGTACGAGCATGTTTTGCTAAGAGAGGAAGATCATGTAACCAAAAATACTGGTAACGAAGGTAGGCGGTAGTATCGTAGAGGAAGCGTCCTAAAAAGATTTAGATGGACTCTGTAAGAGAGGATATGCGAGATAAAAATCTAAGAGATGTTTGATAGGCCTGCTTGAAAAAAAGAGGACATGCTACGCCAACCCCACATATAGTGATAACTGATAAGGGCGTGATAAGGGTAAATAAAGTGATAAGGGCGGGAAGCGATTAGTCAGGCAGTATATAGACCTTTAAGTTCACATTTTCACCTATACTTCTGGCAGTATAGAAGACTGCTTTTTGATATTTTGTAGGCGTAGTTACAAAATCATTGAAGTGTTTAGTTTCATCCTTACATGTTGTTTTTTATTAACCGCCTTCGAATAAAAAAGGACGAGGTTTTGAATTTTCGTCCGTAAACTTACTAAAGCTCTCGTTTTCTTGCTGCTGTTGGGTTGGAGAAGTGTTAATGTACTCGTATCGCTACTACGCAAACCCCGATACAAATGCGATCGGTCTCACAAAACACATACACGAAAACAACAAAATGTTAGCTTAAAGGAACCAAAATACCCAGATTACGTGTGCGTAATACAATTTAAGTACATGTACGTGATTAATTACAATTTATTATTTGGTAGTTTTTAACGATTTACATATGTATTTTTTTATGTATTTCCGAACGATTTGGTTATTTCATTTGGCGTGTCATTATAATGTTAAGAGTCTACTACTACTTATTTCAGAAAAAAAATAATAATTCTATTTTATTGTGATTTACATTGGCAAGGGTAACCATGCGCAAGTTTTGAACGAGCAGTATATTTCGTGGCCGCAAAAGCGGAGTCCTATATTCACTCTCCTAAGTGAGGTCACCAATAAAATTTAGGCGCGAATAATTGAGTCGACTATTATCAAAGGCGGCAATCTGACTTTTGGACAATGATTGGTAAATCAGAAAAACGAATTATTGACTTTGTATTCCATCGGCAGTCACAAAACTCTTCGGAACGACATCTTAGATAAATAACAGGTTAACTATTAACCTTTATTTAATGCAGGTTTTGAATCGTATTCTTTGAAGGAGACGATTATATTCAAATAAATCTGTATTGACATATCAATAAAATTTTGTTGTCCAAATGCACAGATTGCCGCCTTTGATAATAGACGACTCAATTCTAACCTTATCGGATAAAATGGCGGATTTTATTTTAAATTTAAACGTCACAAAATTAACCTATTTAACTGCAAATCAGAAGTACAAGAAAACATTTGATTGGACCGAATCTAAACAGACACAATGCCTCTGGTGATAATTGTTATTTTAAATATTGCAATTAAATTTACCCATTAAATATATAGCTTAATTAAAAAGAAAATTCAATTTTTTCAGATTAGGTCTCCCTAAATATTTTTTCATAAAACTTCAGAATATCAGTCTAGTGTTTGATTTTTAAATAAATAGAAAAATATTGTGTATTCCAGCGTAAAAGTAAATCAAAGAGTTATTATTCTAACATGTACAATCAATAACCCGCTATACACCAAAATTATCACAGACGAAGTGATACATTATGCGTGTATTTGAATAAATAACTTAACGTGAGCATAAAATAAAATGAAAACAGTAACAAAATAAAATTAAAAATAAATTAAAAATAAAATAAATTATAATAATTAAGTACATTTAAATTTATTTGAATACAGAATGATGATCATACTTTTGGACACTTGCACGACTGATGCTAGCTAGCGTAAGGTATGATGCGATCAACGCCGACACCTTTAGCAATACATTGCTGGCATCGGCTCTGCCCCTGGCATTGCTGAAGTCCATGAGCGACGGTAACCACTCACCATCAAGTGGGCCGTATGCTCGTCTACCTCCAAGGGCTATTAAAAACCCTCGCTAAAAAATTAAAAACACTTAAGAACGGTCGATGCTTAATTAAGAGCCACACAAACAAATTGTGTCAGGTTCCCCGATTTGTAATTTGTGATTAACCACCCGATTTTATGTCAAATGAAACAGTGTCAAAAGTAATAATAAAGTCGCGACAAGTTACGCACGGTCATCTGGCCCCAAACTGGATGTACTGTACTCTGGGAACCAGAGATTGATGTATTTCAATACGTTTGGAGTAAATTTCAAGTACTAACCCTAGTAAGTATCCTACGACCCTCGGCCCAGTAATCAGGCGCACTAATTACTGCACCTGACTCGGAGTCAAAAGTGTTGGTGGTGAAATAATACTAAGGAAATAACACTAAGAAATACAAGTTAATTAATTTTCTAAACTGTTCTTATTTTATTCGAGATTTAATGATGAGCACGACAAAGATCTAACATTGTAGTAACGTGAGTGTTCTGTGTAACTTGTTCTAATCTACAACAATAAACTTTCTGAGAACAATATTGTTCAAATGGTTGATTTTAAATTTCCCGCTAAAAAAACTCAATATTTTACGGGCAGCATTAAAATTACAAAATGAAATACGGATTGATGTATTCTTTTTTGCATGTTTAATCTTTGATTGTTATTTATAGCAACGCGCCATTTTGAAAAATTGGAAACTTCGAGTGCGAATCTAAGAGTGATTTTTCACAAAGAACAACAAAGTACCGTACTGAATGAATATTAAAGGTGGATCTACAAATGCCTAACATAATTCTGTCTGCTTAACAAAACTGATAGAGACATCAAATATCGCTATGACAATTGATATATTCTAACGTGAATATGCAGTTCCCAACTTAACTAACGACTTAATATTCGATTAAGATAACAAAAAAAAAACATTATCTAATCATGATCCCAATTTACAAGACGAATCTCACACGAATATATTTACAAACTTTTGTAACATTAATTATTGCCTCACCAAATACAGGTGCATACCTATGTTTATAAATCCCATACAGATAATATTAAGGGCGTAAACACGGCAGTAATGATGACTAGTGAGGTGGGATTTAGACAGTGTCACTTCATCTCACTTGTGCTCAGTGCGAGTTCCAGCCCGACAGGTTGAGACCCAAGCGATGAGCAACAAGTGCAATCCACTCCTACACTGAAGTCAAATACAGTTGAGATTTCACTTTGGCTCAAAAAAAAAAACATTCGTCACTATGGAATTGTATTTCTCATTCTGATTTAATTTAATTAACTGATTTGACACATATCCTCTCAACCCAAATCTTAAAAGTGCTCATGCATACCACATATTTATACAAATATATTTATGTGAACACAAGCAGATTGCTATTCGTTATCATCCAATACTAATTTAGAAACAAAACGACTCACCTCATAAACCTTAGAAACACAATAAGGTAGTGGGTCTACTTTACAAGATGATTCATGATTTGAGTCATTTACTCTAAAATCACCTAAAGTAATATTTTAGCAGTTATTCTCTGTGCTGAGGATATGATTTTGGACATCATTTAGTTTGAGACACTCGGCGTCTCTATTATTATAATCATATTGGCCGTTGGACGATATGCTTTCGCTTGGACTTTCACCGTTCAGAGGTAGTTTAGGGCAATAGTTTGGCTCCGGTGTTGGCAAAACATACTGGTGCATCCAAAGCTGTTTCTCTTCGACTTCTTTACTCACCACAATAAATAGTTCTTTCTCTTTGCTGTCTAGTTGTTCCTTTAGATACGCGATAAGGTCACAACTCTGCAATCAACTAAAGCATTAGTTTGATAACATTCAATTAACCTAATTTCTGACGTATTTTGTGTGACCATACAAAGTAATTATTTATTAAATTTGTTAAAAGCAATTTCAATTAAATATCTATCAATGGGCAATCTTATCTCTCTATCAATCTGGAAATGGCGACTTCAACTATACTCTGAAACGCTTTAATGCAGTAATGTGTTTCGGTTTAAAGGGCGGGGCAACCGTTGTAACTATACTTGAGACCTTAGAACTGATATCTCAAGGTAGCTGGCGCATTTACGTCGTAGATGTCTTTGGGCTTCAGTAACCGCTTAACACCAGGTGGGTTGTGAACTAGTCCACCCAACTCAGCAATAAAAAAAAAATTGTCATCTTATAAGCTTATGCTGACAAATAGCAGGAAGATTAAGATGAAGACATTATACCACATAAAAATCAACTCAACAACTGACTTTAATGTAATATAGCACTAAAAGACAAACTAAAATAATCTTAGTAAAATCTTACCCTTCCTATTAACTGAGGTGAGTCCAACTTCGAATCAAGATTATAAAAGTTTCCCTGTATCTGTCTAATTGTGATCCAATGCCGACGACGTAATGGCAGCATAACAAAACCAAGCTTGTAATCCGAAGGCACATTTAATATGAATCCACAAATATTGGCAAGATCTAGGCAACCGGGATCTCTAAAATTATTTGAAAAATAATAATAATATGTATATGCAAATATTAATCAATTAACCTATTATTATTATTTTTTTTGTAAATTACTATGCTAGTGCCGGGATTCTTAAAGTGGTCGGTATATGACTTTCCTATTGGTCGACATAAAGGAAAACCTGATTTTGGGGGCAGACCCAAGCCACTGCCAACCGTTGTATTAGAAAGTTCTAATACCTACCTATTTAAAACTATCTAACAATATTGTACCTACATTCTTAAAAAAAAAGCAACAATCATTATTCGTTCTTTATTATTATAAACAATCCAATATTTATTTTTTGTTTCTTAAAATGTTATTACTATTTATGTTTCATTCTATAAATTTTCTTTTAAATTTTTGTCCATGTTTTCGGCGTTATAAAAGATTGAAAAATTGATAAATGACTACTTAATTTGTTAATTTTAATGTGAACATATGTGTTTTCATAAACACCTCAAAAGCATTAATATTGGTAGCTTACTGCCTCTAATACCTAAACTTGCACTTGTAGTGAAAGTTGGGCCTTTTTTTGCTTATTTTCACACCAACTACTTTGTGTTTTCCCTAAATGTATATTTTATTTCACAGTAAGTGGGGTCCCTCTGTTATTGCAATCAATGTATCAAATGAATGAGACCCAAAAATGTTTTGAAAGATTTCTATATGCAACAATATTTACATTTTTAAACCATTTTGAAATGTGCTAATTTAAAAAACATTAGTGAGCAAAATCATGTAAAACATGTCCCATTTCAATACAATACTTACTTAAATAATTTATATGAATAAATATTAATTACATTTGATATTTACTCAATTTTATGTCTATAATATATTTATAATGATAATCATATCAAGTTTCCTCGCTTAAGCAATCACAAAGTTTTAAATCAGTAATTATTATGTATTAATAGAAAAAAATATATAGAAATAGGATTATTAAAGTATTTTTGGCATCTGAGGTATCAGTATATTTTGGAAAAGTTATCTATTGCCCAAAATCATTTGGGCACTCATGTGCTACTATTATAACTTAGTTTCTCAATTCTTGCTTTTTCTACCTATTTAGCAAACATTATATTATATTATAGTATAAGATCATCACCATCACAATTTAGTGAAGACTCCCCTCAGGTCTCCAAAAGAATGGAAGTGAATACTTTATCATCTATAGACCCCAATAAACAGTTAACATCAAACATTACGCTATGAACAAGTTTATAGACATTACACAGTTTACTTATATGTATCTGATAAATGGTAAATACATAAAGAAAGTCACTTATCAATAGCAATTTCAATTTTATTTGAGTTTAAAAACTTAAAATTTATATACATAACTTACTTTCTTTTATCAAACCAGATGGCTTCACAGCCCTTCTTCTGTAACGCTGCCATTATCACATTTATATCATAGTTTCCAAGGCCAAGAAGTGATCTGTGAGGATTTATCCAAACATTTGGAGACAGGCGACTGCATATTGCATCTAGTTCCGATTTAGAAAATGTTCCTCGAGTCTGAAATATAATTTTAAGTATACCAGAAGACATACAGATTGAAATAATGTGTTTCTTGAATTGTATTAGTCAAAGATGATTAGTCGGGAAAAAGTATCTATTATTTCATTCAAAATCAGTTTTTTGTGCGCCGTAAAAAGCAGTACCTACACAATGACCTTCACGGCCAAATTTTATATCTCTCGTCAATATGATCATTAACAAAACGCGTACATACCTGGAATAAATTATTGAGCGCGTGTAAGGCGCACAATTCTTTTATTTGTTTTTCATGATAAATAGTCGGTTTCGCACTCATTTCGCTCATGTTACATTCAACATATTTCCACTTGACTAATTTATAAAACAACACTATTCACAAAGTGAAATGCTTAATTTCGATAAAACTTTATTATTCTTAATTTAATATTTTAATTTTAACGTAATAAAAACGACGGAGTGAATCAAAACAACTTGACAATTTTACCATTATGAATTATGACACTGTCTGTCATAGACAATGACAGGCACACGAATCACTTTTTTATTCGTTAATGGAAGGAAAAGTAAACATAAATCATAAAACGTAATCTTCTATACTTATTATAATATTATAATTAATATAATATTATAAAGAGGAAAGATTTATTTGTTTGTTTGTTTCGAATAGGCTTCGAAACTACTGGACCGATTTGAAAAATTCTTTTTCTATTAGAAGCCGACATCCTGATGAACATAGGCTACTTTTTTTAATGTTTTTTTTTTGTTTTTTTGTTTCATATGTGTTTTAATGTTTCCGAAGCGAAGCGAGGGCGGGTCGCTAGTTTGTAATAAAACTCATATCTGTTGTTTCAAAAATGACATGAATCAATAAGAAATGTGATTATTGGATTTGATTCAACATTTAATTTGAAATGAATTGTGTATTAAAAATAAACAAGAGATGAGATGAGACTACACCGCATAGATGTTACTATGGTAAGTGGTAACAGATTTCAAATGGTTTCTGAGTCACCATTATTTAAATATCTAAGCATTGAAAAAAGCCGTAATTAACACAATAAAACAATTGACATGACATTAAGGCAACAATCGTGCTAAAAGTCTCAGACTAGCTATACAATGTTGTCCGTGAACAGCCGAAGAGAAAACTCGAATTTTAAATGGTTTGTGCATCGAATAAAACAGGTCATGACATGACCAATAAAGTAGTACATAATTTAAAACGCTTAAAAAGTGGTCGGTGAAGGATCATACGACGATGATCATACGATACAATAATAAAAACCCAACGAACGTTACTGTTTCAAAACCTCAGGATTAATAATAAACCAAATGAAGTGCGATAAAATCTGTTCAAAATAGATCGTTTAATTTATTTTAATGTCTGTTATTATTCGCATAAATATCTGAAAGTAAAAAGTCGAAAACTCGTTAACTGTACCACCGTGCCTTTAATGAATTCCTTCTTCCTTCAATAATTCCACAGGTGTCCTTCACCCAGTTTTCTTGGCTTATTCTTAAGTAATTATTCAGTATCCTTACGCTTTATGGGCCATATTTTCTTTGCCTGTCAAATTGGAATAATCAAATAAAAGTTAAAAAGCGCGGGTATATTTATTATTTTGAGAGAAGTAAAAAAGTTTCTGAATCTAAACTTTATAATTAATTAAAAAAAATCCCGGCATTCATAATTATTCTCGTTTTTAGTTGAGTTTCACCTACTATAGTTATATTTGCGAAATTTATTTTTTATCATGTTCAGCTAACTTTCTTCATTCAGTATGTCGACAGCTGATGAGAATGATAGACTTTTACTGAATTTTGAAAACATTCAGCAATACAAAAATTCTTTACCAAGGTTAATATATTTTTTACTAATACTTGCTAACTTATTGAATAAAATGATTATTTAATATCTTTTCAAATTATTACTCAAATTTTTAATATGTTAAGCTTTAATGACAGTGAACAAATCTGTACTTAATCTGCTTTTAAAGTTTTATTATGATTTAAGTTCATCTATTAGTCATTATTTGCATCATGAAATTAAAAAACAAGGAGAAAGTAGAATCTATAATTATTGTTTCATTTGATTTTCAGTCAATCAAACATTTCCTCTAATGTCATACTCAACAGTGTTTGGAATGAAAACAAGAACATTCTCAATGAAAAAGTTGACGAAATCTTTAAATCCGCTAAAAGTCTTCTCCAAAACTCTGATAGTGAGTCGCATATCAGAACATGGAAATCATCCCTAAGGTAATTATTACTTAAAAAATTCTTAAAAATACATAGTTAAAAAAATTCAATTTTGACAGAATTTTGCTTGAATAAAAAATTTTGAAGTTTACCTATTGTAACTCCTATGTTCATTGTTACATTCGTTTTACTTTTTTGCAAAAATCTTAATGCAGAGTTTTCAGATCTATTATATTTCAAATAAACTGCGTAATGAAAACGAGTTCATATAAAAAATTTGAAAATTTCAAGTAAATACAATTTATTTTGTAAAGTTTGCTTGTAGCACAATGAAAAATTATTTTACAATAATGGGCATCCATTATTAAGTTAGGAATCATGTTCTAAATGTTTAGTTATGAATTTTGTGACTATGTTAGCGTACTAAGTAGGAATAAGGTGCTTGCCGGTTTTACTTGAGTTGCCCATATCCACAAGCAATATTAGAGAAATATGTGCACATTAGCAATAATAATGCCATTCCTCATAAAAAAATAATTTACAGATTACAGCAACAAAAAATTGATGAATTTGTTGATTTTCAGAACTCTAGATCCTGAAAGTATTTTTCATCGCTCAGTGCCAAAATGTAATACATGTTCTGCCACCACACATAAAAGATTTGAACAATTCCTCAAAAAAACCTGTAACTGTGACATCGTAAAAATATCTAATGAAAACCTTACTGCATCAGATGAATCAAGCCAAGAAAGTAGAGAAGAGCCAATAATAAAACCAAGGTTTGGACGCAATAGACACTTTAAAAATACCTCACAAAATTCATTAGTTGGCAAAAAATTTACTATTGAAGAACCTGTTCAAGACTTAGATTTTACAAAAGAAGAACTGGAAAATAAAGCACATAAAAGTAATGTAGCTAAAATTACATTTAAGACTGCAAAAGAACAATTGCTGGCATCTAATCCTGCTGCGAGAAGGACTCTCGGTACTTCTAAGAAAGCTCAAGCCAAGTTTGTGTCTCCCATGATCGGAGCTGTTACTCTGTAAGTGACTATTTTTGTGTCTATACTAATATATAAATCTACAATGGTTTTTATGAATGTTCCATTATAACTACTGAATCATGCATCCGATTGACTTGAAACTTGGTATCCATGTAGAAAATACATGTACTTAATGGATAGGCTAATATTTATATGAGTGTTGTAATGGATAGGCTAATATTTATATGAGTAATAATAATGATGTTAATTTTAAATGCCCAGCGAAACAGGCGAGTACGGCTATTCTTTACTAAGAGTTGAACTTAAAATATTGTTTTGTCACATATGTAGACTTATATGCAAAATCTTTGACATCCTGGAGTGGTAAAAGACAAGGTAGAGGATCCTAATGATAATGGTTTTCTCGGTCTCCAATCACAATTAGAAGGTTGAACATCGGAACTACCTTTTTGTATAAAAGGCTAAAAAGTGTATTTTAAATACTGTAAAAATTATAATAATTTCAGAGAGAAACAGGATTCACAAGAAACTGAAATAGCTGATGAAAGATTAAAACATATTGATCCTAAAATGATTGAGCTAATTGAGAGTGAAATTATTGATAAAGGGACACCTGTTAGTAAGTAATCAATCACAACATTTCCAGTTATTGTGGAGATTAGTGCTAAGAAACGAACAGCAGACATGTCTATTAATTTTTAATATGGATAATATTGCTAGGATCAATTCATGTCTGCAATGAGATTTAACTACTAACCTAAAGTGAACTGTAAATTTTATTCATAACAATTACTTATAGATTTTGCCAGTTCATTTATTACTAATTTGGTATGAAGATTCAAGTTAATACTTGCCACGAGATATTGTACATAGCAAGTAAAATAGTTAATAAATAAAGTGGACAAGTACAAGTAATCCTTGCTCTTTGAGGGTTTCAGCAAGTTAAGGCATTTTTAGGGTAATTGCTTATGAATACATTGGTCTAGATATAGATCTGTCTGCAATACCAATTTTTTTAATGTAAAATAAGAATTTAAGGCAAATATTGTTCACTATTAGTGGTGCTTTGGGTGTGGCAGTGTCAGCCGGCGTGAACAGCACCCTATCTCATGGTTCTGCAAGGGACAACCAACATTCTTGAACATACATTCTCAGGAATAGTTCAATAGTTGGGTGTAGTCTGCATGTGCTGATGCATATACACATTGATATCAATCATAGGTTGGGAAGACATTGCCGGGCTGCAGTTCGCCAAGTCTGTGATCCAAGAGGCGGTAGTGTGGCCGCTGCTGAGACCGGACATCTTCACTGGACTGCGGCGGCCCCCCACCGGGATACTGCTGTTCGGACCACCGGGAACCGGGAAAACATTAATTGGTGATTTACTTTTGAAATTCAAGTCCCATTTCTTTATTAAGACCTTTTTAGCACTTTGGTTTACGCTTAGCGTATCTTGCATTTTTTACTGGTGGTAGGACCTCTTGTGAGTCCGCGCGGGTAGGTACCACCACCCTGCTTATTTTCTGCCGTGTAGCAGTAATGCGTTTCGGTTTGAAGGGTGGGACCTTAGAACTTATATCTCAAGGTGGGTGGCGCATTTACGTTGTAGATGTCTATGGGCTGACTTAACACCAGGTGTACTGTGAGCTCGTCCACCCATCAAAGCAATAAAAAATAAAAAAAATGTCTATGGATATCTGTAGCACTGTCGACATGTTTTCAAACAGTAGTTGAAAATAGGCTTCAGCAAGAATCAGCTGCCTGGGTAGCTAGCATTGTTGATGTCCACGAGCGACACTAATATAGAACTGTTTGGACCCAGGTAAATGCGTGGCGGCGCAGTGCAAGGCTACGTTCTTCAGCATCTCGGCGTCCTCGCTGACGTCCAAGTGGATCGGCGACGGGGAGAAGATGGTGCGCGCGCTGTTCGCGGTGGCGCGGTGCCACCAGCCCGCGGTCCGAGCCCCCACACTACGTTTTTTTTTATTTATTTTTTATTTATTGCTGGAAGTGGTTACTGGAGCCCATAGACATATATAACGTAAATGCGCCACCCACCTTGAGATGTAAGTTCTAAGGTCTCAGTATAGTTACAACGGCTGCCCCACTCTTCAAACCGAAACGCATTACTACTTCACGGCAGAAATAGGGAAGGTGGTGGTACCTACCCGTGCGGACTCACAAGAGGTATGGACAACATGAATCATGTTGGAACACATGCTCGTTGGCCTGTCGTACTATTAAAACAAGAAGCAGCGGTCCATATATGATCGTGAAATTTAACAGATGTCTAAATCGCGTTAACGACCATTTCTAGACAAATTCTTAACGATAACATTGGACCGTCGACGGAGTTGTTCCACTCGCTCGATGGGAGAGTTTCCCTTTGTGGTTTCATCTAAATTTCCTATTCGTAAGAACTTACAACATGCCTGCTTCTCCTAATTCAGAAATTTAAATATATTTGTATTAATTTACTGCAAGATACTTCTTTGTTGGTTACTCATTACATCAATATTAGTCTTTACTGGGTTTCGGATTCAAATACCTTAATTATACGTTTTGAATATAAATTACAGGTGATATTCATAGACGAAATAGACTCGTTGCTGACCCAACGCAGCGACTCGGAGCACGAAGCCACCCGGAGAATCAAAACTGAGTTCCTAGTACAATTCGATGGTGCAGCTACAAGTAAATAATTCTACAAACTAAATAATTCTAGAAACACTTAGCAGTTGATTTTAATTGCTAACACTAAACATCTTTACTTATAATTTCGTAGGTGAAGAAGACAGACTTTTAATAGTTGGCGCGACCAATCGTCCCCATGAGTTAGACGAAGCTGCCCGCAGGAGACTCGTCAAGCGGCTGTACATACCTCTACCAGAAACTGACGTAACTATATCTTTGCGTCCACTGCAGTCGTATAGGTCCGTGGACCACAGCGTGAGCGTCGCCGTCATGCTCCAGGCGTCAGGACGCTATACTAGCTGTCCAGCTGCAAACCAGACCAATGATTGCAGGAATACACTAGACACCAGTACAATCGCCAAGTACTACTATTCTATTAAATATGATTAATTATCAGGGTGGAACTTGTAAATGAAGTTAGCGAAGAAAATAAAGTGATAGCATGGTTACGATCGATCTATGAAAAAAATATCGAAATGCCAGGGGTCGCGTATAATTTAAAAAAATAAATTTCGCGTAGAATCTTTATAGCACAAAACCATAATTGCTTAAAGTCTTTGAATCTGTTTTTTTTTTATGTTTAAATAGTCTTATTGGCGACATAAAAATTTACATATTATTATTTTTAGGCAAGAAAACAAATAATAATGAATTTGCTAAGGAACGAAAACAATGAACTGACGCCGGACCAAATATCGGAAATAGCGGACCTAACTGAAGGGTACTCCGGAGCGGACATGAAGTCTCTGTGCTGCGAGGCTGCCATGGGCCCCGTGCGCGCCGTGCCTCTGTCGCAGATCCTCAACGTCGACCGGGACAAGGCCAGTGATTACATAGGCGACCGGTTTATTTCACCCGCCATTTTATGATTTTTTATTATTATTATTTTGCGCATTATTTTTGTACAAAAGATCAGAGATTCGGAACTGGCTAATTAATACTAGTTTTTACAGTTTTAATAACCATTTCAAACCATAAATCAAAAACAAACCATATATACAAACACTACTCATACAAAACTGCAGTATATACTAGAAGATTTTATAGTTATTTATAATATTTTGTACTCAAGTTTAACAATATTTGGTATGTGTATGTGCATTACTATAATTCTCATGTTGTATTTGTTGTTTTAGTTATGTGTTATTTGTTCCACACACACTTATCTGGAAGAGATTTCTTAAAGAAATAAGCAGTGCTTTTGTACATAATTTTCCTATTACTCTGTACTATGTCTTTTTTTCTGTGTGTACATAAATAAATAAATAAGAAGGTTAAGGCCACGAGAGCTTTTAGTAGCAATTTTATCATAATGTTTTTAATTTCAGGTGCGACCAGTTTGTCTCAAAGATTTTACCAGTGCGTTACAAAGGGTCAAGCCGAGTGTATCGCAAGATGATTTGGGACAGTACATCAAATGGAATAAAACTTATGGTCAAGGATTTTAATAAAGTTTGTTTGCGACTGATTCATTGTGTCTTAATTAATACCCTCCAGATATTTAATCTGTCACATTACAGACTGACTGGAGTATCCTATGATCGATCACAACACCCCCTTGTGGAGTTCACTGACCACACTACAATGGGGCTTACGTGTATGTATCGAAAACTATTAAAAAAATGTTTTCTTCCACGCTATGTTCACAGAGATCTAAGTAGAATTCAACCTGTGTTATTTGTTGAACTATGACACGTCTCTTAAATGATTCATACTAGGCTGCACTAAAAGTATCGGGAATGGAATATTTCCACTGTTCCTGTCATATTAAAATCTTTTTAATTGAAAACTCCCTGGTTTTAAAAATCGAATACCATTTATTTATTTAAAAAAAGATTCTCGGTCTTGTCACGAGGTTTTGTCAAACTTGTTTAGTCGTTGAGAAAATGGAATTGACTCGAGAAAATTCAAGAGCGATGATTTATTATGACTTTCGAAGTGGTTTAACACAAAAACAGAGTGTTGACCGGATGATTTCTGCATTTGGTGATGAAGCCCCATCCAAAACCACAATTTATCGCTGGTTTGCTGAGTTTCAAAGTGGACGTGTCAAGCTCAGTGATGATCCCCGTCAAGGTCGTCCAAAAACTGCAGTCACCCAAGAAAACGTTGATGCTGTGCGTAAGCTGATTGAGGAAGATCGACATGTGACATACCGCGAAATTCAGGCAACTTTAGACATTGGCATGAGTCAAATACAAATAATCTTGCATGAACAATTAGGTGTAAAAAAGTTGTTTTCCCGATGGATACCGCATTCGCTCTGTGAAGAGCAAAAAGCGGCTCGCGTTACTTGGTGCGTCAGAACTCTCGAAAGATTCCACGCAGGATCCTCAAATGCTGTATACAACATTGTATCAGGTGACGAATCCTGGATATACGCGTACGAACCCGAAACAAAAAACCAGTCACGAGTTTGGGTGTTCGAAAATGAGTTAAAGCCAACAAAAATTGTTCGTTCACGGAGTGTTGCAAAAAAAATGGTGGCCACGTTTGTCTCCAAAACCGGCCATGTTACGACTATTCCTCTTGAGGGACAAAGAACGGTTAATGCAGAATGGTATGCTAGCATTTGTTTGCCACAGGTCGTTTCTGAACTCCGTAAAGAGAACTGCAACCGCCGCATCATCCTCCATCACGACAATGCGAGTTCTCACACCGCGCACAGAACAAAAGAGTTTTTAGAGCAAGAAAACATAGAATTATTAGACCATCCGCCGTACAGCCCCGACCTAAGCCCTAATGATTTCTATACTTTCCCTAAAATAAAGAATAAATTGCGTGGACAGAGATTTTCATCACCTGAAGAAGCTGTGGGTGGACGCCTACAAAACGGCCATTTTGGAGACCCCAACTTCCGAATGGAATGGTTGCTTCAATGATTGGTTCCGTCGTATGGAAAAATGTGTCAAATTTCGCGGAGAATACTTCGAAAGCAATAAATACATTTTTAAATAGTAATGTTGTGTCACTTCGTTAATTCCCGAAATATTCAGTGCTGCCCTCGTATGGGGTTCATGTGTGATGGTTCATACCCCCATTCAATAAGAATATAAATTAAAATAAAACATGACTTAAAGGTCTCAGTTACCAGGTCATAAAATCCCTTAAAAAACGGACTCTTTGGCGGGAAGTGCGGGAACGCGAGGAGCTAGAAGTAATAGTGTTCTGTGGCGAGGAGTGAAGTTGTGATTTGTTTTATTTTGTCCATAAAATGTTTCTCCGGATTAAAATGTGTAATATCGGTGCTTTATTAACTGTTTAGTATCTCTGAAAGTACAAATGTGGGAAAATAAAACAAAGCCGCTGCACGTAACTTCTCGGGATCCTCCGATTCCATTCATATGATTATTGGACCGCAGCAATCAAAATAATAATAAAATAGTTGTTTATTATATTTACTTACTCTTATAAAATTAAAGAAGTATGTACGTCCTAAGCACTGTTTCTAGTAGTATCATTGAAAAATATTTATTAAAAATCATGAATACTTTGTATGAAACCTAAAAAACTATATTAGACAATAATTAAAATAATAATATTGTCAATATGGATCAAGACAACAGGGTAGTTGTGTTGATTGATATGGATTGTTTTTATTGTCAAGTTGAAGAGAAACTGAACCCAGAACTGAAAGGAAAACCAATTGCGGTGGTGCAATATAACCCTTGGAAAGGTGGAGGGTGAGTTTCAAAATGAATATAATTTGTTTTTAGACCATGAACTGCTCGAGGATAAAGCTCCCAAACCGTTTTATAAGCCGACATGCTCAAGTTGAGAGGGTATGCAACAAACTTAGTGGAAAACCATAGTGAGACAGATAAATATACACATTTTTACTTAGAAAAATGGACAACTACGCCAGCAATGTGTCGCTAATATATTTTAAAACTATTCTTACAATACTACTAAATCTAAAAAACAATAAAAAAGGTTGTGCTGGTACAGAATAAAAACCAGAATCAATATAGTTTTTGAAATCATTTGAAATAATCATTAACTAATATTTTTCTTCATTTTTGTTCTCAAACAACCATTATGCTACATAATAAACTGCATGCTAAAACAATTTTTAATATAAATATCAAAAATATTTAGCATTGTTTTTTGTAGCTGAATTGATGTAGAGAACAATAGCTCTGTTTTGTAATTTTCTAGGAATGCAGATATATATGTATGAACACTGGAGGAATTTTTTTAATTAATTTTTTTGTTGTCAGAATAATAGCAGTGAACTATGTTGCGAGGGATTTGGGAGTAACAAGACACATGAGAGGTGATGAGGCCAAAGAGAAATGTCCTAACATTCAGCTGCCTTCAGTTCCTTGTCACAGAGGAAAAGCTGATATATCAAAGTAAGTATGAAAAAAATTATATTTATAGTTTGATATTTATCAAAATTTACTATGCATAGGAAATATAAAAATACAATGAACATAAGAATCCTAAGACATAGATTATTAACCTAAATAGAGACTACCTTGATATTTTTAAGGAAAAAATTAGTTGCTCAGTAGTAGAAGACAACAGTAAAAATATTCATTTTTTTTTTCTTATTGCCCCTGAAGCGTGAACAACACATAATTTGAATGCGATCATCCACCTTGACACATGACGCTGAAGGCATATGTTGGGGTTGTCACATGTTTCTAATTAAACCATGTGATTGTTTCACTGCAAAAGTGTGTAGTATAATAGTCTGCATACCTTACCTTGCAGTCTGACAATACTCCTTACTACTGTTAAAATATGTTTATTTATTAATATCAAAATAATAAGTTTAATTTATACTAGCGGCATCTAGTGGTCACAATATGTACTAGTAGTGTACCATAGTCAATTACCAAGAAATAAAGTACTTCATTCTCAACCGTCATCTCATTCGTTTCAATAGGGAGATTGTTAAACAAGAGGAGGCAGATAGAGTAGTACAGTGCAAATGGGTGTTCAAGAAAAAGCTAGAAAGCAATAACAGTGTTAGGTATAGAGCTAGACTTGTAGCGAAAGGTTACACTCAGCAGCATGGAGTAGATTTTAACGAAACTTACTCACCAGTGCTTAGATACTCTACACTTAGACTTCTGTTTGCATTNATTATTAGGAGTTCAAAAAGTTTAAAAACGTCAAGGTCAAGTTGTTGTTCTTGATTTTGTTGTTAATTGATATTAGATTATTTTGATAAGTGGTGCTGTTAAAATATGTTTATTTATTAATATCAAAATAATAAGTTTAATTTATACTAGCGGCATCTAGTGGTCACAATATGTACTAGTAGTGTACCATAGTCAATTACCAAGAAATATAGTACTTCATTCTCAACCGTCATCTCATTCGTTTCAATAACTACCAGTAATTACTAAAAATGTTATACACAATATTATCATATAAGTTGATCATGAACACATTTTACATATATTTTTTTTTAGAAAAACATTATCACAACTTTTTAAAAAAAAAGCATAAGCATATAAAGTTGATAAGTATATAATTACCCGGTCTCAGTCTTAGGTCATGAAGAGTTCAAATATGATTGTTGATGTTGATAGTAATCTTAATTATTAGCATCTTTTGTACAAGTAACAATAATAATATGATTATAGATATCGAGATGCTGGAAAAGAGGTAGCCAGAGTTTTGCAAAGATTCACGGCTTTGTTAGAAAGAGCTTCAATAGATGAAGCATACCTTGATATTTCAGTGCCAGTAAGTATTTGTACACATGTAACATAAAGTTAAATATATTGAAATATGATTTTAATGAATAAGAATTCATCTATACAATAAAAATCATCAGAGAATAGAGAGAAGATTAAATGTAATCTGTCTACAATTAATAAATAACTCACACACATTGTAAATAAATACTGCACAAATGTTTTGTAAAATATGTTGTATGTGAAAAATGGGGAGCTTAAAAACAACACTCGAAGACCAACAGAAATCAAATAAATAAATACTAAAGATCTATCTAACACAGCCCTGTTACTTTAAATGTATGTACTATTAATTTTAGGTGCGCGAAAGACTAAAAACATTAAATATAGGTTCAGTAACTAAAGAAACGTTACCGAATACCTTCGTACTGGGCTACGATTCAATAGAAGAGTTCATGTCTGACGTACTCACGGGTGGTGCAGATTCAATAGATTTTGATTTTGAACACGCCAAACAGCTGCTGGTAGGTGCTGTCATTGTGAGTGAAATAAGAGAAGCGGTCTATAAAGAAACAGGTATCTTATTGGTCGTACCTTATATTGCACTGGTCATTAATTACAATCGATATTAAAAATTGTCACAGCTAAATCATGAATAATTTTCTGATTGTAAATTTATACAAGCTGACTTCCAGTGGCTAAGTGCATTTGGATGTTATCAGTGATTTAATGATAAGATGGAATTTAAGTTAAGATTTTTGATAATGTTTATGGCGAGTGAAAAAAAACATAAAAGCATTAATTGATGTATGTGTAGCAGTCATCTTACAGTCTGCTGGTGTTATATGCTGGACAGATCTTACAGACATCATAACGACCATAAATCTAATTGTTACTGGGGGATATTAAAATTAAATTATACACATATTGACTGTAATACAATAAAAATATTGCTGTAGCTCAGAACTGAATTGTGTCTGTAGGTCTCATCTCGTGCATGTTTTGCTTAATGTTTAAGGTTTTCGATGTTCGGCCGGTATAGCTCACAACAAGATCTTGGCGAAGCTGGTGTGCGGCATGAACAAGCCCAACAAACAGACAATACTGCCCAAACATTCCATTGATATTCTTTACAGGTAATGTATTATACCTTCTGATGGCGGTAGTAAGCTCTATTAATATCATAATGGTGCTAATTGCTAAAACAGATTGTACAACATGAATATTTGTGTCTTTGTTTGTTCGTATTCGATGTGTTGCAGATTAAATAACCGATTGCTTAAAATTTCGTACCATCATGGGTATAGATCAACGTACAACAGGTGGCGCGCGAGTCTGTTCACCAAATTGATATATTTTGAATACTTGGCGATAGTAATAGCGTGATATTATTGCCATTATGATGGCGATGATGATGAGGTGTAGCGTGGGAAAAAAGCCTATTTAGCTTCAGAAACTTAAACTTTAGAAAATGCATGAAAGCAACCATACTGCATCCTCTTTCACCTGTCCTGTGTCGAATAAGAGCAGAAATTAAAAATTTGATCTTTACAGCACGCTGCCAGTGAAAAAGGTTAAACACTTAGGAGGAAAGTTTGGCTCCATGGTATGCACGACACTAAAGATTGCTACAATGGGCGAACTAAAGAAGTTCTCTGCGAAGGAATTGCAGAAGAAGTTTGATGAGAAAAATGGGTAAGTACAAATTTAGACTATTACTGACGATTTCTATTCGTATGGGCCAGGGCCGTGGAGGTTAACAAGCTTATACTAGAACCAGAAACAAGCTGGACTTCAGAACTCAAAATGTGCTCTCTGCTTAATTGGGTGGACGAGCTCACAGCCCACCTGATGTTAAGTGGTTACTGGAGCCCATAGACATCTACAACGTAAATGCGCCACCCACCTTGAGATATAAGTTCTAAGGTCTCAGTATAGTTACAACGTCTGCCCCACCCTTCAAACCAAAACGCATTACTGCTTCACGACAGAAATAGGCGGGGCGGTGGTACCTACCCGTGCGGACTCACAAGAGGTCTTACCACCAGTAAAGTTTCTTCGTATATTTATTACTAGATGATGACCGAGCTTTGCTGGTTTTTTTTTGATAACGCCATTTTATTGTGTCTTTAAAGCGGTTAGTTGCCCTCAATTAAGAAAAATAGTATTCTTATTCGCCAATAGATGTCGGGAAGAGTTGATTATTGAAAATACGTATAAAATAACATTTTCTGAAAATAAATCGTAGCTAGATCGATTTATCGCCCCCGAAATCCCCTGTATACTAAATTTTATGAAAATCGTTGGAGTCGTTTCCGAGATTCAGATTATATATATTATTATATTAATATACAAGAATTGCTCGTTTAAAGGTATAAGATTTTCAGAGCTTGGCTGTACAACGTGGCGCGCGGCATAGACCCGGAGCCGGTTCAGGCCAGGTTTAACCCGAAAAGTATTGGGTGCTGCAAAAATTTTAAAGGCAAATCCGCCCTCGTCGATGTGGACGCGCTCAGGAGATGGCTCAAGGAACTCGCCGACGAAATAGAAAATCGGCTCGATAAAGACGCTCTCGAGAACAGCCGGACGCCGAGACAGATGGTCGCCAGCTACTCCGCGCAGCTCCCGGGAGGCGGGGACTCCGCCGCGTCCAGGTCCTACAATTTTCTGCCTGATGATGACTTAAACGGAGACTTCATGTCCAATAAGGCGTTTGAACTTGTCATGGACGGCTCCGAAGGATACAAACCCAAAGGTATATATATATATATATACAACATGTAACATAATTAACGCACACCCTGAAAGTAATTTGTTCAGAATCGGAATCTGGATCGATTTTGATTGTTTTTTATGTACCAAATTTTTTTTCTAAAATTTAGTTAAAACTAAGTAAATTACAGTCACCCTACACAGCTAGCTAAACAGTTCATAGAAACGAAAATGGAACGTAAGTCCGGGTATTAAGACTTTTTAAAATGAAATATCTAATTAGTAAAAAAATATATTATTTAATTAAAGAAATCTGATACTTATTTCAAGGCTAATAGTCTATTACAAAATAAAATACCTACGCACACAATACCAACAGCGACCGCCGACACACAGCAACACTACAATACATAAAAGAAAGCCACGTAATACAAAAATAATTACTATCCCTTTCTTTCGTCGGCTTCATATTTTTACAAAAGACGGCAGGCTAATCCCGATGTTCGCGGCGACGCGGTTGCGTCGGCGGTGATCAAAGGAAAATCTAAACAACGAAGTCAACAAAATATTTTTGACAAGTCAGTCACGCCGCATCCACCTTATCGATAAGAGGTCAAGTGATAGTGCAAATAAAATATCTCCCGTATTTCGCTATGTCTTTTCGGTCAGTGGCCTCCTAGATCAGCTGACTTGACGCCTCTCGACTTTTTTTTGTGGGGGCGAATTAAATCGCTAGTTTATAACACAGACAATAAGTGCCGAAGAACTAAAGAATAAGATAATAACCGCCTTTGAAAAAGTGAAAAGTGACATTGCAGTATTATCTAAAATAAAACAACAAATACGAAAACGGTCATTAAAGTGCATTGAACAAGCGGCGCGGCGAGTAGGTACATGTGTGTGCGTGCGCAGCGGAGTGTGAATCGGTGACCATTTTATTTCCACGAAATGGGAATAACTAATTTCACAAATAATCAATGTTAACGCACATATAAATAATATTTGGTGTATGCATAGCGTTTATACTATTAAAGTCTAATTGGGGTGTTTGAGGGTGTGCGTTAAATATGTTACATGTTGTATATATTCTTTTAAATTTGACACTTCGAAGTAATGCCTTTGTCGGTAAATCACCTGCAGTACTGAGCTACGATGAGGCACCATCGATCAACTATACTCGTTGACCGTTGTAACTATACTGAGATCTTAGAACTTATATCTCAAGGTGGGTGGCGCATTTACGATGTAGATGTCCATGGGCTCCAGTAACCACTTAACACTAGGTGGGCTGTGAGCTCGTCCACTCATCTAAGCAATAAAAAAAAACACTCCCCTCGCAGAGGTAACAATAATGTAATGTAACGACATATAGGGCTTATAGAGCAAATAGTCTGTGGTTATAAGTCAGCAGACGTTTGGAACTTAAATACATATACACAGTAAAAAAAACTGATGATCTTTTCCTCTACCTATTCACTGGTAGCCTAAGGTGCTATTCCAGCTACGTGCGGACGGGTGAGCGAGTTCAGGGGCTCAGGTTGAGAGAATTTGCTAGCTAGCTATCCTAGCAAGAGGAATGCACCACAGAATCTACCACATAATAGGAATCGCGACCCACTGAGATGATCCGATGAGAAACTTAATGCGCTGTGCCTATAGGAACGGGTCATCGGAATCATATAGTTGCGTGGTCACTGCCAGACACTGACAGATTACTGGTGGTAGGACCTCTTGTGAGTCCGCGCGGGTGGGTACCACCGCCCTGCCTATTTCTGCCGTGAAGCAGTAATGCATTTCGGTTTGGAGGGTGGGGCAGCCGTTGTAACTACGAGTATACTTGAGACTTTAGAACTTATCTCAGGATGGGTGGCGCATTTACGTTGCAGATGTCTATGGGCTCCAGTAACCACTTAACACCATGTGGGCTGTGAGCTCGTCCACCCATCTAAGCAATAAAAAAAACCAACCATCCTGACTGTTACTGCATTGCAGCGGGCGGCCAACCTGAGACGGGTACATTCATGTAAATCGATCTGATACTTCGACCTCATGTGTCATTGTGATGTCTATGGACTCTGGTAACCACTTAGCACCGGGTACACCTTGAGTTTGTCCATCTTATTATTTCAGAAATTAACATTTCACCCGGAGATGATGGGTGAGTTTAAAATATTAATGAATTAAATTTGTATTAAAGATGTTGAAGACAACAGGAAACTGAAAGCGCCGATAGTTTTTTTGGGAATAAGCGTAGGTAAGTTCGAAGATCATTCTGAAACGAAGAAATCAAGGAAGATCAGGGATTACTTCGAAACCGGAGCTTCTAAGGACATTGCGAATAAAGACAACAAAGTATCTTCATTGAAGTCCGAGGAGCTGTGTACGACCTCACCGCTGGGAACTAACCATTGCAAAGCAAAGACGTTAGAATCGAAAGGAAATAAAACTGCAGACAAAAGTTACATAATAAATAAATTCTTTAAAGAATCCAACATAAAGACGGAAGCCAATATAATTGAAGGACAAACTGCGCCCTCAGGAGAATATAAGGCGAAATGTGACCCGGTACTAGAGACCAGCTTAGACAGACAAGAATCGTTCTTTGCTAAAATTCTAAACGACAAGTATAAGGAAAATATAAGTGTACAGAATTCAAAAAGTGACAGAATAGTCAAACCGTGCACACCGGTCTGTGACGTCATCGAGCGTGGCGAAGACAGTGACCAGTCAGATTATTCACGATCGACCATTAACGATGAAATCAATAAAAGTATTGCGCTGTTCGATGAAGATCCTCAGGACGTCCAACGTGTTGCCAGGACTAGGGAACTGCTCAAATCTAATGTTGAAGTAGAAATTGGCACAGCCGGCATTGACGTCGCCGGTCAGTCTCTGAGGGGTGAGGAGAGGTACAGTTGTCCTGAATGCGGTAAAGCCGTACCCGTCGGAGATCTAGGGACCCACGCCGACTATCATCTCGCGTTGAACCTAAGAGACGAAGAGAGGCAAACGTTTCGACTAGAGCGAGATCAGTTTGAAGCGCGAATTCCTGTTGAAGATAAAAAGAAAAAGAAACCTCCGGACGATATTAATAAAACTGAAAATACAATAGCTAATTTTTTCGTCAAAATCAACGAAAACGTACCGACGGAAACGTGTTCCGAGTGTGGGAGAAAAGTACAGTTAGATAAGTTTTCCGAACATCTGGACTTCCACGAGGCTCAGAGAATTAGTCGAGAGCTCAATAAGAAGGTTACAGTGAAAATGGGAAGTGGCGAGAAAAGAAAAAAAAAGTCGCCCGTTCATAAATCCAAATTGCCTTGTAAATCTATAACATCATTTTTTAAATAATTGTGAATGAGATTAATAAAATGAAATTAAATTTCAATATCGTTGTTGTTTATTTTATTAGGAGTAGAGCTGTCCGGCTGCTTTGTTTTTTAAACACCTTGTTTATTAACGTGTTTATTATTTATTAAACCCACAGAATTAGTGAAGATTGGATAAGAGAAATTTTAAAGATTTCTGTTCATATAAAATTTATTTAATTATATCAATATCCTTTTGTCTGTTATGTACCTACTTACAATTGGTTGTTCTTGGGTAACAAACGAAATTGCAATTTGTTTTCGATTTGAATGATAATCTCGTGAATGAATTTAATTGCGTGTGTGAATATGACGTGATTAGCCAAATTATGTTGATTTATAATGTCAACTAGCGATCACGGGTGAAAGACCCATCGCAGTATGAAATGTTTAAAGTTGTACGTGGTGTCCCACAGAAAGATTGAATGATTTTGAGTCGATCGTCCTAAAAAATATTTTAACTACCAAGTTTAAAAAGGGTTTTTTATAGTCAGAAGGAAATCGATGGACTTCCGCTCTCCACTGGGGATGGGCGGGGCATGTCGGAATCGAACCAAATAAAAACCTCCTGTCGTTCAACAACTCATGTCCGAACCTCACATGAGTCAGAACTCATGAGAAGGCAATGGGGGGAAAGTGAAGCGATTAGTGTGGAGCACATCTCTCCCATAACCCTCCTCCTCGGGACGCCGGTCCGGTGGTCGACGGTACCACGACCCCCAGCCCTCTTGGTCGGCACGCTATCCGAAGCTTGCCTAGATGGCGCCGATTAGAATGGGTATATATATGGCTTGTACGTCTCTCAAGCGCCCCGCTACCTCCTTCTGCGAGATGGTGCACTCGCAGAAGTCGAGCATCGATGCTACAACGCTCGGCAACGACAAGTCGTTTCCTATTTTTGCTACGAGGTCACTGCGCCACCCCTCCCGTGCGGGGCAGGCGACGAGCGTGTGCTCCGCCGTGTCCAAGTCGCAACCACAATGGTGGCACTGCCGTCGGCTCGGCTCCGATCCGGTGAAGGAACTCACCGTAGCAACCATATACAATGAGCTACTGCGCGAGCCGGATTACTTAGGCCTAAGTTACTTTAATATGTTCTCTTCGAATAGTTGGCGTCGTTAAATAATTCGAGGCACAACCCTTTCCTTTTTTTGAGCCGGGGACTCTACCTTCTACGAGGTCCCTACACCGCATGGGGTATGTGGTACTAGACGATCGATCCACTCCAATATTGGGAGCGGACTGCGGGCTTAAGGATATTTTATTTACTTAATTTTTTTATTGGTTAAATGGATGAATGAGCTCACAGCTCACAGCCCACCTGATGTTAAGTGGTTACTGGAGCCCATAGAGATCTACAACGTAAATGCTCCAACCACCGTGAGATATAAGTTCTAAGGTCTCAGTATAGTTACAATGGCTGCCCCACCCTTCAAACCGAAACGCATTACTGCTTCACAGCAGAAATGGGCAGGGTGGTGTTACCTACCCGTGCGGACTTTCAAGAGGTCCCTTACCACCTGGTGTTAAGTGGTCACCGGAGCCCGTAGACGTCAACAACGTTAATGCCGCCATCTATTTCAGAAACACAAGTTTTACTTGTTTTTAATGTACGGCTGCCCTCCCTTCAAACCGAAATAGGCAGGGCGGTGGCACCTGCCCGTGCGGACTCACATGACGTCCTGTAATGGTAGGGCAAACTAACCCATAGGCAGAACAGTTTCTCGTCGGGTCTTAGATTACCTAACTAACAGTCGAGTTCGACGAAGACGGTGCCCAATGCTTGAAAAGCTTAAAAGAATTGCCCCGTTGCCTAAATCGGATATGCAACTGATTCATTAGCTGCTCTATGTTATGAAAGTTATTATATTTAATTTTGATGATTTTCAAAATGAAACCACAAGATTTAAGAGTAGAATGTATTGATCAGATTATACATTGAGGATCTCAGCCTGAACCTTCCTCCAAGCGTCGAGAGGTCCATGTTCCGGGCGGTACTGCACAATGCAGCCGTCATTGGCGAGGCGGCCCTCTTCACGCAGCTTCTCAAACTCATCACGTTCATACTTTGTGAAACCCCACTTCTTTGATACGTAGATCTGTGGTCCAAATAAACTGATTAGAATAATCTATCATTTTTGGATATGTAAAATTGCTTTAAAAAATTAAAATTGATATATATTATTTTTCCAGTTTACAGCTGGCTGAGCTTTCAACCACCTCAATATTTGATTTATAATGGAAGATTGCTTTAAGTAACTTTATTCTTAACCTCATTTTAATATTTAAAGGAGTTTTGCCAAATTGTTTAAAGGATAATTAATGAATTATTTCTTCTACTAAATTATTGGGTATTATAAAGGCAGTGGCAAAAGCCCTAACAGCCATAAGCCGATTTATTTTATTTCATTAGGCAATGGATATTGCTATTGCAAAACATTACATTTTTGACTTCAATTGACCTATTGAAAATCTTGTATTTTCCTTATAAAATAATTTGGAAGTTGTCATTCTCAATGTGCCAAATAATAACATCTATAAAATATGCAATTTAATCCATAACCTTTTGACGTCCGGGGAACTTGAACTTGGCACGGCGCAGAGCCTCGATGACCTGTGCCTTCCACCTGTCACTAGAGCGCACGGACATGATGGGTTGTCCAATGCGAACACGTGCTACAGTACCCTGAGGCTTGCCAAACGCACCACGCATCCCAGTCTGGAGCCTGGAAAAAAGTTAGGATAAGTATAGCGAGTTTAAGCTTGAAGTTGATATCTGTAAATTCATTTCGACTTCAAAGAATAATTATAATTGCTTTAAATATCTCCTAGCAGTATTACTGAAATTGTCTCTGAAATACAAGAACCTGAATTAAATTTTATCAGAGTAAAACTTTTACTTTATAAATGCAATTGTTTTTTTTTTTGTATATTGAAAGCAATATTCAATAACTATTATTAAAACTAGCCATAAAAGTAAAGTACAACCACTTGTAGATATCAGTATCTATATAAAAACAAATGCTAAAAGAACTCAGCTTTTTTTACGTTTCATGTTACATCAATTCTCGTTCGAATTTAAAAGACAACATCACATAAATACTCTCCTACTCCTAATCATCATTTTTGAAAAAATGTTTATCAATTAACCATATAAGTTACAACTGTTTTTAATAAGATGGTTTAACGATTTAGAATCAAAGGAAGAAACTCACCTATCAGCTCCAGCGCACGATAACATTTTATTGATGCGGATAACGTGGAAAGGGTGAAGTCTCATGCGGATATGGAACTGATCCTTTCCGCAGTTCTTTACGAGGTACTTATTGCAGCAGATACGTCCTGCCTCCAAAGCCTCTGAGCTCAGCTGTTCATATTCGTCGGACACCAAGTGCACGCACAGTGGAAAGTCGTCAACGTTCGCTCTCTTCTTACCCAAATCGAAGATACGGATCTTGGGATCAGGTACACCCCGACAGAACCTCGATTTCGGATACGGTTTATTTTTGCAGTACCGGTAGCTGAAAAATAATTTGATAATTAACAATAAGTTGCTATTAAAATAAAAAAGTACTGTCGTAATTTGTTTACCATCTCGCTGGCCGGCGCCCCATGGTGATCTGAAATATACACAAAAACTGACTTAGTAGTTCTCACAGATTTAATGTTTACTATTTAATAGAAAGCATGTAAAACACAAATAAAGATTTAAATTGATTTTAGATGAAAAACAAATCATAAGCACCTTTACAAAGTGACACCACAACCTCGAAAGACAGCAGGAAACGGGTTTGACGTTGACGTTTTGTTAAGGCTGTTCGTTCAAAAACAGTGTTTTCTCGCTTGTACTTTATTTTACGCGAAAAGAAGTGGATTTTATAAATTTGCTATTTAAAATTAAAGTTAATCCATTAAAGTCAAGTTAGTTTGGAGAGGTTCCCTTCAATGAATATGAAAACACTAATTATCAGGAATGAACTGTTATACATAGTAAAATAAATAATTTCCGCAACTATTTTAATAATCATAAGCAGTAATTTCAAGCCAAGCATACCTGAATAGCCGTAACTATTTTACGTTCATTACCATGTACTTTTCTTCAGTATTTCTATCAATAAGATATATTGCGTAGATTCAACAGTGTTAAGCTTAGAATTAAGGATCAACTATGAAGCTGTAATTTCATGTTTTCTGAGAAATAAAGAAACTTTTGAAATTGGATCGACCATTTATGTTGCAGTATTACAACGCAGTTCTTAACTACAGTAGCTCTGGGGAACATAGGGTTAGAATTGATATTCTAATTAGTTACAATAAGTTGCGTTTCATAATATTTTTATGTTCCAAACCCATTTTCCTTGTCCTAGTGCTTATTGTTTGAAACATGTAACAGAACAACGGTGACCGAACTGTAATATTACAATAAAATAATAATAATTTATACCTGGATTGTGAGATCACTGCCTTGTGGCATAAATGAAACGAAACGAAATGAAGCAATGTGGTGAAAAGAGATGAGACATGATGAAAAGAAATAATGTCCTAGTGAAATGATGAAAGTTTACTGAGACTTCGATGAGCTTTTTGGGAACAAGCGAGAAGTCACGTCAGGCGTTTTTATTTCATTTTCATTAAACTCAAGGACTTTCACAGATCATAAACGGTTAATAAGCTATCTTTATTACACGTTTATATCAACTCCACCTGATTTCATTCATATCATTCTTCACTCCATATTATTTTTCGTTAAACAGAATATTTTCAAAGCTGGGCAGTACGGTGAATTTTTTTTGCCTTCTTCTGGTAGAAAATGGAACTTGTTGCTTGCTGATTTAATTTCACCGCTGGGACTTTGTGGCGGGAGCGCGAAGAGCGAAGTTGTGGGAGTTGTTTTATTTTGACTATTGATTGTTTCTTTTTGTTTAAATGTGTAATAACGATGGAACTGTTTAGTATCTGTGAAAGTGCACAAATGTGGAAAAATGAAACAAAGCCGCTGGACGTAACTTTTCGGGATCTTCCAAAAGTCTTCTAAAAAAGGCTCAGTAAATAACCACCATTTTATTGAGATTATATTTCATCCCATATCATTTCACCTCATTTTATTTAATTACATCTCAGTTGATTAATGTCTCAAATTAATCAACTTTATTTCATTTCACTCCCTTACATTTTTCAGGAAAGAGAATAGAATCAACATACAAAAGATTAGGCTGTATTGTGTGATACCTTCGCCTTTCTACTTGGAGAAATGGAACACTACTGTCACCGCTGTCAAAAGTGTCAAACCCATACTTCAGTCGAACTCGAACAACAAAAGTCAAAACTTGAAAACAAATCTGAAAGGAATCGGAAGTGGAACTTAACATTTTCATTCACAATTAACATTTTGACGAGCAAAGTACTATAATGGGTGTACTAGCGAGTCGCCAGAATCCAGGACTAGAAGACGCTGATATTATATCCAACCATGCCTACAAGTACCCACCGAGATCCGGTGAGGTTGACCTTTGAAAGTTACCCTATTTATCATTAATTTAAATTAATTTATATTTATAATTTTGAAACATTTGCACACCATAAGACAAAGCACGACAATTAATACCTTATTGTAAAAAAGCACTTTTTTTTTTGTTTTTTAAAGTAAGGTACTTTAACTTTACCATATGTACACTCTCTAACATTGGATTATTAAACTTAAGGGCTTGGTATCCAATTAACTCAATGACTAAGCCAAGTCAAGGTCTAATTATTCTTACATCAAGTTGTGATAAAGGGTTTTTTCACAATTTCACCTTATTATTTTCAACATATTCTGCACAGTATCTGCCTTTGAATGCAATAACAACCACCCAAATATTTCTTATATACTTAGTGCATTTAAGCGTTATGTATAGTTTTTTTTTTAATCAATATTATTTTCATTATTTTAATTGTTTTTCTGTGACTACCTTTCACTCTGGTAAATCTTTGGAAAAAAATTCAAACACACATTGAATTACAAACAACCACTGAGTTTATGCTAATCATTTTAAGTATGACACCTTCCTCGAATTTAAATAAATGTACACAGTTATGACTAAATTAAGTAAATGAAACATAAATTCAAATAAAACTAATAAACAAGCCTTATTTCTTTTTTATTCACAAAAATTGAATATTTAGTATGTTCAAAGAAATAAGTGATTAAGGGAGCCCATGTTCATATCACCACTTAAATGTGTTTATTCACCTTGACACATAAGGTCAAATTCTCAATTGTATTGCAATAATTCCCTTAAATTGGAATATACAAATATTTTGCTGATAAAATAAGCAGGATTGTGATACCTTACTGCAGATCATAATACATTGTTGTATGCTGAAATGAGACTATCTTTTATTTTAAGATCTTATATCGCATCTTACATCTTTTTCGTTGTTTGATTTATGATTATTATGGCTGTTGATAAGATCAGCATTTGGGACCTGATGGTTAGTGATTGCTTCAGTCATTGGACACATTTTAGCGAGACCGATGCATGCTGTAAAATTACTTAATAAAATTTACACTGCTATCTGACTTCATTGAACATCTGTATAATTGTTATTGTTTTTGGGATTATTATTAACATAGGTAATTACTTCGGGAGCCACTTTATAATGGGAGGCGAAAGATTTGATACTCCACAACCAGAGGCTTACCTCTTTGGTGAAAATGCTGATTTGAACTTTCTAGGCAGTAGACCGACTCCGGTGAGTATTAAGCTTTTAAACTTAACTTTACTGCATGATGTCAAGTACATTTTATAACTGTCATCCAGCTCAACGTCTCCATACTCTTACAGTTCCCTTACCCCCCGCCGCAGTCAAATGAGCCTACGAAAACGCTAAAAAGTCTAGTGAACATACGTAAGGAGTCGCTACGTTTCATTCGCTGCCCTGAGCCATTGAGTAAATTAGCAGACAACCAGATTGGTGATGGTGTTATGAAATCACCAGAATCAAATGGAAAGGGGACATACTATAATATAGAGTTTACTTTTGACTGTGATGCTAGATGTGCTATCACTGTCCATTATTTTTGCACTGAAGAGGTTACTCCTACTGGTGTTGTGTGAGTATTATAACAAGTTTACAAATACTATCCAATCTGATACATAATTATTGTAACTATTGAACATTGAACATGACAAGGAAATAACTGTATGTGTTGAGTAGTAAGATGTTCCACCAAATGCCCGTCTTGGCTCTGTGCACCATCACTATGGCTATGCCTATCTCCAATACTGTTATGATAAAAAGTATCCCAAATAAAAAACAGTAACAAGTAGAATTTGTCTTTATACATTTTGATGAATGTACCATAGATTCAGAATGTAATTTCACCACAGACAAAACAACAAGAACCTCAGGGTTTCTCTTTTTTTTTTTTTTTATTGTTTAGATGGATGGACGAGCTCACAGCCCACCTTGTGTTAAGTGGTTACTGGAGCCCATAGACATCTACAACGTAAATGCGCCACCCACCTCCAGATATAAGTTCCAAGATCTCAGTAAGTTACAACGGCTACCCCACCCTTCGAACCGAAACACGTTATTGCTTCACGGCGGAAATAGGCGGGGTGGTGGTGCCTACCCGTGCGAACTCATAAGACTTCCTACCACCAATAAAGCATATATTGATTATAGTATTTTTATTTAGTATCGGAAGACGTAGCGTGGGTAGACCTCCCACAGGATGTACTGACGACCTATTGAGGTTCGCGGGGATCCGCTGGATGCAAGCAGCGCAGGACCGATCTTTGTGGCAAGGCTTGGAGGAGGTCTATGTCCAGCAGTGGACGTCTGTGGGCTGATACAATAGAAAAAAAAAACAGTATTTTGGTCAGTTTTCGCGAGACACAAGCAGTTTATTGTAAACATCTGAACGTCAGTACAGGGCAAAGACCTGTGATATTATTTTTTTGCATTCGTCCCTGCTTAAATGAAAATGATTGAACCAATTTATGTTCTGATTGGGAGTTGTATGTGGTCATGCATCATTTTAATGAATCAATCAATTGATGCACGGTTCCGATGTCGTATTAAGAAAATTGCTCCCAATTGAATTGCATGCAAATGTATGTTTATTTTTAGAATTACTAAAGTCAAACTAAGCAAACTAAACCTATTATTTCTTGGTTTGGAAATAATTGAAGAACCCTAAAATAGCAACGACATTGAATCCCCAGATATTACCCGCGAGACCCGACAATGAGTTCGCAAACGTACCACTACAAGAAAGGTGCGAATCAACAGTTTTGTCAGATCTCTCACGTGTTTGATCCCTCGAAATATTCAGAAGAAGACCTACTGTACAACGCTGACAAGGAATTAATTCCGATTGCCATATATTGCGTGGTTGATGAAGGACAAGACGGTAGGTAACGCGCATTCAATGACCATATTTAACCTTGTTGTGAGTACCTATGGAGTAGCGGGGAGGGATTCGCTCTGCGCTTAACTCGTCAACTTGCCAGTGCCTTTCTCCGGGCGTCAGTTGTTGAGCAATATGGGGCTTTTGTAGGTTAGACTATAATACTGCGTACCGCCCCCAAACCCCCGATTGAATTTTGGCGAACTCTTATTGTCGCAAAAAATCATTGTTCTCTCAGCAACGCAAGAGTCAAGTAAATTATGTGCTCTCAATAATAAGTAAACGATATGTCAATATTTATGAAGGCATCACATTTTTTACAAGATCTTTAAATGTTCAGTATTTTGTTTCTGCTGATTCTTATTTCACTCATTGCTCTGCTCTTGATTCTACATTTCACAACGCCCTCCACACATCCAGAGAAACAGACGGAGAAAAAACGTGCGATTGAAAGTTATACAGAAGGGTGGTCACGACCTTGGTATTGAGGAACACGATGCAAGGAAGAGGGATCACTGCTGTACAAAAAAAAAATGACATACGTAGTACTGTTAGTTAAGCGAAAATGCACTCTATTCAATCGTATCAAAATTTAAAATCCATTCGCAGAAATAAGGCAGTCCCACACAACCATTGCGGTAGTCGAGAAACATTCGGACGGAACGTACGTGTTGAAAGCTTTAAAACAAAAACTATTTGTTGATGGACTTTGCTACTTGTTGCAAGAAATATACGGGATCGAGAACAAAAATTTAGATTCTAAGGTAATCATAATTAAAATTGATAGATAAATAAATAAATGTCTAATTAACACCACTCCTGTACATGCCGTCATAATAAAATAAAAAATTGATACTTTAAACTTAAAGTGTAGGTAAATAAGATATTATTTTAATCGGCAACTTAACTTACGGTCCGTATAATGTTAAGTCCTTTCGGGGGCTTATAGATTGCAGAGTGAACATCATAGCTCACCTTGAGACATGTGGAAGTCTCAATCTGTATAAATAAATTGATTGACGTCTGTCGTCGTGCGTTAACAATTGTTCGTTATCTAAAAAAAATATACAGTAATTCGTTTCAAATAAGAATGTGCATAGATCTGCGCCATATTGTGACGTCATAGCTGTCTAATCGAAAAAAATAAGTAAAGTCAGTACAAAAAGGTAGGAATTTTTAAATATTAATTTATAATCCAAATCTTCGACTTTGCCGATTCCACTCATCCCATTGCTTTAGTAATCATCACCATCGTTGCCCATCCATAGATTCTAGGGCCCGACAGTGTTGTAGTCTGGATTTTAAATAGGTGCATTTATTTTATATAATCTAAATTCTTGTTTAATTTACCTCTACCAGTACTCAACATATCAAGAAAATTATATGAGTGTGTATGGTTCATTAAAACAAACATAATTAGGAAAAAAATCACTAAAAAAGATGTTTTTTTTGTTGCTCTCCATACTTTTTAGCGAACTTTGACAGATCAACAGTAATTGACGTGATATTCTTAGTTGAAACGCAATTACATTTGTTCACCAAAAGTTACTAAAGTTTTTAGGAGTTAGGCGCGTTTTCAACTGTTCCCTATAGATGGAGATATTAGTGTTAGGTATTGCAATATTGTTATGATACACAGTTTGATTTAAATATGAATTTCTAAAGGATGACTTCCAATTGACGCTGACGGTGTTGCAAACGTATCCAGAAATACTATAAGCACCTGTCTCATTATTCCAATCAATATTTACAAAAGCTTTGTACCCGAATGTGGTACAGGTAATCCTACTATCCTATAACAATGTGTATGGTTCCACGCTAACAAAAAGAAAATTTCCCCAAAACCCTCTTATAAAACGATAGCGAATTTTTTTTTTTAAATTATTTAGAAAATGACATTTAGTACTATGAACACACTGTATATAGGAATAACCCAAATTTTATATATAATATGGATAAAAAAAGTATACAGGCATAGTTGAGATATTTCATTCAAAAAAATTACTCTCCTTTTTGTACTGGCTTCTACGCTGGACTTTGTAAGAATGTATCTACCGTGTTATAGGCGGGTTATCTGTATAGTATTTGCTTAATATTATTGCGGCGGGGCATACTTGTGCCACTAAAAAATTGTTTTTTTTTTGGGAATCTCATTGTAGAGATGTGGCAATAGTCAATAGACGGTTGTGGTCGCTTATATAGTAACCTTTGATCTACCGAGTGTGATTTTTAACATTTTGGATCCTCTGACCACAGTTGCGTATAACATTCCGTCGGACAAGTTTAAAGGTGTTTGTGTGTACAGCCGACTTCAGACTCTGAAACTGAAGAGGGCGGGTCGGAATGCGTGATCTGCATGTGCGACACGCGCGACACGCTGATCCTGCCGTGCCGACACCTGTGCCTGTGCAACTCGTGCGCGGACTCGCTGCGCTACCAGGCCAACAACTGCCCGATCTGCCGCGCTCCCTTCCGCGCCCTGCTGCAGATCCGAGCGCTGCAGCGGCGCACGTCGGAGGGGGCGCTGCCGGCGGGGGCAGGGGGAGAATCTCTGCCCCCCGGCTACGAACCGGTGTCACTCATTGAAGCCCTGAACGGCCCCCATCCTGCCCGTTCCGCTGCCCCGACTCTCACCCGCACTGCTCCGGCTATAGCGTCACCGGACACTGACACGGCCTCGCAGGTCAGCAGTTAACTGTTTAAGATGAGGATAAATCTCGGTTTTAATCTATTTTGTCAATACCGGCCTACTCTCCTAAGAAACACTAATAATGTAAAGCACACAGACCATGCGTTGCTCAAAATATCAGATGCTTTTATGATTTTTTTATGCTGCGGTCGGTGAACGATTTCACAGCCCACCCAGTGTGCAGTTACTGCCAGAGTCCACCGACATCACTACGTGAATCCTGCCGCCCACTTTGAAACATGAGCTACGAAGTCTCGGCTGTATTGTATAACGGCTGTCCCGACCTACAAACCGAAACACATGGTTGCTTCGCGGTAGGAATGGACAGAATGCTGGTACCTACCCGTGCGGGCTACAGTCGAACTCGCTCATCCATCTGATAAAATAAGAGTACGTGTGCTATGTGAATGTAAACTGTTTCAATGGTAGACAGTTATCACGGGAGAAAGTTCTATTTCTCCTCTCGTTTGCTGCAAAAAAGTTTTCATATTTTTTTTTTATATTTTACATTATTGTGTACTTGTGTTTGTTTAAATCTAGCTTCCTTAAGAAGTATAACGTGTTCCAATTTTAAAAAGAAAAGTAATAATTTGCTGAACTCATACTCAAGTGCATAGCGATTGGTCGGTCTGATACTGGTGTGCGCGTCGCTCCGCAGATGCTGGTGGAAGATCAGCGCCGCAGTACCACCGATTGTTTCGTTACTGTTAGGCATTGCTGAGCCGGTAACCGTTTCCAAACCTCGTTATTTTTCTTATCTTTGTTTTTATTTTTTTCTACCTAATTTATGTTTGGAATAAATGTTTATTATTATTATTTATTTAAATTTATTTATATAAATCTTATTAATTACATAATATTAAAAAAAAAAAAGTTTTTATAAAACACTATTTAAAAATAGATTGCCGCTGATGGCAGTGTCTACGACACAAGTCACCAGTGGTTAGGACTCCATAGTGAGAAACCTCCTCACAATGCGTGCAGTATCGAGGATAACTGCTTTCTATATTAGGCCCTTAACCCAGCTGGATAACGAAAGTTTCTTAAGATGTTGATCGAAACTTTTCGCTATCAAGCCGTGTACCGACAACTATTGGAACAATGATGGTTGAATCAACATGCCACATGGCGGTAGTCTCGTGGGCCAGGTCTAAATATTTTATTAATTTGTCCTTTACTGCCTTCATTATTATTATTATTATTATTATTATCTAACACTCTGAATTTATTCGGCCCAGTCGTCCAAATATCTGAAAGTCCCTGAGCATCTGTTGTTTGCTTGAAGGCTGCAGAAATCCTGAACCGCTGCAACATAGAGCGCAGCTCCTCCACCAGCCTGGGGAGCAGCGGCAGCCGCAAGGGCAAGTCGGGCTCCAAGGACGACGTCAAGACTTTACGCAGCACGCCGCACGCCCTCACTCCGGAGGTCACTCCCAATAGCTCATTTATATCGTATAGGCTCACAAGCGACCACGACCCAACGATAATGTAATGGGACTTTGACCTTTATAAACTCTTGCGCCAATCTCTGGTCTGCTTATTGAGGTCCAGAATATTACGATTGCTTCCCTTACGTCATACCCCTCACTGCCGGTGGTCACACTAGCCGCAGTGTGGGCCGATTGTTGGCCCAACTGTCAGACCAATTCAAGTTTTTTTTAATTTATTGCTTAGTTGGGTGGACGAGCTCACAGCCCTCCTGGTGCTAAGTGGTTACTAGAGCCCATAGACATCTACAACGTAAATGCGCCACCCACCTTGAGATATAAAGTTCTAAGTTCTCAAGTATAGTGACAACGGCTGCCCCACCCTTCAAACCGAAACGCATTACTGCTTCACGGCAGAAATAGGTAGGGTGGTGGTACCTACCCGTGCGGACTCACAAGAGGTCCTACCATCAGTAAAGAGTCTGCTTATTGAAGTCCAGAATATTATGATTGCCTCCACTACGTCCCACCCCTCACTATCGGTAATCACACTGGCCGCAGTGTGGGTCAATTGTTGGCCCAACTCCCAGGCCAATCCAAGATTTAAAAGATATATATCTTTTTCATCTTTATTGTTAAAAAAACAGTCATATTTAATGAAGTTCCGTTGTTCCGCAGTTCCGCATGTCGGTGCTGCTGGCTCGCGAGGAGGAGGCCAAGCGCGCCGACGAGAAGACGGCGGCCAGCAGCCCGCTGCTCCACGACCACAAGCTCATGAACGGCGAGAACAAGTTCCCGGTATCTAGAACATTCTGTCGTCACTATAACACGGATACAGCTCGGACAAAACGCCACAGAGCCATGTCAGGATTAAAAAAAGTACTGACCAATCGCCCGCCCAGTCCTTTTCACATAAAACATTTCTTACATTAATGGAGAGCGGGAATATTTAAATTTTTCACAGACTTTATTATTCGTGAGTCTGTAACGTATCCCGAAGGTGTACCGCGTTCATTCCAGGGTTTGATTCTGGATTTAATTTTCTTGTCAAAAAATCTCCAGCTCTCGATCCTGGCTTCGTGTTATTGTAACGTAGGTACTGTGCCTAAACTGGGTGATGCTCGCAGCACTCTCCGTAGTCAGGGTGTGGTCTAACCACGAACTTGTACGTAGTGTGCCAAACAAGTAGGGTGTCCAAACACCTAACTCAGTGTGGCCACGACCGCCACGATGAAGTAACGCTCACAAAAAAAATCGGTAATCAAACACCCTTGTTTTGTCCCGTCCAGTCGTCTCCCGATATGGAGTGCGGGGCGGAGGCGTCGTGCTCGGAGCAGACGGGGGCGGAGCCCGACGCCGACGCCGAGAGACTCTCCCCCCTGCTCACACACACTCTCAACAACGTACGTACTTTGTATTGCACTTTTCTTTTCGGATATTTTTTATTTCTTTAAACCCATAAACACAAAGAGTGAATTTAACTGTAGACCTTAAAACGTCGGATTAAAGTCTCAAATGCTTTGACACAGAAACTGTTCTATACCTTTCAAAATGAATTAACATTACCATTTGAATACAGTTTAACGTAATCCAGCGATGTTTTCGATCGGGATGACAATTATTTTTGTTGCCGTCCAAATAATACAAAACTCAACTTTTGTAAGACGTGACATCATTTGAGGCTAAAATAAGTTAACAAAGGCGAGTACGAAATAAAAGATGGTGCTCTAAGTAAACGCCTCGCGAAGATTGAGTTTAGAATCGAAATATAAGATTTTTTTTAAAGGGATTTTATGACCTGGTAACTAAGTCCTTTAAGTCATGTCTTATTTTTATTTATATTCTTAATTTTATGAAAAATGATATTATCATTATCACCTACACGTTAAGGAGAAGCTAAAATAGCCTCTCAACGCTATCAGCATAGGTAGTAAAAAAAATATATACGAGTGACGTTGGATATATATTCGAACAGATAAGAAAGCCGGTAGTGTCCCGAGCCTGCAGCGTGTCGAGTCTGGGCGCGGCCCCCGCGGACCCCGTCGGGGACTCCGCCCTCCGACTCTCCGCGCCCGCGCTCGCGCACATCGACGACATCGAGGAGCCGCACTTACGGTGTAAGTACCCGACAGGTCATCTCTTTCAGTTGTGCTCATATTGGACTGTCATGACATGACATGGACGGGTGTGACATTTCCGAAGTACCCACACGTTGACAGATAAAAAAAAATAGCTAGATACATTTTACCGCGTGTATTAGTGTCATTTTTAATGCGCCTGACATTGGGAACACTCAAACATTTATTGTCTATGTATAGACTAGATGACATTTGCTTTTCGCTGTTCCTTTTAATATATTTTTTTAAAACATAATAATAATACCGATTCTACGAGAATCGAGAATGTGTTCAAAATCATATTAATGAACTATTTAAATACTCAAGATAAGTTACATTTAGATTTAAGTGATTTCATGACGCCGGCTCTCACTGCTAAACAGAGAGTTGAGTTTTATCATATTATTAAATTCGATATTATTCAATTCGTCTTTTCGCATTAAAAGTTTACAATTTCCAAAAATATTCAAAATTGAGTTAATATGCGGAATCATTTGGTATCACCAGTATTTTTCTCATAATTGCTGTCAAAAGAGCGTTGTTTAGTTTTTTTTTTTTAGTTACGTATGTTTTGACTACTATTAACAAAATTAATAAATAATTTTATCTTACTTTAAAAGACAGATAATGTAACTGGTAAAAAATAAAAAGTAAATGTTGCAATGATGCTTAATATTAAAAATATCACATGTTAAACCTTTAAAACACTCTCCTGTAAAATTAGTCAGTTTTGAGATTATACAGTCTTAATGCGGGAAGACGAATTCATGCGAGCATCCCTATCGAGCCGACGCTGAGATCAACGCCGCTAAGATACAGCCTCTTCGCCGACATCGCTTGTTCTTATTGAATTGGCTTCTACCCAGAGCTGGGAGACGTGACGCAATACTGGCGTGCATGTGCCGAGTGACTTGCCCAGGTCGGCTTTCGGAGGCTCATTTAAAAAACTATAAAGAGTAGCGAAAAATCCTTCAAAGTTACGTTTGTTATTATTACCCTGACTTAAATCTATACCAAAGACACTGGTTTTGTTTTTTAATGAAATTAGCGCCTTAGGAATAAGGTCCTTTGAGTCTACGGTTTTTCGCTATTCGTAGTTACAAATATGACCTACAAAGTCCAATTGAGACATTCGCTCTGTGTAGTTGAAGACTTTGGGAATATTAGTGTTTAATAGTTTCCCCTGTGTTCGTTGACCGTGTGAATCTTTAAGCATTAAAAACTATTGTTAAGGTAACGCTATAAGGACCGCGCAATTAAATTCAAAGGCAATGACACGGTCCATTTTTGTATTAGTTCGCGAGAAAAAACATTGAAATGATCCTAAAGATTAAAAACCAATCCTAATTAGTGTAATAGGTAATCCTAATTAGGTATAGGGTAGGTAGGTAAACAAAAAAACAATCCTGATAAAGTCTGATAAGTCTATAAATATCGAAGTAGTTAGTATCGAGTGTGTGTAAGCTGAGGGTGGGGGCTTGGTACAGCTGACGGGGCGGAGTCTCCGGCGCCGGCCGAGGACTCGGACTATTTCACGCCGGAGGACACGACCACCACGATACTGACCCTACCCAAAGCCGCCAAGCATCTAGTAAGTCTCGTAGCGCGGGCACGCGACATCGCGGACTGTCCACGCAGACTGTGTCTTCAGACTTCTTAGAGCTCAAAGCTCTGCACTTACCACACATTGACCAACCCGCTTTTGAACATGAAGCCAGAATCAAATTTTCTTATTACCAAGGCATTAAGAGTCTTGTTTTTATTTTGACAATAGTTTAAAAACGTTTCAGAACTTTGAGAGCCACATCAGAAACAATATTTAATTTTCTGCAAAGATAATCCTTCTCTTGTATGTCGATTATTTGCATTATTATAAAATATTACAAAAGCAACCTTATTACACAGACAATAAAACTGCGTTCTTTCGTCGGAAGATTTTAACTTCGTTCGTGCTTCAACTAGCCTCATTGCCGATTCCCGGCCATAAAGATAAGGCCGATTTGCAAAGGATACTGGTTTTTCGCCAAAAGCCATTTCGGCTTCGATCTTAAAGTCAACTAATTAAAACTATTGCATCCCCATAAAAACCACCCCACCACCCAACCGGGGTGTAAAGGGGTAAAGGTAAAATGGAGTATACCTTAAAAACGTTTCTGTATTAGCGTAGCGAATGTTAATTAAAAGTCAGTCTGCGTTGACATACGCTTGAGATGACGTGATGCGAAGCTTTTGTGTAATCTATCCTGTACGTAAAATGTTGGTTTTTATTTTGTGCGTTCCTTGTTTATAATTTGCACTTTCATATATCATTTTATCACTTCTTTAGAACTATTAAAATAGATTAGAATTCGATACCGTTACGAAAGGTCCAACCGAATTGAATTGACGTCAATGCGAAATGAAAAAATTCATTTGATCGCTGAGCTTTATTTATTTATTTATTAATTAGGCACACAAAGTTAAAAAAGAAAAGATACGCAATAAATAACAAAACGTAAAAAAATGGTCTTGCACAATCAATCACAACTAATCAGGACAAATTTGCTAAGTAAACAATGTTCATTACAACTATAGGACGAGACAGCACGATAATGAAATCACAATCACAAAGGAAATCACATTAAACAATTACACTACGTAATCTACTATTAAGGAGGATGCTCTTGATCAGTTTTATATTATTTTATGTCCGTATTAAATTAACGTAAGGTGTATAACGGTTCCTAGCTATGCTTTCTTTCTATATCGTGGGCACCGGACACACATATACGAGTCACACACATTACACATACATCCGCGCCCCACTGTACTAAACGACACTAACAAAGAAACAGACCCGTACACATGTATCTGAACTACTTGTGTGCTTAGTGCGAGTTTTTTAACGCTCTCCATCGCGTAAAAGCTAACTCAAATTTGTATGCAGTTGGAATAGCGCCCCTAGCGGCAAACGAAGGGAAGCTATTCCAAGTCCATATAAATTTGTTGCCAACGCACACTGTTCGTATACAAACTACTCTCGGAGCAGTGTGCTTAGTGCCAGGTTTTTAACGTTGTCGATAGCGTAAAAGTTAGCTCATGTAGGGAATGGGATCGTTTGCCTACGTTTGCCGTTAGGGGCGCTGTTCCAACTGCATACAAAATCGGGTTAACTTTTACGCTATCGAGAACGTTAAAAAACTCGCACTAAGCACACTGTACGACGTATTCGAAGTCAGATGAAGCCAAATAAGAACTATCACTATCGGGCAGATCAAAATCCACACGCATACATTGCTCGGTGATAGGACCCGCTCTAATAGAATTGAGGCGTTTGAATACGATCTTGTTAAATTCTTTGTTGGTTGGATCTTTTCAGCATAGTCTATATTGTAGTATGTATCGTCGTCACTAGCAGAATATTTAATGATCAAACAAAATTTACAACTATAATAAAATATATATTTTATATATCGTAGTAATAGATATTGTAGTTTGTTAGTAATATGAAATGTTATTTTATACAATTTACAAATTTAATCTGTATTTCCTTCACAATTGTTAAAATAAGTATTTATTTAACGTAAATATTTTTTCTGATCTAATCTATGCGCGATACACTTCTTTAAGATCTCTCAAGCACCAGTCACCGTCCTCGTCGAACTCGTCGATGACGATGAAGAGTTCGACGAGCGATTTCTATAGGCACAGCCTACTGAGTTTCTCGCCGGATCTCTCAGTGGGTCGCGATTCCGATCCGGTGGTAGATTCCGCGAAGCATTACTCTTGCTAGGGCCAGTATTAGTAGTTCTCTCAGATTGAGCCCGTGAGCTTACCTACCTGTCAGGGTGTAGCTGTAATAGCCTCTTAGGCTACTAGCAAATAGGTAGGAAAAAAGCTTCTTATATTGTTGAGCTCCGTCTAGGTACATGGCAGATGCGATAGCGCGATATAATAGACAAAGCCTTATTATTTTTATTTTATATATGGTGAACAAAAAGTCGTCGTGCCCTATGTCAGTAAGCCACGTAGATACCTAATTAAAGACCCTCTCTACTGAATTTGAATGTCGACATTTAAAAGAACGCGGCTACGCGATGAGTTCTTTCTAATTCCACGTCTGTTCAATAAGCACCGCAGCACTCACGTAGAGTAGAATATATAGTACAATCACAAACTACATACGTGTGATACCTACATCGCTTTATTCTGAATGCGCGCTTACACACCACGCATCGCTACCAGATTCACAATGCCTGTCTGTTTCATTCTAACGCACTGATTTAATAACCAAGTGAGCGGGACAGACGTTAAATCACCGCGTAGTTAACTTTTAATCCTTCGAGTGACATTAAAATAATGGATACTACGTATCTACGTCAATTTGATTACTCAAAGCGCATTGTATTCGGTTGTGTTTGTTAGAATAAGAACACGCTTTCAAAGTGCACCATTTTTTTTCCCGGTGAGGGTAGGCAGTAAAATGTTGGAATTAATTACAGGAACCGCTGAACAACGGCGAGTGTACGCCACAACGCTGGGCGCTGCCGCACCACGTAACATCTTTACCAGGTAAAAGGCTTTAAAGGACTAGTTTTTTTTTCCCTACCTATGCTGATAGCCTTGAGGCTATTTCAACTTCACCCTAACGTGTAGGTGAGCTCACGGGGCTCAAACCGGAGTGATGCTAACACTGGCCCTAGCAAGAGCTGTGCTTCGCAGAATCTACCACCGGATCGAAAACGCGACCCACTAAGAAGATCCGGCGGGAAACTCAGTGGGCTGAGGGCTAGTCTTTAATATATAAGTTCATGATTAATTGGTATTCGGACAAGGCCGACGTAAGTCTACTGAATTGACTGGGTTTTTTTTATTGCTTAGATGGGTAGACGAGCTCACAGCCCACTTGGTGCTAAGTGGTTACTGGAGCCCATAGACATCTACAACGTAAATGCGCCACCCACCTTGAGATATAAGTTCTAAGGTCTCAGTATAGTTACAACAGCTGCGCCACCCTTCAAACCGAAACGCATTACTGCTTCACGGCAGAAATAGGCAGGGTGGTGGTACCTACCCGTGCGGACTCACAAGAGGTCCTACCATCAGTAAAAGAGAGAAATATAAAATTGATGCGTTGCTCTTGGCGGCTGGATTTAAAAAAGAGTCGGTGTCATGGCGATCATAGCTCGCTGACCCTTTGAAGTTCAGAAATTGAACACATACACCCATACAATCTCTTTTATAAAGCGATTAAAGATGCGATATGCCAATGCTTTCGTGACCTCAAAATGATATGACGTAATGAAAAAAATGGTCGACAGGCACACCACTAAGCCAGTCCAGCGTCCGATCGTCAGGCGAGTCATATAGCTCCACCTCATCCACTCGACAACTGTTGACGGCTCCTCCGCCGCGCGCTTGTTAATACCTTGAGCAATAGTTAAATGGGAAAATGGCTTATATATTTACAATACAGCTTCAATAATATTATAAGAAAACAGTCAGTTAAAAACGGTTAGGTACTATTTTTAAGGGTGAAACTATTTTGGGTGAAATTCAAACGAAAATTGCCATTTTCGCTTCTTTTAAAGTTTTTAGATAAAATATTACCGAAAACGTGCACCAGTGACAGTGAAATATAGAGTCACATAGGTATAGAGATTATTTAGAAAATAAAACTTATAAAATCGTGATCGTAAAAATATTTTTTTTATTTTTTTATTGCCCAATAGGCAAATCTACATACGGACCACCTGATGGTGAGTTGTTACCGTCGCCCATGGACTTCAACAATGCCAGGGGCAGAGCAAAGCCGTTGCCTACCGTTAATCTTGTTAATGCCTTTTTTCTGCGCGTAATGTAACACAAATATCGGGTCAACGCCGTTGTTTGTCGGAAAATTGCATCAGTTATCTTTAGTTTATTTTTAAATTAATCATTTGTGAAACAATAAGTATTACGTAGTATAACACAACAAATGAACTCTGTTCTGCTTTGTTCTGAAGATAGTTAAAGAAATTTGGAAATGAATTAAACCTGTATTGAAATTACCAAAAAATCCGGATTGTTTTACACCATACGTGTGCGTTAGTGAGAGCTTAGAAAAAAGCTATTGGAAATAGATGTGAGTTTTGCTAAGCTAACTTTTTAATAAAAATTGTTTTTTTTAAATATTAGTTTAAAAAAAGTATACTTGACAACTTGAAAGTTATTTTAAACATGTATTTATATGTTGCACACTTTTCGGGATAGCGTGAAATAGTTTCGATTTCATCTTCTTTAGTTTGACGATGCAGTTTTCGATTGTTGACCGAGATCGCTGGTCCAGACTACGGATAAGATTATGGTGAACATTAAGGCGTGTAATATTAGGTAAACAGGATAAGTTTTTTTTTTTTTGTGGACGGTTCTCTATTTGTTTGGAGATTTTACCGCTGAAGCCAGGAGGAAAGACTTGTGTTCACTACCGATTGGGAATGTTTAATTAATCGAAAGAATCTCATAAGTTTGTGAAAAATTACATTCGAGCAATTGTCTAGTTTCCCGGTTAAACAATCGAGATGTTTTTCGATTTTTTCGAGTCGATTCTCCGCGATATATACCTATACGTTGCCCCATTTGCAATAAGTCACGTTTCCGCTCATTCTTCGGGGCAAGTCCAACCCTATACAAGTAGATCGCGTAAAGAAATCATCATTTATTCAACAAACTAAATGACTAGCGTCTTTGCTCGCCTATCGCTAGTATAAACTAGTATCCACAAGTTCCCACATTTGGCACCGGCCTTCGAACGGTAAGGCGGTGAGTGAAGTTATATGTACCTACTGTAGTACTGGCCGGTCCTTTAGCATCTATGCAAGAGCGGGAAAATTCACCTAAATCAATTAACCTAAATAATACATTAATTTTATTAAAGTTAATAATAAATTTCTGATGAATCAACGTCGTTACGCTCTTCATATAATAGAGACGGCCATTTTAACAATCATAATTTGTAAATGATAAGTGATGATCGCTGAAGGTATTAGAATATCTGCCTATAGATAAATTGTTAGAATATCTTCGACACGGTTTCTTCAATACTTTGTTTGCTGTTCGTATTTGCCAACGGAAGTTAAAAAAGAATGGTTTGAATAAAATAAATTATTGAAATGTCCCATTGCTCTTTAATAGTACCTAGTCAGGTCATAAATTCTGTCACATGTTTAATGTAAAATAATTGAAACAAGTTTATTCATTATGTAACCATTCATATACCAAAATGAACTTAACAAAACATAGATTCTTATGACACTAAAGTTTATTCAAAATGACCTCAGTGATTTTGAATACAGGCCTTCAATCTGCGCGGCCAGTTCTCTATCGCAGCACGAACGAGGTTCATGTCAATATCGGCGGCTGCCTTAATCAAGGATGTCTTGAGTGACTCCAAATTGGGATGAGGCTTTGAGCACGCCTTTTCCTCCAAGTGTTGCCATATCTTATAATCTAACGGATTCAAATCTGGACTGGAGGAGGGCCAGTCTTCGTGCCGGATGGAGTCGATTTCACGCGCCGCCAGCCAGTCTTGTGTGCTCTTCGCTCTATGAGCTGGCGCCGAATCTTGTTGGAATACCCAGTGCCTGTTATTGAACATGGTATGAGAAACAGGTTCCACAAGGTTCGTCAGGACTGTATTTTGATACACAACTGCATTCGTTTTTACACCTTTCTCACAAAAATGTACCTCTGTTAAGCCCCAATAAGAAACTCCCAACCATACCATGAGCGAGGATGGAAAATGACCTCGTTGGACACGCGGAATACGGTTGCTCGCTTCTTCACTACTGTGTGCGTACACCTTATCATTTTGTTTGTTGTAGCTCTCTTCTACGGTAAAAATTTTTTCATCCGAAAAAAGAATTTCCCGATATTTTTTTCCCGCGTACCGCTTCAACAAAGCGCGGCATCTCTTCAGTCTCAGGTCCATTAGACGAGCATTCAAACGATGTCCTGTTTTTCTTCGATATGCCCGAAGCCCTAAGTCTTCATTTAACACCCTTTTCACCGTGGTTCTGCTTAACCCCATCTGAAGGGCCAACAGTTTCTGCTTACGTTTGGGATTTCTTTGAATTCGCGCCTTCACAGCTTTTATCACTGCTGGAGTCCTAACAGACCGAGGGCGACCACTTCTTGACCTGTCATCTACACTAGAGTCTTCATTGTATCGTTTGATGGTACGATAAACGAATCTTTTGGTTATATTCAAATTTTTCAGTATGTTAAAAATTTGAATTGGCGCGTAACCGCAACGATGCAACGCAATAACTGCAACACGGTCTTCTTTAAGCGTCCACTCCATATTTAAAAATGAGTAAAATTCTAAAAGTATACATTTTTATTTTCATGAACAATTCGAAATTCGAATTCAATAAACTTTTTTGTGGCCAGCATTCTAAAAGAAAAGTTTTTACTGTGTGACAATACTTATGACCTGACTAGTTATATAGGTATGATTAAAACATTCCAACTCTCTATAGGTACTCTACATCTCGCAATGAACGACAGTGGGGTTGTGTATTAGATCCCCTTCCCCTTCTGGCTGAGCCCTTGCTCGCCCAACTGTCCTTGTGGAACTGGAAAGGCCTCAGGGCACCAGTAAACTCTGTCATTAAAAAAAATAGAATCTGCCCAAAATAGTATAATCATAGATGTCTTTAGAACGTATTTAACACATTGACTGCCATGTAGGTCACCGGTGCCCTACGTGGCGTCATGAACTATTTTTGTCGATTTCTCTCATCTCATCTCAATAAGACGTCGGAATTTCTAGTAAAATCTGGGAAAGACGAATCCGACGTACTGAGAATGAATCTATTTCTAAGAGATCTAAAAGACTAAACTATACATTAAAAACAAAAGGAGGCAAAGTTAGGCAATGCAGACGCTTAGTAACAGAAATCGCAATAATTACTTCAGTGCGCCGCGTAAGGCATCAATGACCTACATGACAATCAACATGTTAAACACTAAACTTAGTCTTACTCTTCTCTGAGAACTTATGTGAAACCATTAATTTCCGGATACCCTCTACTGATGCGCTGCATGTCGTAAGTTGATGGTACTATGACAGGTACCTCCCCAAGACTATCAACAAGAACTTTATCAAGTTTCATCACAATTATTAAATGCTTAAGGGATAGACAGAGGACATAAATTCATTTCGGTTGATAGATTGCTTTTTGCATTATTATAAAGTGTATCAAATTCTTGTAATGATAAGATTTGTTTGTAGTGCAAAACAATTTTTATTACTACATAGAATTAAGAATTTCAATAAGGATTTCATATAAACTTATGCAATTATGAAACCAAATTATCGTTTAAGTCAGTTACTAAGATCATTAAGTCTGCCTGACTGTTACAATAAATGATATTTTATGTTATATACTTAGTAGACTGATTGTAAATCTCAATCGTTAATGCTTTAGGCATCTTTGTAATCTTTAATAGGGGTGCAGTGCTTTTTTGACATACATATATTATACAAATAGTAAAATAAGCCTGTATTGTTTGCTTTAGGATTAAGTCATTGTATTTTTTAAATAAAATATTTTTTTACAGAAGCTTGTGTATTTCATTTTTAAAGTAAAATAACAATGTTTACACTAAACACACTTTGTAAATTTGCTGTGCAATTGGGTAATGTCTCATTCACAGACACACATTGCACTGAGCTTAAGGTGAAAACCTTCTGAAAGCTGAGAAGTCAATACTGCCTGAACATAAAAGAAAAAAACAATTTTCATTCATGAGCTAAACATAATATTTTTTAAACTTATTGTTCAGCAATCACCAATACTATTCCTGTCACTATTTCTGAGAATGGTTCCCTTACACCAAGTATATTCAATCAGTTATTAAATTATTAAAAATAATATTATTATTTACATTATCACTTTTAAAACTAAAAAAAACTTTGTGATGAAATTTTCTGTGAATTAAAAATAAAATTTAAGTGAATGGATGATTAGTTGCTCTACTTTGATTCGGCATAATACTGTAATTCAAGCTATCGTTCACTGTACTAAGAGACTTCTTGCTAGCCTGCCTTTTCGCAGCATATGCCGACATCCTCAATAGTCTAGCTTGCCTTTGTGCTGGGGTCTCATTAGCAAGTCGACGGGCTGCATATGCAGACATTCTTGCCAACCTAATCGCTCTCTGTTCCCTCGTCTCTGATGAAAGTCTTTTAGCTGCATATTCGGACATACGCTTCAGTCTAGTGGCGCGCTGTTCCGGTGACTCATTTGCCAGCCTCTGTGCTGCATATGCAGACATCTTGGCTAGCCGTGCGGCTCTCTCTTCTGATGTTTCACTCTTTGGTCCTGAGCCTTTCCTTCGTCTACGCGCTTTAGGTTCCAACAATGATAGTGGATCCATTTCTTGTATCATATCGACCGGCTCAACGGTATTGAGTGTCTCTTGTTCATCAATTTCCTCAATTTCTTTTTTAATGTTATCGTATTGTATGCATTCATCACTTAATCTAAAGTGTGTAGTGTTACTAGCTGCATTCGCATCTTCACCGACAGATGATTTCCACTCATTGTTTGTTTTAGCTATAACCATTTTCTTCCAAGAACTATCTGCTTGACTTAAATCACCCATACTGATTATTCAATGATTGCTTTATCCACAGAACCATAATTTATAATCTTTGTAACAATTTAGAATCTTTTAAGCCTTAATTACAAAATCATTACTTGTTAAATGATAACTTTGGCAGGGTAAACAAAATTACGCCTTCACCATAAATATTTCTGACATTTAATACCGCTAGTAGTAGTAGTAGTTCTATTTTTCCAACTGGAAAGGCAAAGGTATAATACCAAACAACCTAACCTTTTATACATATTTTTTTTACGAAAGATGATATGAAGTGAATTGAAATGAAGTTGATCAGTTCGAAACATTAATCAATAGCATGAAATTATATGAAATGATACGAGGTGAGATGATATGGGATGAATATATCTCAGTAAAAGGCTGGTTATTTACTGAGACTTTTTCAGTGGGTTTTTTGGAGGATTCCGAGAAGCTACGTCCAGCGGCTTTTTTTCATTTTCCAACATTTGTGCACTTTCATAGATACTAAATAATTAATAAATCACCGTTATTACATATATAAACCTAAACAACACTAAATAGACAAAATAAAAGAATTCACAAAACTTCGATCCTCGCGTTCCCGCCAAAAAGTCCATAAATACCGTTGTTAAATATTACAAAGAATGCTACTATAGATAATACATTCAAAAATAAGAATAAAAATTAAAATAAGACATGACTCAAAGGTCTTAGTTACCAGGTCATAAAATCCCTTAAAAAAATAAGAAAATTACAAATAGCTGCTCGGTGGAACTTCTCGAATTCTTCCAAAAACTCCACTGAAAAAGTCACACAAAACAAATCATACAAAACAAAACATAGTAAAACAAATCACACAACTTCACTCTTCGCGTCCCCGCCAAAAAGTCCATCCGACTAGACAAGGTGCGTGCGTTTTCTACAAGATACGTCTTCCCATTTGTATGGATCTAAAAATGATGATTAGCAAAGTTACTAGACTTCTACTTCACTTCACTTTCGCAAGAAAATGCTACTAAGGTAAATTTAATTGACTTCATTGTTCAGCCTTATATCTCTTTTGTTTTCTTTTTGTTTTTCTAGCTATGCTGATAACCTTGAGAGGCTATTTCAGCTTCGCCCTAACTTTATGTAAATAATTACTGGTGGTAGGATCTCTTGTGGGTCCGCACGGATAGGTACCACCACCGTGCGTATTTCTGCCGTGAAGCAGAAATGCGTTTCAGTTTGAAGGGTGGGGCAGCCGTAGTAATTATACAGAGAACTTAGGTTTCAAGGTTCGTGGCGCATTTACGTTGTAGTTGTCTATGGGTTCCAGTAACCACTTAATACCAGGTAGGCTGTGAGCTCGTCCACCAATCAAAGCAAAAAAAAAAGTGTAGGTGAGCTCTCGGCGCTTAAACCGGAAGGGTTACTAACACTGACCCTAGCAAGAGCAGTGCTTCGCAGAATCTACCACCGGATCGAAAACGCGACTCACTGAAAAGATCCGGCGAAAACTCATTGGGCTCTGTTTATGGGTTAATTTACTCGTCGAGGCCTTCGTCGCAAGCAACGGGTACGGCGAGAACGGTGACCGGTGCTTAAGGTACTAAAAGCACCAATTCTCTTTAGGAAACCTTGAACAATTCTATGTGCCAAAAAGTATCATTTTAGTTCTATTCGTTCATTTAAACAGGCAAAAAGAAAGAATTCCTTACGATGAAGGTTTTACTTTCATAATATCTTTAGTATTAGTAATAATACCTTTCCTAATACTAATTTACTTCTGAAGAATCAGTAGACCGTAAAAATAATTTTTATTTCACATGCTAACGAGAAGTACGAAATGCTGTTCATAAAAAAAAATTGACTCGTTGGTGCAGAGTAAAATTCAATGAAAACTCTTGCTAAGCTTCCACTTCTTTTTGGACCAAAGTAAGCGGTCCATTTATTTTTTTAGTGACTAAAGCGTAAAAGAAACTTATTATACCGAAATTAATATTATCAAGTAGGAAAGTTTATAATAGTGTTTGAACTGTTAGTATACTCAGAATTTTCTAGGGGAATTTTAGGTATCAACTAGGTAGGTTAGGCAAAAATTAAAAAGCTATGGCCGCAAAGAGTTTAAAAATTATTAAAATCGAGTGAGTTGTCAAAAAGTTGGCATTTATCCCATCTGTTAAATTGGTTTTGATTTTGCTAATTCCCAAAATACTTACAAGTACTGAAAGGAAAAAATGCCAGAATATAATTTTTTTCATTGAAATGATGAATTAAAACCTTAAACAACATTAGTTTAGTCAGAAAAAAATATAAAATCATATCAATGTGAGTGTTGACACTGAGAAACTACAAAATTGTGTTTGTAACCGAAAGATAAATTACCTTTCGTTTATTAAGCCTTGTCAAAAATTCTATAGCCAACAACATTGTCATTCGGATTATTAGTAAAATAGAAGATAGCTTACATTACGGAAGGTCGTTCTTTGTTTCCCCTTATGCCGACGTATGACATAATGCAGTGAATAGCAGTGAAGTTCAAGGGTTCTGACTGAGTTTAAGTAATTTGGAAAGTAAAAATGGACAGCGTACCAGAATCTCCGATTAAGGCTAGTCCCTTAACTGAGGATGAAGCCTTCGTAGAAAGCGAAACAGATTATTCCAGTATTAGAGGGAAGGTGAGTGATTTGTTTATAAACATACTATTCCCGCCCTAAATAAACTTTAATATGCTATGCATATTAAAATGAAAGATTCTTCCTGATTCTGCTTTTGATAATAATTAAGAGAAAAAAGATTTTTTTTAATCCTTTTTAAGATATTTCAGTGGGCAGTAGGATGTTTCATCATATTCATAAAATGTAATGCAATTCAATGTGTGAAATAGCAATAACAATTGGTTATGATGCAACATGATGAAAAAGAGATAAACATTAATTAGCCTTTATATTGAAATCAACATGAAATTAATAAAATCAAAAAGGAGAGTTTTATAACACACAAACCACCATTATTAATATTATTATTAAGTTTTTTTTTAATTTATGTTTTTTTCTTCATTAAAATAATATAGGCATTTCACAATTATTAAAAGGTTTTTGAACTTATTTTTTAACTATATTAAACTATAAACTGTATATTTTTAACATATTAACTGACTATATTATGTTATATACTTAATATAAAAGTAAATGTCTGTTATATTTTCATGCCTAAACTGTTGAATCCGTTGATAAAATTAGGCATCAAAAAGCTTTGAATCCTGGAAAAGAATAATATAATAGGCTACCTTTAATACCACTGCAGACTATGGGAGGTCCATGTAATAAATTAAAAGGCCCACATAATATAAAGTATAATGTGTAACAAAACACTAGTATAAAATACATTAATGAATTAATATCACTATTTGTTGGATAATAAGTTATGTACAGGAAATAAAAATACAAAATATAATTACTCATAATAAACAGTTATTAAACACTTTTGAAGTCAACATGGCTTAAAGGATAAGATGCCCGGTATATTTGTATCAAGTGTTTCAATTGTGCCATTGTTTGAATCCCGCAGGCAGGTAGAAATCTTTCTAACAAAATGTGTACCTAAAATGTTCATGAATGACTTCCAAGCTGAAGGAATAACATTGNATAAAAATACAAAATATAATTACTCATAATAAACAGTTATTAAACACTTTTGAAGTCAACATGGCTTAAAGGATAAGATGCCCGGTATATTTGTATCAAGTGTTTCAATTGTGCCATTGTTTGAATCCCGCAGGCAGGTAGAAATCTTTCTAACAAAATGTGTACCTAAAATGTTCATGAATGACTTCCAAGCTGAAGGAATAACATTGTGTAATAAAAATCAAACCGCAGTAGTTCTGGTGGTAGAACGTCTCATGAGTCTGCACACTGCTTATTTCTGCTGTGAAGCAGTTATCCATATTGTTTTGGCATGATGGATAACTGCTTCATGATCATTCATGTGGTAATATTTTATTTAGATGGTGATGGTGAGTCCAAATGCTGATGAGTATGAGTTACTCCGTAAACAGCTATTGGAAAGGCTTGAAGCTGGAAATGGCGAGATCATTTATGATATTGGACATGGAGAAGGTAATTATAATAATTTCATAGGTTTTATTGATCTAATTTACTAGTGTTTCATAATGCAACCTTAAAAATTATAAAATTATAAGCTAATATTTAACATTCAGCATTTTAATAGAAATTTTGCTCTAAAAGTTTGGCAAGTGTAGGAAACTTTGGAAAACTCTAAGGCACTAAAGTACTAAATATTATTGTTATTAAAGTACAAAACTAAAGTAGCCAAATATAAAATTGCTAAATAAAAACAATCTAAAATTAAAATTTACAATTAGTTCTGGGGTTTGATATCAATATTTAAAGGGAATAAGGCAGCTTGATATTTTGAATTGGTTAAGTTTTTCAAGCAGTCTTTAGTATCAAAATAATTTCAAATCTAAATGGCAGAGGCCAGTTAGACATAGCTTTACTTAGAAAAGTTGTAAGGAGTCATCAACAAAGTGAAGTGGTAGGTCACAGTCAAAAACTTGTGTTCTATAAAGCTCAGGTTGAGCCTCATACATACTTCTATTTGAGTCGATACAGTAGAAGTTTCTGATGGATAGGAATTGGCTATTTTGTTCTGTCCATTTCACATTCAATGTCAATGAGCGATGGCAACAACATATCCAATCACAAGATCAAAGTGTGAAAAAATATTCATAGAAAGTTTGATTTTTCAATTTTAAATCAACTAGATTACACTTATCAATTGTTATGACCAATTATGTTATCCAAATAAGTTTATCTTATCGGTTCAATGCTGTTGAAAACAATGAATATTTGTGTTTGAATTGACTTTGACTTTCAAATTACTCAAAGAATACAATTTTAGTAAAAAATTTTTTTTTATTGCTTACGTTGGTGGACTAGCTCACAGCCCACCTGGTGTTAAGTGGTTACTGGAGCCCATAGACATGTACAACGTAAATGCTCCACCCACCTTGAGATATAAGTTCTAAGGTCTCAGTATAGTTAGAACGGCTGCCCCACTCGTCAAACCGAAACGCATTACTGCTTCACGGCAGAAATAAGGAGGGCGGTGGTACCTACACGTGCGGACTCATAAGAGTCCTATCACCAGTAATTACGCAAATTATAATTTTGCGGGTTTGATTTTTATTTCACGATGTTATTCCTCCACCGTGTAAGTCAATCGTGAACATTTGTTAAGTACGTATTTCATTAGAAAAATTGGTACCCGCCTGCGGGATTGGAAAATCGTTGCATCGCTCAATACTGATGAATATTCTACATAACCAGAAAGTTTTTTTTTCACTGTCTGAGAAGAACAGATATTCATAGTATAGACTTGCAGGAGTTTCACCTTTTATATTTGTTATTTAGAAAGAATGAAATACAATGCATTTTACTGAAGTTATAGGTGCTACACTGTGCTAGGGCACTATATTTGGTGGTGTTTGGATCTTTAAAATATGTAGTAGTGTTATTCTAGTCATATTATGCCAGGGGTCGGAGGAGGGCGTCAAGTCCCACATACCCCGCGTGCCCCCTAGGCGCGGGGACCTCGTAGAAGGTTCGGCTCCGGTTCCGAAAAAATAAAATTAAAAAAATGTGAGCCATCACGGGACGCCTGGCAGATGTGACACATCGACATTATTTTGTAAAAGTAATATGCAGAAAAGAACAGATTGTGATAGGAACTAAATATGTCATAATGATAAAATAAAATATTACGAAAAAATAATTTGTTTTCAAGTAAAACATAGGTTATGTGTGCTGTAGTAAACAACACTGTATACACTATAGGTATCCGAGCTCAGTGTAGCGAGAGAGATGGCTTAACGCCGGATCGAGTGGGAGAGAATCGCACAGTCGATTGCGCATGGCGACGCGTCGCCACGCCAGAAATCGGTTTTACGTGCGGCTATAGATGTTTCACATCAAAAGTATTACACAATCTTACAAAAAAGAGACCCTGTAAGACCTCATTGCAATCTCAATTTCTAAAACAAACTGATGATGGTAAAATAGTAACCGCAGATCAAAGTCCCACGCACTTCTTAAAAAAACTGGATCAAACATCGTTTATGATCCCCTGTTCTAAACTCTATATATGTTGCAGATGGTCGGGGCTTAACAGAGGATGAATACAATGCGTCCCTAGCAACGCTTCATTCATTGGTGGCAAGTGAGAGAGTGTCATGTGTTGAGCTGAGGAGGTGGGAGTGTGGAAGTGGGCTCACCGGCCAATACCTCCTTAGGACGGAGCTTGACAATAATGACTTTATGGAGATTAGGTTTGTTTTAACCATGATTATGTAAGTCTATGTGTAACATACATTATTTTTATCCATGCAGCCCTTTTTTTTCCCTATCTAATCTGATAGTCTTGAGAGGCTATTCCAGTGTAACCTTAACTAGTAGGTAAATCACGGGGTTCAAACCTGACGACAGAATCTACCACCGGATCGGAAACGCGACCCACTGAGAAGATCCGGCGAGAAACTTAGTGGCCTGTGTCTGTGGGTTAATTTACTCGTAGAGCCCTTCGTCGCAAGCGACAGGTTCGACGAGAACGATGACCGGTGCTTGAGGTACCTAAAAGCACCGTTAGTGGATCAGGAGGATCCGAAATAACGTGTGACGCAACCCATAAACCCACATCAGTATAATATATTTATCCTATTGTTGGAAACTTGAGATATGCTAACTACGATTCCAAGAACAATCGAAGTCACCCCTTTTGTAATAAATAGTATGCACTCTGTGGAAGATCTTCTCTCTGATGAAACAACAAAAATTTGGCTTAGAGCTAAAGTCGGTTCATCATTTCTTTTCCCCCTCCAGAGTGGCGGTGGTGGGTAACGTGGACGCTGGCAAGTCCACGCTGCTCGGGGTCCTCACGCACGGAGAACTGGACAACGGTCGAGGGTATGCACGGCAGAGGCTGTTCCGACACAAACACGAGATGGAGAGCGGGAGGACCAGCTCTGTGGGGAACGACATACTGGGCTTTGACAATATGGGTAATGCATTAGATGCGGTCATTAATTCAACTTGTACAAACATCTTGGAGGGTTTTATGCTTACATTACTCTTAGTGTTTTACGGCCGTCTTGTGTAGTGGTAAGTGACATGGTCACTACACAAGGGGGTCGCGGGTTCGAATCCCGCCAAGGGAAGATATTTGTATGATAGATATAAAATGTCTTTTCCAGGGTTATGGATGTTTATTAAATATATGTATGTGTATAATAAAAATCTTACATTTATTTCTGTTACCTGGTACCTGTAATACAAGTTCTTTACGAACTTAGCACGGGAACAGTTAACGAGGCGTGATTGTTTTAAAAAAAAAAAAAATGTTGGTTGAATGATGTGTGATGTGAGGTGAATGTATTGAAACTCTGTTGATGTGCTCTTTTAAGCAGCATAAGTTCTCTTCCATAGTGCGTCACAAAGATTGGTCCTACTGACCTTTCCAACTGGTTGCCTCACGTTGAGTGTTTTCTGTATTAATAATAACGATAAGTAATACATTAAATGGAGTCACTTTAAGGAACACAAATTTAAAAAGTGCTTTCATAAAGTTCTGTTTTTAGTCAATAAATTTTCCCCTCCAGGTAATGTTGTGAATAAGCCAGATCACGGCACTCTTGACTGGGTGAAGATCTGCGAGAAGTCTTCCAAAGTGATAACGTTTATAGACCTAGCTGGACATGAGAGGTACCTCAAAACTACGGTCTTCGGGATGACGGGACACGCTCCCGACTTTGGGATGCTCATGGTTAGTTTTTTTTTTGTTATTGCTTAAACGAGCTCACAGCCCACCTGGTTTTAAGTGATTACCGGAGCCCATAGCCATCTACAACGTAAATGCCGCCACCCACCCTAAGATATGAGTTCTAAGGTCTCAGTACCGTTACAACGGCTGCCCCACCCTTCAAATCGAAACGCATTACTGCTTCACAGCAGAAATAAGCAGGTTGGTGGTACCTACCCGTGCGGACTCACAAGTGGTCCTATCACCAGTAAAATATATCTAAAGTAAATATTGATAATGTTATTGTTTCAGATCGGAGCCAACGCGGGTATAGTAGGAATGACCAAGGAACACCTCGGGCTCGCTCTTGCCTTGTCAGTGCCAGTATTCGTGGTCGTCACCAAGATTGACATGTGTCCGCCTAACGTTCTGCAAGACAACCTGAAGCTGCTCATCAGGATCCTTAAGTCGTCGGGGTGCAGGAAGGTTCCGGTGATGGTGAAGTCGAAGGACGATGTCATTGTCAGCGCCACCAACTTCGTTTCGCAAAGGTAGTTTTTATTCATTTATTGTTTAAATGGGTGGACGAGCTCCCAGCCCACCTGGTGTTAAGTGGTTACTGGAGCCCATAGACATCCACAATGTAAATTCGCCACCCACCTTGAGATATAAGTTCTAAGGTCTCAAGTTTAGTTACAACGGCTGCCCCACCCTGCAAACCGAAACTTATTACTGCTTCACGGTAGAAATAGGCAGGGCGATGGTACCTACCGGTGCAGACTCACAAGAGGTCCTACCACGAGTAATTACGCAAATTATAATTTTGCGAGTTTCATTTTTATTACACGATGTTATTCCTTCACCGTGGAAGTCAATCGTAAACGTTTGTTAAGTACGTATTTCATTAGAAAAATTGGTACCCGCCTGAGATTCGAACACCGGTGCATCGCGCTCAACACGAATGCACCGGATGTCTTATCCGTTAGACCACAACGACTTCAAAGTATCATTACAACATCAAGTTTAAGAATGGATAAAGAACAATCATTAAATTTAGAAATATAGTACGAAATGAGAATTTTAATACTTTAACTGGTTAAACATCCCATAAATTCGTGTAATATTTTTATTTCTGGCAACATTGACTAACTAGTACTTTCCCTTGCAGGCTGTGCCCAATATTTCAAGTTTCGAACGTGAGTGGGGAGAACCTCGAGCTATTGACGATGTTCCTGAACCTATTGAAGACGAGGATGCCCTCGCACGAAGACAAGCCAGCCGAATTCCAGATAGACGACACATACTCCGTGCCGGTCAGTATTCAACCTTAACGCGTTGCAATAGAGTCGCTGTGACACAATGTTGACATTAGTTACGTTATAAATATTCAGTTGATTTTACTTTTATAGAATTAGTGAGCGTTAAAACAACGTTTTGTTATCCCTATTGTACGTTTTTGCATTCGGCGGTGACATCAGCACGGGTGACATTTCACTATCTTAAAATAATTTTCAATAACAAAAAAACATTATTATATTGTGTTTAACGGGATGGCACGTAAGTGGATCTTTGTAAGGATTATAGTGACGTCATTAATTCGTGGAAAGTTGCTTGCTATATGGACAGGGCGTGGGCACGGTGGTGTCGGGCACGGCGCTGGCGGGCGTGGTGCGCGCGGGCGACACGCTGGCGCTGGGGCCGGACGCGCTGGGCCGCTTCCACCCCGTCGCCGTCAAGTCCATCCACCGCAAGCGCATGCCGGTGCACGAGGTGCGCGGCGGACAGACGGCCAGCTTCGCGCTCAAGAAGGTACGTCACAGCGACGGTGCACCACTTATGCATTCATGATAAGTCCGCACGAGTAGGTACCACGACCCTGCCTATTTCTGCCGTGAAGCAGTAATGCGTTTCGGTTTGAAGGGTGGGGCAGCCGTTGTGACTATACTGAGACCTTAGAACTTATATCTCAAGGTGGGTGGCGAATTTACGTTGTAAATGTCTATGGGCTCCAGTAACCACAACACCAGGTGGGCCGTATGCACGTGCCTGCACGGGCAATAGAAAAAATAAAAAAAAGATGGGTTCTGTAGCAATTATACACTCACATCACGCTCGTCCAACCAATATGACATCCACAAACTGACAGTTGTTGAAAAAGTCAAGCGCGGCCTAAAATTCAGTATTAGAACTGTATCTATGGGCAACGATAGCCACTTGTCATTAAACAGACCTAAGATGGTCTGCGAAAGCATTATAATTACATATTTATATGCGACAGGTGAAGCGTTCTCAAATCCGCAAGGGCATGGTGATGGTCTCTCCGTCGCTGAACCCTCAGGCGTGCTGGCAGTTCGAGGGGGAGATCCTCGTGCTGCACCACCCGACCACCATCTCCTCGCGTTACCAAGCCATGGGTGTGTTTTATTTTTTTATTCTCTTGTTCTCATTGTTAAAGCGCTTTTCATTTTTGTGACATGTATGAACTCATTTCACCAACTGCTCATTAAAAAAACACTCATTTAATTTTCATTCTTCCATCATACCCGTAGAGTGACAACCCTAATTATTGTATAGCGATATATCCAGTGGTGTACATACTTTTATTTCTTAAATTTATCTTACCAGTGCCAATAACCTCACACAAAAATGACTGAGCAACAAATATGCGTTTCGTAGCTTTTATCATTTAGTTATGGAGCCTAAAAAATAATGAAAATTGTTCATTTAATAATGCTATATTAATATTCTCAAACTCGTTTGTTTCCAATGGCAGTGCACTGCGGCAGTATCAGACAGACAGCATCCATATTGTCGATGTCCAGGGACTGCCTTCGGACCGGGGACAAAGCTTTAGTCAAGTTCCGCTTCATCAAACATCCGGAGTATCTCAAGAGGGGACAGAGAATGGTATGATGCTTTAGTATTTCAAATCATTCTCCATATTGATCGCCTCGTTAGTCCGGTGGCTTAGTAGCCGTGCATACTGTACTACTGGTAAATTCTCGGTCGCATTTTTACTGGTGCTAGGACCTTTTGTGAGTCCGCACGGGTAGGTACTACCTCCCTGCCTATTTCTGCCATGAAGCAGTAATGCGTTTCGGTTTGAAGGGTGGGGCAGCCGTTGTAACTATACTTGAGACCTTAGAACTTATATCTCAAGGTGGGTGGCGGATTTACGTCGTAGATGTCTATGGGCTCCAATAACCACTTAACACCAGGTGGGCTGTGAGCTCGTCCACTCATCTAAGCAATAAAGAAAGAAAAAAAGATGGGGAAAATGATAACTCTTATCTGTGCAACTTAACAATACAGTTAACAATTCAACTTCTAACGTCAAAGTTCCCATATAGCGAGTTTTATCAATAATGTCTCCAATATTAACGAAATCTGTCCAGGTGTTCCGTGAGGGTCGTACGAAAGCCGTGGGCAACGTGCTACGTCCGGAGCCGATGTCGCTGAAGCCCGCCCGGCACGACCGCCGGAACCCGCAGCACAACAACCACGCAGCCGACGAGAGTGATTCGCAGCACGTGGTCTGTAAAAATAAAAAAAATGTTTTTTTAGTTTTAAAATTTTGGGCTAGCAACACTGCATTTTTTGTGAAAATATGGTATGATAATTAGCTATTAACGAAATGATATTCCCGAATCACCCGTCCGTACTGCTTAAGTATTCTCAGCTAATTTTTCCACAAAATTTTCTGTATCCTAATAGCTCTTCTGCCATCCCAGGAGGTAAGGCGTGTTGTGTGCCTGTGCAGGTTGGTTAATTATTTCATATAAAATAATAATAAAAATATTTAAACTTGCACACAAAAAAAAAAACAATCAAATAGAGATTTTAATTTATTTATCATTTCTCGATAACAGCAAGAGAGCGACGTGACTGCAATGGACTCTCCGTTCGAGATCCAAGCGGACAAGCGCGTCCAAGGCGGAGGGGCGGGAGGGGGGCGTCGTGGTCGGAAGAGACACGACAAGCCGCCCGAACCCACACAACCGACCGTCGCTGCGGCTAATTAATACACGCTGCAGTCAAGACGACAGTGTTGCTAATCTAGAAGAAAATGATAATTTTTGGGGTTTTTTCTCTCATTTTAAACTTTTTCAATTTTGGTATGAAGGGCGCTTGATGAAAATGCCTATAAAGTTTTTTGTTCAATAAAAATGCTTGAACGTCAAATGTCAGAATTATAGTTCGTTTTTACATAAATACGGTAGGTATAGGTTGAAAATGTTTTCCTTTTACATTTTAAGTAGGATAGGCACAAAAAGTACAAGAAATGTACATTGAAAAAAAAAACATTTTTTGGTAGACTTAGCTTAATCAAGTCTGTCAACTTTAATAGTTACTAATTTCTGTGAAATAGTGGCTGTAAATTTAACGTATTAAATATTAAAAAAAATATATTAATATTTGTCCACAGAGGACAGTTATAATTAGGACTTCTAGAAGTTTGCTAGATACATTATCATCGAAATTATATTATTCAATATACTAATACTGTGCAATCGCCTTTAAGAATGTAATTCAATCGATAAATAACTTTACAAATATTCGGAGAAGAATCTGTATTAAATGTAAAACAACTATAGTTTACTTTTAATACAAAACTATTGCTCTAAAATGACTGGCTGGAAAGTGGCACATACTATTCAAATTAATCTAAAATCTATATTGATCTTTTCATCTAACTTAAAGGTTTTTCTAGTGATTATTGCATAGTACAATTTAGTAGTTTTACTACCAAGGGTAGAACTCTGTCCTGTCCTTTTCTGGGGACGTAGTGACACTGATTAATCTAGACAGCCTCAAGCCATACCGCTAATCCACCTGTCACAATGGGTCGGCATGTTTTCGCAAGTTAAATCACTAATAACCTCAAGGTTCTTATAACACTAATTAAAACGCAAGTATATATTTTTACAGCACTAAGCTTAATCTTTTAGGGTCACTTAAAATATTTGAACACTTAAAAATAAAAATTAAAGTTAAGGAGATCAGAGTTTTGAATCATCATTGCCTTAACTCTGAATACCTTATAATCGCAATAAAATTAGTGAAGCTAGCTGCTTGCTAAAAGTAAATATATTTTCAATATTTTGACATTTACAATGAATACCATTGCAATATTGTGATTTTTTCTTAGGATTAAGTAAAGTTTATATTTTTATTGATTTGTTCAGAGTGAGCGAAATAAAAATAGCTCTAACTATATTACAGTTTTTTATTATCTAATTTAGTAGTTATATTATGTAAAGGACACTACTGATAGTGAATTACAAAGTAACTAATCCATGGTTAGCCAAAAACATCCAAGTAACTATTATTATTTTTTCAATTGTTTTTTTGCATCCTGTACTCCTTCCTTCAAATTTGCACTGAACCTTTTTAAAAACTCTATAAATTTATTAACTTTTTGTGGATCAACATCAGAGAGCTTTTCCTTCCCTCTGTAAAATACTGAGACAGCTAACTGAGCTGCTCGTCGTACAGGGTAGGACTCTGCAATCTTCTGTACAATTCGTTCATTATTGGCTAAGTATTTAAGCAGCGCACGTAGAGGCATCTTCACTTGAATGATGTCTCAAATGAGCACATATTCCGATACTTCTGTAAGAGTTCACGCTTTAATCTCAGCTGAGTGCGGAGCAGTTCAAATTGCTTCAGCTGGTCGTGTTTGTTGAATTCTATACCTGGGAGCCTCCTGATCTGAAATGAGTGATATATTATTGCAGATAATTGTGTACTGGTTGATGATATATTATGGCAGATACTTGTGTATGAGTTCATGATAAATTTGATTCCTCAAAATACAAAAATTATGCTGACTAAGCATCTGATTTTTAAATTACAAATGTTAAATACCAAGTATGTTTCCAGTATTTGAAAGTAATCTCACCTGAGCTTTAGCTATTTCTAGCCTCTTTTGTAATTCAAGAACTCTATGACTGCACTCGTGGGACTCGCGTATTTTCGACGCGTTGTCGTGAAAATCTCTCTCCACGCTGTAATAAACACATTTAAAGCACCAGAAAATACAAAATGAACTTGATCAAATCTAGTTTGTCTCAAATAATACGCAAAATACCTTCGTATTATATCGTATACAATCGGTAAAAAGTCTACATCTACATCCTCAACAGTCAGGGGACTGTAGTTCGTCGGTTCTGAATGATCTGTGTTGTTTTCCATTGTACCAATTTTAAGCACAATTTTTCACTTGCTTATTATGTAACAGATTTTATTATACGTACGNCGTGTTTTGTATTTACATAGGGTTACACAGAATTACTTAAGGTAAATTCAAAACTGATGCATGTGTATAATTTTATCCTATAAATAAATTTTATATGGTCACCACATTAGACAAGGACACCGCGACCAAAAAGTATTCTCTTTCGAGACCGATTTCTCGGCATCAGACAGCACTCCAGTTGTAGGTACTTATTAACTCCATGGTCGAATGTTTGTGTGATCGGTGTTCGACAAGCAAAGGAAATAAAGCTCATACAGAGATATTTTTTATAAAAAGGCTGTAGTAATTTGTAGGCAGCGGCTTGGCTCTGCCCCTGGCATTGCTGAAGTCCATGGGCGACGGTAACCACTCACCATCAGGTGGGCCGTATGCTCGTCTGCCTACAAGGGCAATAAAAAAAAAAAAAAAATGTCTGTTAAACAAAAGTAAAATAAAAGTTTGAAATAATATGAATTTGAATGAAATTATATGACCATCGGTGTTTTATGGGACGAAATAAATTAATAAATAAAATAAAATAAAATAATCAGTCTGAACAATAGTGGGAGTTTACCCGTCACTTAACTTTTTAGAAACGCTTGAAAAACCAAGTTCAACAACTTGGTTCCATTTTCTTAATCTTATCCACTTTTACGAATACGAAACCGTTGATAATTATTAAACTTGTAGAAACACTGGATTAAGAAAATAGCACAACTCAGACAAGTTATCTTCTCCTATTTCTGCCAAGATTTTGGAATCGACTAAGAAAATGGGAATTTTTTAAACTACTTACCCATTATTATATTCTGCATAAATTTTAGGTCCGACTCTACGAAAGTTTTAAAATTCTACTAAGTTTATTCACGCCGAAAGTAATTGTATTTACTCAACTAATTGTAATATGTGCTTAGTGATTTTAATTAATTAAAAATATATCAATCAGAGGTGCTACGGTAATAAAATACCCCATTCTTTCTAAATCAAGAAGCTCTGTGGTGATACGTTTTAATATTGAAATCGCATCAGATTTTAAGAACGCCAAATGGCACTTCGAAACATTAGTAGCAGGCTCTATCCGAATCATTTTCTATGGTTCGTACGTATATTAAAATATGGGTTTTGAGCACTGAAGTAGGAAACCTATGGAAATGAAACGTCAACCAAAAATTCGTGCCCACTGAAGTAGGAAACCTATAGGTCTATGGTTTTGAGTGTGTTGCTGTGTGTTATTTTGTTTCTGACAGGGTATACAAGGAACGAAGTTTTTTATTTTTTTATTTTTCTATTTAGTGTTTATTCAGGATGAAATGTGTAACTTAACAATAACGGTGGTTTATTAATAATTTAATATCTGTGAAAGTGCACCAATGTGGGAAAATGAAATAAAGCTGCTGGACGTTGCTTCTCGGGATCCTCTAAAAAGCTTACTGAAAAAGTTTCAGTAAATAACCACTATTTTACTGAAATTATATTTCATCCCATATCATCTCATCTCATTTCATTTGATTTTAGGCCAATTCATTAATGTTCCAAATGAATTAACTTCATTTCATTTCACTTCATAACTATTATTTTTCATAAAAAATATAACATATTAGGCTGTATGGTATGATACTTTTGCCTTTTCAATTGGAAAAATGGAACTACCACTTTGTTTTTGACAGTTGACAGTCTTCGTTAAACAGTAAAGTCAAAATAGCCTAAATGTGAGTTTCGTGTGACTTTGTTCATACGTTAGAATTTGTTAGATTTGATGGTTTTAAAGTGAAGCTAAAACTTAAAATGGACGAAGTCGCTAAATTAGAGCATCTTTCGCTCGTGTCTAAAATATGCACCGAGCTAGACAACCATTTAGGTTTGAACGACAAGGATTTAGGTGAGTAAACTGCTTTTGTTTTGATCATTAAATTACATGATAAAAGAACGATGTCATAGAATTAATACAGCGTTGCTTATACCAAGCAATAATTATGTTAACCGATACGATAGATTAAAACGAGCATTTTTTAATCAGGTTAATTGGAGCTAGTCAGAAACAAAGAGATCCTTTTACCATACTTCGAGGTTCTTGTGTTTTAACATCTCTAATTTTTTCATACAAAATTGTGTCTGGAATTTTAAATTACTATATTTGTTGCAGCGGAATTCATCATCGATTTGGCTGATAAGAATCCAACATTTGAAACTTTTAAAGTAGCATTGGTTGAAAATGGGGCTGAATTTTCTGATTCCTTCATGACAAATCTACTCCGTATAATACAGCACATGAAACCTGTGAATACATCAACATTGATTAAAAATATTGCCGAAACTGAAAGTGAAAATCCTCTGGCAAAAAAGTTTCCGGGCTTGGCCATACCAAATGATAAACCTCAATCTTTTTCTGATGAAAGTAGTGATGATGAAAAAGACAAAAAGAGAATAACAGCCAAAGACTTATTTACAGAAGAAATTAAACCAAGTTCTACTGATAATGTTGTTGATTTGGCGATGGCTGAATTGGAAGCTTTAGCACCTTCCAATTCTACAACAAATGAACTTCCTACAGGAAAAGAACCCCTAAAAATTGAGAGTAGTAGAAATAGTGATCACAAAGAAAAGAATAAATCAGAAGAATCTAGAGATAAAGAGAGTAGGAGTCGAAATCCTAAAAGAAGCAGAAGTAGGGAATGTAAAAGAAGCAGAAGTACACAGAACACAGATAAATATAAACTAGAAGAATCGCGAGATAGAAAAAGGCGAAGTAGAAGTCGAGATCGTAAAAGAAGTAGGAGTCGAGATAGAAAAAGAAGTAGGAGCCGAGATCATAGAAGAAGTAGGAGTAGAGATTATAAAAGAAGTAGAAGTAGGGAACGTAAAAGAAGTAGAAGTAAAGGTAAGAGAAGTCGTAGTCGGGATAGGAGAAGCAAAAGTCAAGACAGAGACCGTAGAAGAAGATCACACAGTCGACATCGTCACAGATCCAGGTCTAGGGACAGGCGTAGATCTTATTCAAAAAGTAGAAGATCAGTATCAGGTGGCAGAAGATCTCGTTCAAGAAATAGAGAAGAAAAATTTGATTATGGCAAGAAAAGCAGAAAACGCAGCCCTGAAGTAGAATTGAACGATGATCCTGAACCAGGAAAAGTAAGCTCTTTTAAATGTCTCATTGCATAATTTCAGTTTGACTCTCTAGTTTCAGGGAAGATAGTGCCACTTTCGCTCCTGGTAAAATATTTTACGAAATTAGCGCATATTATTTGCACTTATTATTTGGCATACTCACACTGTCTTTTAATATGTAACCGTTTTCTTATTTTATCACACTCAATTTTGTGAGCCTTGTCCCCATTGTGGCTACCCACCAATGCCCTGTTCTTCAACTTTTTTTAAAATATCTCTATAGTATAAATTATTCAATATACTTTTAGGCAATGATAAAAAAACAAATACTCACCATGTGAATAAATTATGACATTGGAACCAATACTTCCTCCCGTTGTCATTAACATATTATTGCAACTTTAAAAATGATTGTTTTTTGGATATACAAATTAAAATATTTTCATAAGGGATTTATCATTAAGCAAAGTGTGAATTAACTTGGAATACTGTTTTAATTGATGGCTCGGTAGATAAATTATTTTTTAGAAATTCTTTCTACTGTTGAAATTATGATTTTACAACGTTGATATTAAAAATACTTAGTCCTATTTTTAAACAACTTGTTTCTAAGTTTTTGGTGAACTGAAAAGCCTTAGAGATTGTAATTAGAAAAGTAATTGAAAGCTTTGGCCTAAAGATTATGATATGTTGATCCAACGTAATTCATATTTCACTACATTATGGATCAATGTAAGCAAGAGTAGGCACAAAGTTATGAAGCCTACCAATACAACTAAACATTTGAGAATTACACTGTTATCGTGTACATATATCAGTTCCTTTATTGATTTACAGATATACAGTGGCCGTGTTGCAAACATTGTACCATTCGGCTGTTTTGTTCAAATTGAAGGAGTCAGAAAAAGGTGGGAAGGATTGGTGCATATCTCACAGCTGCGAGCTGAGGGTCGTGTCACCAATGTATCTGATGTTGTCAATAGAGGTGATAAAGTTAAGGTAAATTAGTATTTAAGTTTTAATTGACCACTTATAAGAGAGTATTGAAATAACTTGAAGCAAAATACCAGTACTCAATATACTCAGATACAAAATACTCAGTAAGATACCCACTGTCCAATTTTTATTTTAACTCCTTTTGATCAGTGTTATTATCATAGAACATAATTGAAAAGGAAAATGCTAAAGAAATTGAAAGATTGAGAGAGAAGAAAGAGACAAAAGAAAGGAAGTTAAGAGATGAATTCAATCTAATCATGGATAACTATAGGAATTAATTTACATATATACAGAAACAAAAATTTCACATTTACAGGTCAAAGTAATCTCAATAACAGGACAGAAAGTTTCTCTCACAATGAAGGATGTTTGTCAAGAGACCGGGAAGGATCTCAATCCAGCATCCCATGCTCACCTGGAAGCAGAACGTGAGGGCCGAAACCCTGATCGCCCTCCACCAGCAGCAACTGTGTTAGCCGGGCTCCAAGGTGGAATAGACCCTGATGAGGATTCTAGTAGGAAGAGGGTGACAAGGATATCTAGTCCTGAGAGATGGGAGATCAAACAGGTAAATGTGAAGTAGGGTTCTCAGGCTGTTTGTTTTCAAAATGTTGTTCAATTGCAGAAAGCATTGAGAGCATGTCATTGAGAAAGATTAATGTTATCTTAAAATATATTTTTTACAGTAGTACTAATACAGTACATTGCTTTTTTATTACCAATACAACAAACTAATAATATTTTATGCATGTATGTAATAATAATATCAAGCAATCTTGATGGAAGTCACAAATCTTTATTTAGGGACTCTTTTTTTCTTAAAACTTTTTGTGTGCTTTAAAAATAAAAATAAAAATTTATTTTAGTTGCTCACCATAGAGCAATAAATATGTAACAAATAAAATGTATTACATTTAAACAATTTAAATTTAACATAATAGAAACATTGTTAATAAAAGCATAGACAGTTTTCTTGCTTTATAGCTGTGTAAACTTTTCGGGCTTCAAATTTAAATACAATTTTTTTCCTGTTTTTTATATATATGTATACATATTATTACTATAGTCCATATAAAAAGAGTAACGAAAAATTAATTTACAGATGATTTCATCAGGCGTAATTGATAAGAGTGAATTACCAGATTTTGACGAGGAGACTGGTTTACTTCCAAAAGATGAAGATGGCGAGGCAGACATTGAAATAGAGCTAGTGGAAGAAGAACCTCCTTTCCTCCAGGGTCATGGCAGAGCCCTTCACGATCTTTCTCCAGTAAGGATAGTTAAGAATCCCGATGGCTCCCTTGCACAAGCAGCCATGATGCAGTCCGCATTGGCCAAAGAGAGGAGAGAGCAGAAGATGATCCAACGGGAGCAGGAAATGGACAGCGTACCTACTGGTATTTTATCTAATTAACGTTTATATCTCTCATAGTAAATGGAATTTACAAGTTGTGATCTAAGTTTCAATCGTAATTAAACTATAATTCGATTTATAACTTAATATTGTGTAATTTTTGTTCTTTTATTTATTTATTTTTATTGCTTAGATTGGTGGACGAGCTCGCCTGGTGTTAAGTGGTGGCTGGAGTCCATAGACATCCACAACGTAAATGCGCCACCCACCTTGAGATATAAGTTCTAAGGTCTCAGTATAGTTACAACGGCTGCCCTACCCTTGAAACCGAAACGCATTACTGCTTCACGGCAGAATTAGGCAATTGTAGTCAAGAATGTTCAATTTATGTTCATTTATTTGTAGGTCTAAATAAAAACTGGATAGATCCGCTACCTGAGTCCGAGGGTCGAACGTTAGCGGCCAACATGCGAGGCGCGGGCGTGGTCCCTCAAGACTTGCCAGAATGGAAAAAACACGTCATCGGTGGAAAAAAATCCTCATTTGGAAAGAAAACGAATTTATCCCTGCTCGAGCAGAGGCAATCGCTGCCCATATACAAGCTTAGAGATGAACTAACTAAGGTACGTAGTGTGCGCAGTCACGGACTGTTGGAGCAATCATATCCAAAGTGATCTGTGTCGACGCCCCGGGCCACATTATAATTATTCGATTTTGGACCTTAAATTTGGAAATCTCTCGCCAACTTACCCGGTGATGACGCAACCAACTGATCGCTATACTAGCCCGAAGACAGATGTGAAATCATCAGTAGTTGTTAAAAACTTTAAAATTAAATTTGACTGTGCTACTTTACAAACAAATAATGAAGTGCAATTTCTAATGCGACTTCCAACAAGGTTGCGTTAAACGTTTAAAGCTACCATGGAATAGAAAGAGTCAGAGCGAGAGTGAATGCGCGGCACTCGAACGCATGCGTGCAGTATACATGTTACAGGCCAGCGCGAGCTTATCAACCAGTAGCGTACAATATTTTATTGAATTATTTTAAAAAAATGTATATTTATTTTTCTATCTATAATTTCAAATTTATACAATATATATATGTTGGAGACGTCGCATCTCTTATGCACAGTATTCCCTATTACAAGGGCGATCTGATTTAAGGATGAAAAATGAAGATAACCACAACACTACACATCGAAAAAGAAGTTTCACTTCATTCACGTGCACCAATCAAGTTGCACCGTTTTTATTTTATATAGCCATTTTTATAATAGGAGCCTAATTAGCCGTAAGAATTTATACGTACAGAATTCGTGCATTCAAATCAAATCAAATTAAAAAAAAAAATTCAACATAAATGAAAGTACATACCTACTTGTTGAACGTCAAAAAGAACTACCGCCAATTCACAAAAACTAGCCTCCGTCCTGAGAAGAACTGGCAAGAAACTCAGCGGGCATGTCTTTTTTTTTAAATATTCATTTATACCAGGAGTATTATAACGTAACAATTATTGCAATATTGAAATGCCTGGAGCGAGCAACTCATTCCCACTCTGTGCAATCTTCTAGTTCCGGTCTGAAGGCCTACCGTTGACTCTGTGTTCCAGGCCGTGTCCGACAACCAGATTCTGATCGTGATCGGCGAGACGGGGTCGGGCAAGACGACGCAGATAACGCAGTACGTGTGCGAGTGCGGGCTGGCGGCGCGCGGCAAGGTGGCGTGCACGCAGCCGCGCCGCGTGGCCGCCATGTCCGTGGCCAAGCGCGTCGCCGAGGAGTTCGGCTGCCGGCTGGGCCAGGAGGTGGGCTACACCATACGCTTCGAGGACTGCACCAGCCCCGACACTGTCATCAAGTTAGTGGAACTGCACTGTCCAGATACTTTGTCTAACATTTCTAAGTCACAGTAAAATTTTAAGGTCTGACAACTTAACTCTAAACTATAGTGATGATGGGTGGTTACCGTCGCCCATGGACTTCAGCAATGGCACAGCCAAGCCGCTGCCTACCGGTTACCTTTGTATATGATAGTGTATATTAAAGTGAGTTTTTTACTGGTGGTAGGACCTCTTGTGAGTCCGCGCGGGTGGGTACCACCGCTCTGCCTATTTTTGCCGTGAAGCAGTAATGCGTTTCGGTTTGAAGGGTGGGGCAGCCGTTGTAACTACACTGAGATCTTAGAACTTATATCTCAAGGTGGGTGGCGCATTGACGTTGCAAATGTCTATGGGCTCCAGTAACCACTTAACACCAGGTGGGCTGTGAGCTCGTCCACCCTGTCATATGTATTGCCTATGTCAACAAGCTCATCGATCTACTGAATGTAAGCTTAGTAACTACTACTATCGAGTTACCAGGATGTACCCCAAAAAGTTACCAACGTTAAGCCGACTAATAATTTCAGATACATGACGGACGGCATGCTGCTCCGCGAGTGCCTCATGGACCTGGACCTGAAGGCGTACTCGGTGATCATGCTGGACGAGGCGCACGAGCGCACCATCCACACCGACGTGCTGTTCGGTCTGCTGAAGCAGGCCGTGCAGAAGCGTCCCGAACTCAAGCTCATCGTCACGTCGGCCACGCTCGACGCCGTCAAGTTCTCGCAGTACTTCTTCGAGGCCCCGATCTTCACCATCCCCGGTCGGACCTTCCCCGTCGAAGTCTTGTACACCAAGGAACCGGAGACGGACTATTTGGACGCCTCACTGATCACGGTCATGCAGATCCACCTGAGGGAGCCCCCGGGGGATATCCTGCTGTTCCTCACTGGCCAAGAAGAGATCGACACGGCGTGTGAGATATTGTACGAGAGAATGAAGTCCTTGGGTCCGGACGTGCCCGAGCTGATAATTCTGCCGGTGTACTCTGCGCTGCCGTCCGAGATGCAGACCCGGATCTTCGAGCCGGCGCCCCCCGGGTCCAGGAAGGTGGTGATCGCCACCAACATCGCGGAGACGTCGCTGACCATCGACGGTATATACTACGTGGTGGACCCTGGCTTCGTTAAGCAGAAAGTCTACAACTCGAAGACTGGAATGGATTCGTTGGTTGTAACTCCTATATCGCAGGTGATACCCCGTTTCTATATATCCGTGACCAAATTAATCTGTCACCTAAATTTCATAATCATAAGAATACACAGATGATTCGTGTCTGAATTAAAATGATAAAGTGACTAGCTGTACCCGTCCACTTCTCTGGGCATTTAAAATTAATATTATTATTTCTCATCCCCACAAAGATTCTCATCATGAACGCCCCCGCAACTGATGTAGGGAGTCCAACACTCATATAAATATTAGCCTATCCATTAAGTACATGTATTTTCTACATGGATACCACGTTTCAATTCAATCGGATGCATGGTTCAGTAGTTATAACGGAACATATGTAAAAACCACTGTAGATTTATATATTAGTATAGATATGTTTAACTTCTATACAATATATATTGTCTGTTGGTGAACTTGCTGATCCGCCGACATCTGGTTGAAGCTCAACAGCATCAGCATCACTGACCGTCGCTTGAACAGGCACGGCCCCGTCAGGGGGCTCAGATATACAGAATATTGTACAGAATACTACTACTACAAAATATTGAATTGTCATCGGTCCTTAATAGTTAATCCGACGTTTTGAAGGAGGTTAAAATCGTATTCAAAAATTCCGTTATATACTAACATACATACGTCTGAAGCTAATAAAAGCGTATTAATAAGACTTGACCTAAAGGTCTTAGCTACCAGGTCATAAAATCCCTTAAAAAAGCTAAGTTAGATTGAGTAGGTGGTAACGTTTAGAGTAAGTGTGAACAACATTGTGCAGGCGGCGGCGAAGCAGCGCGCCGGGCGGGCGGGCCGCACCGGGCCGGGCAAGTGCTACCGGCTGTACACGGAGCGAGCCTACCGCGACGAGATGCTGCCCACGCCCGTGCCCGAGATACAGCGGACCAACCTCGCCACCACCGTGAGTGCCGCGCGATACTTTGTAGTCGTCGTGGCCTAAAGGATAAAACGTCCGGTGCACTCGTGTGTAGCGATGCACCGATGTTCAAATCCCGCAGGCGGGTACCAATTTTTCTAATGAAAGACGTACTCAACAAATGTTCACGATTGACTTCCACGGTGAAGGAATAACATCGTGTAATAAAAATCAAACCCGCAAAATTATAATTTGCGTAATCACTGGTGGTAGGACCTCTTGTGAGTCCGCACGGGTAGGTACCACCACCCCGCCTATTTCCGCCGTGAAGCAGTAATGTGTTTCGGTTCGAAGGGTGGGGCAGCTGTTGTAACTATACTGATACCTTAGAACTTATATCTCAAGGTGGGTGGCGCATTAACGTTGTAAATGTCTATGGGCTCCAGTAACCACTTAACATCAGGTGGGCTGCGAGCTCGTCCACCCATCCAAGCAATAAAAAGAAAGTGATCTCTTTTTCACTCCGTTAAACGGAAAGACTAGTTCACAGCCCACCAACAAATTTCGCTATAGTACTGCAATATCCCACTTATCAGAACATCATCATGTCAATTAAACTCTTCAGTTTGGTTGGCATGTATTTTTGGCGTTTTTTTTTTCTTCGTTTTTGGTTTTGTTAATTTTAAAATAATAATTTGACATGATTGGCTTGAAACTCATACAGTACTCAGTACTTAAATTGCCACCGATGTAGCTCGCGTAGTATCAACAAAATAGTAAATTTCAGGTATTACAATTGAAAACAATGGGTATAAACGATTTGCTGCATTTCGACTTCATGGACGCCCCGCCGGTCGAGTCGCTCATCATGGCGCTGGAGCAGCTGCACTCGCTGTCCGCACTCGACTCCGAGGGACTCCTCACGAGGCTGGGACGCAGAGTACGTTGAGATGTCATCACTACATAGTATAAAACAAAGTCGCTTTCTCTTTCCCTATATCTGTCCGTATGTATGCTTAAATCTTTAAAACTACGCAACGGATTTTGATGCGAGTTTTTTTAATAGATAGAGTGATTGAAGAGGAAGGTTTATATGTATAATGACATCCATTAAATAGTGGAGAAATCAATAATAAATTACAGTTTCCGAAGCGAAGCGAGGGCGGGTCGCTAGTGTTATTATATTATACTAGCTTATAATCTGTACCTGCATTAAAAAATAAATGAAATAGGGACTTTTTGGCGGAAACGCCAGGAGTGAAGTTGTGTGATTTGTTTTTTTTTTTCTTCTATTTAGTGTTTCTTCAGGTTTAAATGTGTAATAACGGTGGTATATTAACTTTTTAATATCTGTGAAAGTGCACAAATGTGGGAAAATGAAACAAAGCCGCTGGACGTAACTTCTTGGGATCCTCCAAAAAGTCCACCGAAAAATTTCAGTAAATGATCACCATTTTACTAAGATTATATTCCATCCCATATCATCTCATCTCATCTCATTTAATTTCATCTCAGTTGATTAATGTCCTAAATTTATCATTTTCATTTCATTTCACTCCATATTATCATTTTTCATAAAATTTGAAGAATATAAATTAAAATAAGACCTGACTTCAAGGTCTCAGTTACCAGGTCATAAAATTCATAAAAAAATAATATTAATGAAATGGCATATCATTGCAAAAGACTTGTAAGCAAAACCTATAACAAGCTAACGCTATTTGCAAGAAGAGCTTGCATATATACAAGTTCTGAACAACATTAGGACCGTCGGCGCACTGAGCACTAACATTCGCTCTGTTAAAGGTCTTTCCTTTACGGGTTCCTATAAGACTTATGCCCTTTTTGAATAGAATTATAAGAAACAACAATAAATGTTAAGTGGTTACAGGAACTGACAGATAGCACAATGTAAATATTGCACTGAAGTAGGAAACCTATGGAAATGAAACGTCAACAAAAAATTCGTGCCACTGTGACGTCATCTGGCCACAAAACATGGCGGTTTTAGTGCTGCCCAGAAGATTTTAATGTTAGTAGGTTTTATCGATAAACGTTCTTGGCTCATTTTATTTTAAATATTGTTGAGTGAATATATTTGTAGAATTTATACTTTAATAGGAAGTAAGTATATTGTTATGTGCAAAGATGATGTGTTTTAGATATTATGTGAAATCTAAGACGAGTTCGTGCTTCAAATTTGCCAAGTAAACGATATGACGATTTTTAAAATTTGCTACACTGATTTTATAAAGTTGTCGTTTGCCGCAAAACATAAAGATATGGCGTAGTACAGTGCCATCTGCCCATTTCTAGCATGCTGAATGTTATCGTATTTTGAGTACGTGTTTTTCTTAGACTANATTTTTAAAATTTGCTACACTGATTTTATAAAGTTGTCGTTTGCCGCAAAACATAAAGATATGGCGTAGTACAGTGCCATCTGCCCATTTCTAGCATGCTGAATGTTATCGTATTTTGAGTACGTGTTTTTCTTAGACTATTACAATCTATTTTAATTGTTTTGCTGACTCTAAAGTCCGTAACACACTACCGCAGCGCACTTCAAGGAAGGTACGCCGCACCATTTGAATCACTCTCACTTGAGAGTGATTCAAATTTTAAACTTATCAAGGGACCGCCTGATAAAAAAAAACACCTACAGAACATTTATTCGTTAATAAAATTACAAACGTCATTCCTTGTGACTTCCTCTTTAAAATCACTTAATTATTAAATATTTAACGAGTTGACAATAGTGTTTTACTCACTGCGGAATAAAACTATTTTATTTAAATAGTTCCGAAGAGATTTTGTCGGTAGCCTTTTTCCTGAAATATCTAAACAGAATGTCTAAATATGTTTTGATGACATATTTTAAAGAGGTATTTATGATTAGTGTCATGATGAATAGATTCCGACCGAAAAATGGTGTCCGATATTTCGGATTCAAATATATTAAGTGTATAATCTATCTTTCGGATGAGGGCTCCATTATGAATTTAAATATATATAGATAATAGTTTTGGGGCATCGACTTTCTTGAGATCCTATAAAATATGTTTTAATTATTATTTTTGTATGTTTTAAGCATGATAAAATAAGAAATTTTATATAAGCAGTCATATTAAATCGATATCAAAGTCAATAAATAATGTACAACCCAAAACAGACGGCCGAACTGACGTGACAATGACATTTGGCGCGCTAAACATGGCGGATTTTCGGCCTCATTAGATGGAGACGGAGACATTTACGTATATTCATGTTTCATTTTATGTACGCACTGAAATACTGTTATATTGTTTTCCTGCGAGTTAAAGTGCTGAGTAAGAACGAGATAGATATATGTTTATGTATGTGCCTTCAAAATGGGTGCTATTTATATAAGCAATTGTACGTATAGAGCAATATGTCGTGTCCCTACTATGTAGGTCTATGAAATATTGTTAATTCATCTCAAAAATAGACAGGGCAGTGGTGTCTACCCTCAATTCAGGCTTAATGAACCCAATTATTATTTTCAGATGGCCGAATTTCCACTAGAGCCAAATCTATCGAAGATCCTGATCATGTCGGTGGCCCTGCAGTGCTCGGATGAAATACTCACAATAGTGTCGATGCTGAGCGTCCAAAACGTTTTCTACCGGCCGAAGGACAAACAGGCGCTTGCCGACCAGAAGAAGGCCAAGTTCAACCAGCCGGAAGGCGACCACCTGACGCTACTGGCCGTGTACAACAGCTGGAGGAATAACAAGTTCTCGAACGCGTGGTGCTACGAAAACTTCGTGCAGATCAGGACGTTGAAGCGGGCCCAGGACGTGAGGAAGCAGCTTCTCGGGATCATGGACAGGTAAGCCTTCAGTTTTGACACAAATTATATAGTCGGAGTGATTTTTGTTCGGACCCAACATACTTATTTTGTAAATAGATACCGAAAACACAAGGCAGCAATAAGTACAAATACCTTTTTTTTGTGATTTTATGACCTGGTAACTTAAGTCATGTCTTATTTTAATTTATATTCTTATTTTTATGAAAAATGATATTATGGAGTGAAATAAAATGAAATGAAGATAATTAATTTGAGACATTAATCAACTGGGATGAAATTAAATGAAATGGTATGGGATGAAATATATAACTATATAAAATATATAAATATATAACCTTAGTAAAATGGTGGTCGTTTACTGAGATTTTTTTCAGTGGACTTTTTGGAGGAACCTGAGAATTTACGTCCAGCGCCTTTGTTTATTTTTCCCACATTTGTGCACTTTCACAGATATTAAACAGTGAATAAACCACCGTTATTACACATTTAAACCTGAAGAAACACCAAACAGACAAAATAAAACAAATCACACAACTTCACTCCTCGCGTTCCCGCCAAAAAGTCAAGTACAGATACCAATTGTCCTTAACAAGCAGACTATATGAACGATTAGTTCGCGCTCCACCTATCGTGCGCTGGCGGTACTTCAACACATAAATACTTCCTGAAGTGCCAACCACAAGTTCCACAACAAAAGTTTTGAACAAACGACGCGTGTGCACGAGTAATCGTGAAAATAGTTTTGTCTGTGGAAGACAGGTGGCGCACCGCATCATTCCTCTGCGCAACTATTGGAGTTCCACCCTCTCGGCAGCACAGGACAGCTGTTACACAGTCCAATTGAAACCCCAACCTCATATTTCGATGTGGATGACACCATTAAAATAACCACTTAACCTTCAATTCGACAATGCTAATGCGCCCCACTTTTTCACTGGTATAGGACATAGGTTAATATTAGATAAAATTGCTTGAAGATCCTGCACGATTCAGATTTATCTAAGACTTATTCTAAACGCGCTTATTAGGGCTACCGTCGATCTGCTGCATGAATATCTCGTTACTTTGCCTGACATAATTCGGAATGTTTTGGTTTTCAGACACAAATTAGACGTAGTTTCAGCCGGTAAGAATACAGTTCGCATACAGAAGACGATATGCTCGGGCTTCTTCAGGAACGCGGCCAAGAAGGATCCCCAGGAAGGATACAGGACGCTCGTGGACAGTCAAGTTGTTTATATACATCCTTCCAGTGCACTGTTCAACAGACAACCGGAATGGTATGCTTTTAAATTTTTTTTATATAGATATATGACTAAACCAGTCCAGAGCAATAGGTTTCGGTAGGCAGCGGCTTGGCTCTGCCCCTGGCATTGCTGAAGTCCATGGGCGACGGTAACCACTCACCATTAGGTGGCCCTTGTGCTCGTCTGCCTACAGGGGCAATAAAAACAAAAAAAGGTATAACGCCGTCATCGCGTTAATATTTTCGCTTTAACCTATAAACAACATTGCATTTGTCAATTTGGATTTATTTACCTTGTCTCACTAATTTTATGCCTCGATCAGCGCTTGAACTATCCAAGACACTATTAATATTTGAAAGCTTCCGTTTTTTTTCTATTATAATATGACTGTGTAACTTAAAAGAGCAGTTTCTTTTTATTACTACGTTTCGTCTCTGTATTTTGTAAAAAACAGTTTCTTTTTAACACTGCGTTTCGTCGCTCTATTTTGTATTGAATAATTTTTAAAAACATGTTTGTTTTACGACAGGGTAATCTACCATGAGCTAGTACAGACTACGAAAGAGTACATGAGGGAAGTCACGACCATAGACCCGAAATGGCTGGTAGAGTTTGCTCCCGCCTTCTTTAAATTCTCGGACCCAACAAAACTGTCTAAATTTAAGAAGAACCAGAGACTGGAACCATTGTACAACAAATATGAGGAGCCGAACGCTTGGAGAATATCGAGAGTCAGACGCAGAAGAAATTAGTGGTGTTGTTTATGTCTGTGTACGTCTTGTACAGATAATAAAAATAAAATCATAATATTCGTCATTTTGTTTTATTTTAAAATTGTTCCCTGGTGCAAAGAACAGTTACGAGGCCGTATGACTACTTTACTGTACTTTTATAATGGTTGATAAAGTCTATAAATATTAAATGCAATTATAAAAATATAGATTTCTTGTCGTTAAGGTAGACCAGTGTATGATACATACTTGGTTATGAGTGGTCACCAATACACAGTTGCAGCAGTAACGCCAGAGACAAAGATGAGCGGCTGCCTACCACCTAAAACTATAAACATCGCTTGTAGGACAAGACCAAGACAGTCATAGCCCTTAGAAAACTGCTCAAACAGTGTAGAGAGGTATTCGTTCCGGAACGCAATGGTGCTTGGTAAAAAAGGTTTCTAGAAACGAGCAGTCTTACAGGTAGTATGAGTAAAAAAGTATTCTTTTTACTAATGTTAAACATTGTTTTTTAAATTAGATTTTAGCATATAACAGGCTTTTTTATTAAGTTATAATTAATAAGTTATGGATAATCTATTAAGATTATCCGTAACTATTCATACCTACCTATCTATCTCTATTATCCATAACTATCCAAAGCTAATAATGATGCAATAAATGGCATAGATTATAAAGTACACTAAATTATGTGTTCACTGGCTCCATCCATTGATTTTTTTGTGTTCGTCGTGCAAATTACTCTATTAATTTTGTAAAAAAAAGTTATTTGTCTTTTATATTTCTCCATTATTAATAGTCTATTAAATTAAATTTTGTATTCATGTATTAAGTAGGTACATACTGTGAAGATATTAAAGGTCTTTCTACCATTGCAGTATGACTTTGTACCACTGAAGAATGAAAGGTTTATGCTTTGTAGCTCTTGAACACTGAACTCTTGACTCTTGAATCACTAATTTGTCATGTACGTCAACGTCAAACGAATTAACTTGACACTTGTTGACAATAAAAAATTTAGATCTGTTTTATTCCCTAAAAATGTACAACAATTATATCATTCTTCAAAAGTTCCTGAAAATTACTTAACATGAGCTGATGTTGTAATGTTAAATTAAAGCATTAACATAATTATTTATTAAAAAATGGATTTTTTTTCGGAAATTATAGGCGAGACGGTCATTTTAGGGTTAGATTCATTAATATTGGGATTCTGCGTGAAGCAGCTGAGCAAATGTAAACACATCCTCAATGCTCTACAGGTAAAGCTTTGGCTTATTGAGATAAAGAAAAGTACAATAAGAGAAACAAATCTGAAAGGAAAATTGACATAAAACTAAATAAATTACATGACTTCTTCATCAAAAGTAAAATCAATATTTAAAAAGGAAATACCTTTATCTTGGCTTAAAAAAAGAAATAATATAGCACATTACAATTAATGCATTACAAACTATAAAGTTTTAATTATTTTATTTATTTATTATTACATTTTAAAGTTTTAAATATCTTATTAATTCAGTTAGTTTTAAATATTTTATTAATAAATACAATTAGAATTGTCTTTAATAAATTACAGATTTACATACATAATTTTTTTAGTAATAGATTGCTAAATTTATAGTCCGATCCCATTTATTCTAAAATTTCTTTTCATATTTACAATTTTATAATTGGGGTAGTGTTGTAAGTCCACATACCCATGTGTTTGACTCTATCTGCCACGAAGCAATCATGCTAGTTTGAAGGGGGACAGCTGTTCTAAAATACAATTGAAAATTATTCCTAAAGTTTTAAGTTTGGTGGCTTTTCAATTAATCTTCATGATAATGATAATTCTGTGATTACACATGTACAGTAAATTTTATTTAATCTCATGTTTTTATTGTTGTTATATAATTTATTTAATATTATCTTATTATTCGTTGTGTCGTTTATATTTGTTGGAAGATATTTTACTTGTCAGTTAACTGTGTGTATTTGAAACATAGGAAATAATAATAACAACAACAAAAAAAAACTGCAGTTAAACCCTAGCAGTAATTTTTATTATATCTACAACTTGTATGAAGTAAAGAAAAAGTGGTACATTGTTAATAATGGTTAAATAGAAATATCTGTACATAATTTCTAAATGCTAAGGAAATATCCTCCTCTTCAACATTTAAAAATATAAGTATTCATAAAAGTCTTAGAAGAAAAATAGAGCAACAATTTTTTTTCAGACAGCACCAGTTCTGGAGATAGACTCATCAATTAACAAAGAATTAAAGAAGTTCCCTAATAGCACAATCCCATATGTTGTGATAAGAGGACTGGTGAAGCCGCTTGGCACTCCTATCACCAGTAATTACAATAACTCCATCACCGGTGTGGTGCAAAGGTAAATGTATTTTTTTACAAATTAAATAGAGACCAGTCTTAAAAATTGTATCTCTTTCCTAACAAGAAATTGTGAGTTACCAAAAAACAAAAATCTGAGCAAACTCTGATTAATGTAATTTATCCACCGTCTGTTTTATTAAAAAGTACATTTTTAGGACTATTGTCGATTGTATTGCGGTTCATATTATATTGTGGTTCATTACAGGTGACATTTTCATTCAAAATACCATAATTGGAACCGAGTCTCTCTCATTCTCTTCCTAGTTATTCATCTCAGAAGGTGGTGGGTTCAGCTTTCCTTATTTTTCTGCTTCGCTTGGCTCTATCTTCAACATCATCATCAATAGTAACATAGTGCTCCCTCCTGTCTTTCTGCACTACATCAACATGGGAAGTCAAACTACATCATTGGGGCTGACTGAATAACATAATCAAACTCTATGTATGATTGATGATGGATTTTACTCACTCTATGTCTTTTTTTATTGCCCTTGTAGGTATACGAGCACACAGCCCACCTCACGGTAACTGGTTACCGCCGCTCATGGATTTCGATAATGCCAGGGCAGAGTGAATTCATTGCGTACTCTGAGAACTCTCCGCAAGCCTCGTTTGAAGAAAGACGTCATTGTCTTAGGGCTTGGGAAGGAAGCACAGGGTAGTTCATTCCAAAGCTGGATAGTACGTGATATCTGGAAACGCATTGTGGATCAGCAGCGCAGGAGTTCCAGATAGTGTGGATGAACTCTGCTCTGAAGGCGGGCGGTGCGTTCGTAAAAACATGATTGGATCATATTAAAGAATTTCCCCGAGTACAACCCATGGAGCATACAATACCAAACACAGAGAGATCTGCTGGCCCTAGACTCAGAGGTTCCAAACGATCGTGAGGTCCTATGTTTTATCCCTTTTCCATCTTTTAGTTTTTTTCTCTTTTCATTATTTGCCTTGAGTCCCTGATAAGTCTCTGATAACAAAAATTGTTCCTTACTCTGACGAATGATCATAAAAATTTGAGTTCCATTTATGTTATATTATGTTACAGATTAACAATAAAAGAGCATGTAATAGCCAGAACATCGGCAGGTTTCTGGTCAGACCAGACCCGGACCATTCATGAAGTGTGTAATTCAACTCCATTTGTTCTCAACAATGGGAAATACAGCATAGAAGTTGTTGACGCATTAGCTGCTGAATTACTTGGTTGGTTTCGAATTTATCTTTAGGTTTTGCGATTTTTAGATTAAAATAATTTGATCATTAGCCACCAACATGCCTACTTGATCTGGGCAGAAATCAAAATAAAAACTTCCAATTTTATAACAGGCCATAAGCCAGCATTTTTTATTTTTTTTCAATTCACATTATGCAGATCCATCCCTTAGTATTTATTATTTTTCTTCATAATTTCCATACACCATTTTGTAGAGGCTAAAGGAATATCTCTATTTTTCTAAACGATATCACATATCAATATGATAGATAAAATCTGAGTGACTTGTGTGGGCTGTGAAATACGATTATAATTATGACAAAATTCTAATGTTGCCATACTTTTCTATCTGGCTACGAAACCCAATAGAAATGATGGACCACCAAAAATGTTTCCACCAGATATGGACGTGATTTCGGATAAATTCGAACCGATGTCTCCTGGTGTTATCGATCACGTATGGGGCTTCTTCTCCGGAGTGCGTCAGCGAGGACTCCAGACTATGGAGGAGATGCTTCGAGACGGCTCCTACATTACTGCCATCGGCGAACTGAGCAAGAGCAAAACAGGCGCACTAAAGATCCAGCCTCCTAGAGACGGCCTACCGCTGTACTTGACCACAGCCACGAAATCCAGCTTGTTGAAGAGGTTGGCCAGTTCGAGAGATTTTTTGAGGTAACCTCTTTTTTTTAATTGATTACTTCTTAGCAGGTAAACCGTAACGCGTTACGGCACCAGTCTATCTGCCTTCCCTTTCTCTCACGAATACGGCAGCGGTTCTGAGAACGTATGTAACTCCTAACTATTTATATATCTCTTTCAATTTATGTTACAATTTTGTTACATTATCATCTTCATATCCATAAAATTTAAGTGATAACCTAAGCTTTTCTCAAAAATTTCAATATTAAATAGTTCAACTTAGATTAGTTTTAGTTACCACTTCTCTCGTGCGTCCCAAGACGCACAATTTTTGTTTTACAGACCACTATGTACCACAATTCTTATTAAATTCAAAACTATTTTCAATTCGTTTAGAACTTACATCTCAAGGTGGGTGGCGCATTTACGTTGTAGATGTCTATGGGCTCCAGTAACCACTTAACACCAGGTGGGCTGTGAGCTCGTCCACTCATCTAAGCAATAAAAAAAAAAAAATTACAAGATGTTATTCCTTCATCGTGGAAGTCAATCGTGAACATTTGTTGAGTAGGTACGTATTTCATTGGAAAAATTTGTAGGGGATCTCATATAACTTCACATATTCATGGCCACTCCGCGTATTAAGAATTTCCTAAGGTGCCACAATAATACATAAGCGCACTTGATCGTGTGGCCTATAATAATACCTGAGCATATATTCTCGTGAGTATCGTAGAAGGCGATTCAGGAAAATGGGCGCTAATCTTCAAGTATTATAGCTGTATACTCTGATCATCAGTTTCCATTTAATGATGGTGGGGCGTATTGTAAGCTTGCAGCGGTAGGTATCAGCGTCAGCAGCCGATTTCTACCGCGAGGCAGTCGTTGTTCATTACAATTGGATCATTGACCTTATGGCAAGCTGGGCGACGGCATCCAGATTGTAACGTCTATGGGCCATGACCTCATTGACAAATTTACAACAAAAGGAAACATTAGAAATAGGTATTAAAAAAAAGCTAACATCATAATTGCCTACTTATTAAACTAAATATCTGTTTAAAACCGGTTCAACAGCACAGTATCCGAACATAAAAAAAAATATAAATTTAGAAAAAAAAAATCAGCATAAGTGATTTAATCGCGCCTTGAAACCAGTTCGGTTAAATAGCTGCAACATTTATTCTAAAAGCTTAACAGTCTGTAATCGTTGCATTAAGTGTATAACCAATATTAAATTGAAACAAAAATCTGAGAATTGAAAAAGTGTTTATTATGACGATTAAAAACATTTAAAAATAAACAGTGCTGCAACATTAGTGCTATCAGAGATGTATGAAAGGTTTGCAATGTGAGTTGTAATTAATTTAATAGCAATAAAGAAATTGGCTTAATTGTAATAAAGAATAATAATAATAAAGAAATTGGCACTTAAATGTCAATTCCTAAACTTATATTGACCGATTGAAAGTGCAGAGGCCTTTGATATTTGAAATCTGAAGTGCGTCGTGGTGATCCGGGCCCCTTCCTGGGTCAGAGCTCCCAAACACTGGCTTTCTCCTTTTGACTCTATACAAATAGGGTCGACCTCACGGATTTGTATAGCTCGTTGATCTATAGAGGAATTGCGGTGCTCTCTGTGTGATGCTATACACTTCATTGCGAATGCTCTGGGGAATTAGTTACCTCCTTTTACCGTTTTAACCTCGTCACTAAAGAGGAATTTATTCTTATAGTGCGCGCGGAAGCGCTAGTCACCTCCTGAGGTATGTGGCGGGGTGAGACGGCGGAGGGCGCGATTGACAAGACGCACACGATATTATATTTAAGTGTAAATAAATCTCAGAATAACATGTTAGATTTAATACAATGGGTACCTAATTGTAATATTGTATTTTTCTCTTTCCTGGTTAAACAAAAAATGCATATTCAAAAGTGTTTTATTATATTTTATTATTTACGATACAAAACAAATAAGCAAACTAACATTTCTTAATAAGTATATAAAAAACACTATCACCGTTATGGTACATTATAAAAAATATATTTATTAATCAATTTTGATTTTTTTATCAACAAAAGTTGTTGAATTTTCCGCTTCCGCGCACACTATAATACTGAAATCGTTTTTGTAGAGATCGCTTTTGTTATGGTAAATACGACCCAGAATGAACTAGCCTCTTCGCTGTTTATTGGGAGATGAGATTTCTTCAAACGAAGCTTGAATAACCTTCAACTTCATACCGCGGTATGACTGTGCCTTTCTGATGTTCATGACCACCAGTAACTATTCACCATCCATCCGATGGGCTGTATCCTCGATATTAGCTCCTAAAGGGATAAACTACATGTGCAGCTCGTATTCAGAAGACATGAGTATATAACCCCAGTTCCCTCGAGAAACTAAATGCCGATATCTTCCAAGAGAGTGATTGTATACGCAATTTAATATAGTTGTTGCAAAGTACGACTGCACGCCGCCCTTAGTTGTGTGAGTGACCAATCTGTATACGCGTCAATGTAGGCTGTATGTACTGACCTCCGTCGGGTGCACACATTAACTAAAATGTGTATTTACGATTACAACTACAAATAAAGGCCACGCGCGCTCCTACTTTGCAACAACTGTAACTACTTAGGTTTTTGTATTTAATATTTACAAGAATATAAACTGACTAGCGGCCTGCTCCGGCTCCGCTCGGGTCTTTAACAAAAATTTCAACGATATTTGACGTTGTTTTATTTCTTTAAATAAAAGAACACTTATTGCGGCATACCTATAATAGTTAGACATATGCTGTCGCGACACTTTTTGTAAATAATAATGTGTTCTACCTTTGTACGACTTTTCGTAGTACATTATTTTATTCTATCATCAATAGTTTTCGCAGGGCACGCGATGTAAATAATATTTTAGGTAATTTTTTTACACCTTGGGTTACATTATTGGAGTTTTAGTAAGGATCCCTAATTTTTTTCAAAAAAGATTATAAGCTTATGTCACTCGGGAATAGTGTAGTTTCTAAACAGTGAAATAATTTTTCAAATCGGTTCAGTAGTTTCGGAGGCTATTCAATACAAACAAACAAACAAATCTTTCCTCTTTATAATATTATATTATTAGTATAGAAAAATCATAATTTAGTTTATGTCTACGATAACAGTGTTAATCAAAATGGGATGTATTATTTTTATTACAGAATCCTGGTGGTAATATTCGGTGCGGTGGCCGTGGCGGCCTCGTGCAGGGTCGCTTACAAGTACGTGAAGCGACGCAAGCGACGCGCGCTCGACGACTCAGTGAAGCAGCGGCTGGCGGCCGGGCGCCGGGAGAGACGAGCCGTGGCCAGGGAGAAGAACCTGAGCGAAGTGCAACTCTGCGTTGTCTGTACAGAGAATCCCAAGGAAGTAAGTTTCGCACCCCCCCCCTTTTTTGTTTCAAATCAAATCAAATCAATTTTTTTTATTCAACACTAGCTAACCCGGCAGACTTCGTAGTGCCTCAATCTATAAATAAAAGACCTAAACTTTTGTATCAAATAAACTTCAAAAAAAAACAAAAGGAATCCATCCAACGGGGGGCACGTCAAAGGAAAAAAAAATTGTTACTTTTATTTAATTCCGAGTATTTTCATATTTATCTACCTTTTAAACCTTCTCTGGACTTCCACAAATAATTCAAGACCAAAATTAGCCAAATCGGTCCAGCCGTTCTCTAGTTTTAGCGAGACTAACGAACAGCAATTCATTTTTATTTTTATTCAACATAAATGAAAGTACATACTTGTTGAACGTCAAAAACAACTACCGCCAATTCACAAAACTGGGCTCCGTCCTGAGAAGAACTGGCAAGAAATTCAGCGGGCATGTTTTTTTTTTTAAATATATGTATTTTTTTAAATATTCGTTTCTATAAAGAATATTATAACGTGACAATTATTGCAATATTGAAATGCCTGGAGCGAGCAACTCATTCCCAACCAGTTTGAGTTTCATTTGGGTCGGGGGCCGAACCTCCTATAATCCCGCGCCTACGGGTCGCGCAGGGTATGTGGGACTGGACAGATGTTGCAAGCGGACCGCGGGCCCAAGGCATGGAATTCAGGACCCTACCCATTAAACAACTCCGCTGAACTCTCGCCCAAGCGTCCGATTCCCCCTGAGGTCAGCACGGGCGGGGTAAAAATGAAACGAAGACTCCGGACGTCAGCCGTCTCGGTCAGGCTGCCCAGGCAGTACCGCTGTGTCCTGCGATACCACGCTAGTCCTCTTGGTAGTCTTCTGGGTCTTGGTAGACGCTCTTTTCACAACTATGGTATGGAAGTATTTACTCCTTAGAGGCGCACTTATGTCCGTACTCAGTCCCATGTTTCAACATGTCGTAAGTTTTTTACAGGCTTTGTTTGATATACCGCTCTCGTTGTTTCTCTATTAACCGGTCATCGTTCTCGTCGAACCCGTCGCTTGCGACGAAGGGCTCGACGAGTAAATTAACCCACAGACACAGCCCACTGAGTTTCTCGCCGGATCTTCTCAGTGGGTCGCGTTTCCGATCCTAGGGTTCGTGTTAGCAACGTCGTCAGGTTTGAGCTCCGTGAGCTCACCTACTAGTTAAGGTTACGCTGAAATTGCCACTCGAGGCTATCAGCTTAGGTCAACAACCCCACATATATCTTTATTAAAGAATAATTATCCTTTAAAGACTGGCTGTCTATATTATGCCGCGTCCTCATGTCTATTATACTTAACACAGGCAGTATCGCGGGTACAACTAGTTAGTTATATTGTTGATCTTCCTTTTCAGATTATACTGTTACCGTGCGGTCACGTGTGTGTGTGCGAGGATTGCTCGGACAACATCACGGACAACTGCCCCATATGCCGTAAAAGAATAGAATCCAGGGCGCCCGCCTTCATTACATAAATATTATTATAATTATTTATTCAGGTGTAAGAAGGAAATCGCTCTCGAAAACGAAGACAGAGTTAATACTATGACACTATTCTTTACTGGTGGTAGGACCTCTTGTGAGTCCGCACGGGTAGGCACCACCATTCTGCCTATTTCTGCCGTGAAGCAGTAATGCGTTTCGGTTTGAAGAGTCGGGCAGCCGTTGTAACTATACCTACTTGAGACCTTAGAACATATATCTCAAGGTGGGTGGCTTTTACGTCGTAGATGTCTATGGACTCCATTAACCACTTAACACCAGGTGGGGAGTGAGCTCGTCCATTCAAAAAAAAAAAAGATCATGTCAAAAGCACGTGTTCGATTTTTTTGCTAATATTTTCGTCATTTGAATTTTTCCAAATATAAACATCACTGAAATATACCATTCTACGGAATGGCCGTTATCTACCCGCGTTCCAAGATGGCGGTGACTGGCTCTTCCGTTTTGTACGCTGAACATTACGGGGCGCGCAACTACGCATAGCAAATAAGTCTTTACTGTCAATGTTGAAGTATATATATTTATTTGTTGTTTGTAGTGTTTTCGTTTTGAGAGCGTCTCCATCACTCAGTATTGTGTTAATCTAATTTAGATAAAATCTGCTGCACCTGAATTCTTATAAGTGTCTTTCGATCGTGACGATAAGATTAATTTTTAAGCTATTGCATAGCTTTTATCGCGGGCCTTGAGCGCGGCGACCGAATCATGAAATTCCGTAACGAAAAAACCTAACACCCCTCACTCCGCCTACCATGTAGCTCGCGTTCAACACATTCACACATTGCGCTTGTGTAGTGTTTGTGAATAAGCGCGTGGCGTGACGTCACACTGCATGCGCATGAAAAGTCTGCCCATCTCTCTCTCGCGCGGTCTAGCTTATGAGTGTGAAGGGGACAGTTAAGATTTTGCTTTTATTAATGTTTAATATAGCGTGGTCTTATTTTATTATTGTTTTAATATTAAATTATCATTGTCTAATTATAATTGCGTAAGTTGATAATAAATGCTATGCAATAGCTTTACCGCGGCAGGTCCCGAGTGTTTTTTATGAAATGTTATAAATTTCAAATTTTACGACAATTTATGTAATGATGCGTCAATTAAGTTTTGTGTTCATGACAACTCTGTTAAAATAACGTTTTGACGTTGTTATAGTGTTGGTTGGCCTTGAGGTCTGCTGGTCTACCAATATAAGCATATTATACATATTGGTTTTAAATATTACTTTGCCCTAATATTGTAACATAGTGTTAATTTTCGTTTGAAAACTGTAATATTTGGAGTTTTATCTAAATCAGGTAACCAATATGTGTGTTGTGTGTTGATGCTAATAATATGTAAATAATAATTTTATTGTTATTAAGAGCCTTTTTAGTGGCATATTGAAATAAATAAAAATCTTTGCAGATAATTAAATTGATTTTAATCAAAACCCAACACCCAGTCTCCCGCAACTACTGGAGCAAGTGTCGTCTTCATCTTGATGTTTGATTTCTGAGTCATCTGAGTCTTCTTCGTTAAGTCTAACTTGCGAGTTATTCTCTAACGAATACTTATCTAGTACTGTTTGAAGTTTTTCATTATTCTTCTCAACATTACGTTCAGTTTTATTAGTACAGCAATTTGTAGCATTACATTCTTTTTGTTTGAAACCATTTGATATGCTTTTACAAGTTTTACTTGTTTTCTTATTAGTAATATTACAGTCTTCTAAATCTTTGACTATTGTTTCTAAATTATTCTGCCTGGTGTTGTATTCGTCAAGTAATTTCTTCACTTTAGAACTTTTACCGATTCCAAGTTTCGGTAACCCTTTATTTAAGCCTTCAAGCAAAACACATGCTTTGCACACTTCCTGTGACGACACAAAGTTGCATCTTATGCATAACCTCTGGGTTGGGAGTGACACTTCTTCTTTTATGGACATTGTCTCGCCTGTAATGCAAATCAAGTTTTTTACTATAGATAATCCTACCTTTTAATTTGAATAAAATAACTGTGTAGCAGTGCTCTTCCCTGCCATATAAACTATATAGCGAAATTGTCAAAATAATACTTGTTCGTGACTAATGAGAAAAGTTTCTAGTGTGTATGTATATGTTTTATCTTTTACTCGCCTGAATAAATAATATCCATTATGCATGACGGTCTTATCTTTTCCATATCCTTGAGCAAGGCGCGTGCATGTCCTCTGTAAGCATTCGGTGCGAAGACACACTCTGTAGAGAAATATACTAATTTCTTGTAATGTGCGTACATTACTATTTCCTTCTCATATGTATATTTAAGAGGTTTTACTCTTGGTATTGTACCTTCGCTGCCCTAAAATAATATGCATATATTTAGAAACATTGTATTCCAGCCGTGAAACAGTCATGAGTTCAGGTGTCATTTTGTGCTTTCTATGTCTATGAAGTTTGGTCAATAGCAATAAAAACTTTTTATGAAAGTAAATAATCTTTCACAATATTGGAGTAACACTGAGTAATAATTATCAAACCTACATACATATACAATAACTAGTGCTAAGGAGTAATTATACAAAATAAGCAGGCTGAGAGCTTGTTCATCCGATGATATGATAAAAAGTATAACATGACAATCTTCAACTTCTGCATCAAATAGTATCTTATGAAAATCATACTCGCTATATTTATAAATCATTATTACTAAGCATGAGACGTGATATGCACATCCACAAAAGGATAGCACCCTTCTACCAACATTAAACAGATAGTTCACAGGAAAGTGACATTGTGCCTATTTTGGATGTAACCAACCTGCCAATTTCTACTGAGTTTGCACCTATTTGCATCAGTAGGTATATAAAACTGTTTTTTTTCCCTACCTAATTTACCGGTTGTGATGATGCTATTCCAGCGATGCCCGGACGGATAAATGAGCTCACAGGCTCAACCTGAGAAAATTTCTCAACGCTAGCCCCAGCAAGAGCAGTACTTTGCAGAACCTACTAAGAAACTTGATGGATCAGACGGTGGACGGTTACCACGCTTGAAGTACCTAAAAGCACTGAGAGTGGATCTGGGGGATGCGATAAGAAATGGGTGACGACAACTTAACATTGTCCTGTCAACTTTGGATAAGTATATAGCTGCATTATTTTTTATTACACTACAATTAATAATTTCGTTCAGTAGATAAGTAAAAGTAAAGGAAAATACCATGTGTGCCTTACAGTGCTTATAGCAGTACACCTCTTCAGTCTGGCTATGTCTCCTCTAAGAACATTCATGAGAACAGTCTCGGCAATATCATCTGCATTGTGACCGGTCGCTATACATTTCACATTTAACATCGCAGCACCTCGGTCTAGTGCTTGCCTTCTGAACACACCACAAAATGTACAATTATTTTTTCTTCCAATTTGTGCCACTATTTCATCCATTGTCCACCCATATAAATCCTTGTAGGAAAGTATTTTAAGCGGCATTTCATAATCATCTCTGTTTTGTTTCACTGTTTCAAGACTGTCGTCCCGATATCCTGTGATACCCTCATCGATGGAGAGTAACATCAGGTTTAAGCCATAGTTGTATCGTTCATTGAGGGTTTTGAGCATATGTGCGAGGACTGTAGAGTCTTTACCACCAGAAGCAGCAACTGCAACGGAGTCTCCTTTATTGAATAATTTGCCTTTTGTGATGGTGTAGTGAATTTCTGTTTCGAACGCCCAAAAAAAACATTCTTTACAAATTGCGTCTCCTGTTTTCGGCCTCTAAAATAAACATTTGAGTTGTTTAAGTTTTTAGTTACAATGTATTTTATCTATAAATAATTATTTTTTATGACATATTAAAAGTGCTTTTAGTGTTTCTTAACCTAAAACTTTATTATTACAACCTTCAGAACTGCATTATTTCCGCAACCCCTCTTACAAGGCACTGGCATTTTAGTGACTAATTATAATTATTTACACAACGTTTGATTTCGTTTTTTGATTAACAACACTTTTTTCACTAATAAAATACTTTATTTGTAAACGTATGAATGATTTCCTACCATAGATTATACACTTAATATACTTTACTATTAGTGGATTTTGTGTTTAATCTATACCGGTAAAATGGGGCGATTAGGGACAACTTCCAACTTTATGACCAATTTTAAGGTAGTTGTTGATGTATATAATGCTATATTAGGATCAAAATTATTGAGTCTTGGGGGCATCTTTGTTATCCAATTTAAAACTATGCAACTAGCATTCCAGTTTAAGCAAAAAAAGCAAAAATAGGTGTAATCCCTATTTACCCGGAAATTGCGGTTAATTGGGACGAAATGGGAAATTTGCTAGGGTTGGCACTACTTGGTTTTAATTTATTTATTTATTTAGTTGCACCAACAAAGTGATATATATAACTAAAACTTGATTACATTTATTTACTTATTATTAATTTATATTTACTTGGGAAATGATCCGCGACAGATTTGTCCTGTAAGTTGTGAGACAATTAAAAAAAACATCATCACTTAATATAAGTTCAGCGCAATCGGACAACTCCGAATGAACATTGACGGAGACCACGCTACCGTGGACATTATTGTAGTCCCAAAGGATTCTGTATATGGGAGAGTAAGCACCTAAATTCGAACGAGTGAGCTTTCTTATAAACGGTTTATATTTCTTCGTTCTTGGTAGGCTTCTTTTGCTGTTTTTAATATTAAGGGATCATATCTCTAATAAGGCTTTGCACTCTTTGATACGTAAACGCGAGGCATATCTAAAAATAGAAAACAATACGTAACTGATAATATAAATATTTACCAAACAATAAAATAACACATTGATAATTTTAAATAAAAGTTCTAGACAAAAACATCATGAATAAACCAGATTTTTACCAACAAATTTAAATAATATTGTTATAACTACATAGACAACCCTACAAACCTGTACCTATTTATACTTAGGTCGTTCCAATTTCACGTATTCCCATCCCAATTGACCCCTTTTTCGTTGTCATTTGTACCTAAGACGTCCCTAATATCCCCCAAAACATCAGATTTTTACATGTATTTTTATTTTATCAAATACATTAAAACCAATAACAACTGAGACGTACCTTTAATATATATGATGGTTCAAACACTAAATAACGTTTATAAATCACAGTCGTCTTCTATTATTATCAAATAAATAAAAGAGAGCAAAGTTTCTAGCACTAAAATAATTACCATCACAGGAAGTTAATTTGAAACGCGATTTTTTATAAGTTAGCAGCTATTATCATGCATATTCAGAGTTCTTTTGTGAACATTCAACATTCTACTATTAAACTACAAAAAATGGAAGATTTTGCAACGAATTTAAAACTAATATTGAGCGTTAAAAGATTTTCCCGGTTTTTTCCCGATTCGCCTCTCAATCCCTAATCGCCCCATTTTACGGTACCTGTTGTGTCTAATCTATAACTAGGGATTGAGATCTGAGATTGCTCTATTGAAAAATCGATTTATAATCGAACCAGTCAAGACGGTAGAAAAAGGAGATTTAAATTTTGCTGTTTCGGATGAAATGCAAGTTATTTAATTGTCACCTGTGAAGTAACAGTTTTCGAATTTTGAAATGTTTATAAAAATGCTTAAAACAGATGATTGTCTTCTCTTCAGTCATGATTAGTGCTTCTCATCTAGACACGGACAGTGAAACATCTTAGGGTTTTATAAAAATAAAATATTGTAATAGTGTTATTACACTGTGTGCAAAATGTTGGTAATATATGTTAACCATGAAGTCAGTGTTTTAAAATAACCCCTCTCCTCCAGAACCCAGTCCCCTCAAATAGGACCGTCTAATATTTAGTTTTATAAATTTAATCAATTACTTTTTGTTCTTAGTCGTTTGCACTCATGGAAGCATGGTCGCTTTATAGCTTAGATGGGTGGACGAGTTCACAGCCCACCTGGAGTTAAGTGGTTACTGGAGCTCATAGACATCTACAACGTAAATGCGCCACCCATCTTGAGATATAAGTTCTAAGGTCTCAGTATAGTTACAACGGCTACCTCACCCTTCAAACCGAAACGCATTACTGCTTCACGGTAGAAATAAGCAGGGCGGTGGTACCTACCCGTGCGGACTCACAAACTCACAAGAGGTCCTACCACCAGTAAAAATGATTTCTCGATAAACCCCTTTTCTTCGATCTTCCATCGATTTTCATCCCTAGTCTTCAAAAAGTAAACGTCAAGTAAAATAGAATAGATCAATAGACTGTCTCGTAAGTTCTTGGTTTCGTATTTTACTTAACGCTTTGTTTTTTTATTTATTAAAAGCCTTCTTCGAATTTGTATCACCGAATTTTTATTTTGGATTAGTTCATTGGTATGAATGTTAAACCAAAACCTGACGAATGTCTTCCAGAAATTTGTTGATGTGTCTGGTCGGATATTTGACGGCGAGCTCTNAGAATAGATCAATAGACTGTCTCGTAAGTTCTTGGTTTCGTATTTTACTTAACGCTTTGTTTTTTTATTTATTAAAAGCCTTCTTCGAATTTGTATCACCGAATTTTTATTTTGGATTAGTTCATTGGTATGAATGTTAAACCAAAACCTGACGAATGTCTTCCAGAAATTTGTTGATGTGTCTGGTCGGATATTTGACGGCGAGCTCTATGGTTGTGAATGTTGTTTGTATTTTGTGTGTTAAAATAAGTATTCCAGCACCATGCATGAACTCTTGAAGCACGTACTGACCGAAAGGGACCTTACGAGAGCTGGCGATATTTTTGCTATACCGGATTCTGAGATTGTTGACGATCTAAATGAAGTGGTGAGTGTTTGTTGTAAAAATCCTTAGAAAAAACTTGTCTTTGAGTTTAAAAATATTATTACACAGTGCTTAGTTGATTGCAGTGTAGTGTGCAGTTGATTTCTTAGTATTCTAGTTGAATACACAGTTTTCGAATGAGGGACTGGTTCTATAAGAGCATTCCTTAATGCTTTCTGAAGTTTTCCACTGTATTATAAATATCCATTATATTGATTCGCATTTCCTACTTTTACTAATACATATATTTTGAACATAAGCTTATATTTATTGTAAATAAATATCAGTTTACTAGTTTGATTATGCCACTATAAAACTTATTTCTTTTTATTGGTATACTGGTGTTTAGAAATACTTAGATTTTGTGTTTATTGAGTTGATGAAGTTATGTTTCAAAAGTAGAACAGCCATTATTAGAATGTAATTGAGGCTTAGACCTCCTGTGGCTTATGTTACCCATAGATTACCTTATACTCATAAAACTTGTTGGGTGCTATATGTATTAAATAAAAGTAATTTATAAAAATATAACAGATGAGCAGGCCCAGATCCCCATCCATTTGATTTGAAGTTGTTGTTAGAGTGCTTAAACTTCACAATATGAATACTAATAAAAATCTAAGCAATAAAAAAAAATCCTGTCCATATTTTGTCAGATATAAGTGATTGTACCGTTGTAGGCAGGCGAACATACGGCCCACCTCATGGTAAGTGGTTACCGTCGCTCATGGACGTCAGCAATGCCAGGGGCAGAGCCAAGCCGCTTACAATCATTAAGAGTTTCTCACTCATATATACTGAATCTTTAATTATTACCTGCTTTACATATTTACATACAATTTTAATAGACCGTTTTCTTTGTATTTTAATCTTGAAAGTACATTCTAGGTATGAAGTTGTTTAACATACAGTCTAAGACACTTACTTGAATGAATTGAATTTGCTTTTGGTACTGTGCAATAAGACCTAAAAACTTTGGTTTGTAACACAATATTTAAAAAAAATTGCAATTTTAATCTTAATATTCAGTAGATAGCTTTGAGAGAAAAAAAATCTATAACGGTGCCTTTATATATTATTATCTTTGTTTAAATCATTTTATCTTAAACTGTGCTTTGCTGATATTGAAGACTGATTGGTATGCAGTGATAAATATTTAAAGTACACAGATATTTATATGAAAATTGTGCAGTATTAAAATTAAATATATAAAAAATTCCAACTTCTGCAATATCTTAGACTTGTGAAACAAGTTTTTCTAGATAAAGGTTTTAAACACTCGAATGTCTAATCAGAGTCAATAACTTCTCTGTATAGTAAATCATAAACATCTTTCAAGGGAAACATGGAAATAAAGCAACGACTAAGCTAACGGAGCATAATATATGCAAGTTTCAAGCCACATAATCTGTTTATGCTAATTCTGAGTCCAGTTTGATCATTCAACGTCTTTATTATTCAAATCATTTGTATTATGCATGAATGTGTTTCTTAACCTTTCTATTAACATTTTCATTTTGGCATAGACACAACGATTTTTGTCCTGCAGTTTGAGGCTTTCATGTAATATTATGTAGTAAAATGAAATAAATTTATGTCTCAGTAATTGAAGGTAATACATTTAATTAGAATCTAAATATGTTTGTCAAGAAAGACAACCTCTTAGTAATTTTGTTAATCAAAAAGAGTTGCATTTAAAACACATGTTCATTCGACTTAAATAAATTGCATTATGTTTTTAATGTTACAGTTAAAACAAATAACAGAAGTCTCATCCCGACCTGATTACGTCCGCAACGACAGGGATCAGGCCCTCATAGAGATATGCGTGACGCGAGTTACGTCATGTATCAAGGAGACAGGAACATTGGACAAATACTGCGCAGCTCTAGTGGCACTATTGGAGTCATGCCTGCACCATAACTTGATGCCATTAGGGCATTTAAGAGATGATGATCCACCTCATGCAAAGATTGCTTCTGATGTCATTGCTTGCATTGTATTGGTAAATATGAATTTTAAGTAAAGTTTTAAATCTCTAGTAAAAGGCTTTAAATCTCATGCACATATGTATGCTATGCATGTGCAACATTCAGATAAAATCATTAGTAAGACTACAATGTCATGAATGCTACAATCTTTCGATCTCCATGGTGACCTGAAGCTTGACTCAGTCAGTAAGTCAGTCAGTAATCTACAGTCGGCATCATTGCGCCACTTTGAGAAGGCGGCATGACATGAGAACCCTTTTGTCTTGGCCGCTGGAAATTACATACCCGATCCTGTAGACCGAATGGTAAATAGTCGACGTCGCCCAAAACACGTCATTACGGAGCCTCCCGATCCATTAATGATGCTTTTAGGTACCACAAGCACTGATCACCGTCCTCGTCGAACCCATCGCTTGCGACGAAGGGCTCGACGAGCGAATTAACCCCAACACAGCCCACTGAGTTTCTCGCCGAGGATCTTCTCAGTGGGTCGCGTTTCCGATCCGGTGGTAGATTCTGCGAAGCACTGCTCTTGCTAGGGCCAGTGTTAACATCACTCCGGATTGAGCCCCGTGAGCTCACCTACATGTTACGGCGAAGCTGAAATAGCCTCTGAAAGCTATCAGCATAGGTAGAAGGGAAAAACAATCTATAAATATATAAAAGAGAATGTATGATTGTGTACGCAGTGTCACCTATTATCTTACGTAATTAGCTTTTAGGGCTATTTTGCTAGCTAAGCCGTTAGCCCATCTGATTCTAGTCTCTATATATAAAAATGAATCGCTGTTCGTTAGTCTCGCTAAAACTCGAGAACGGCTGGACCGATTTGGCTAATTTTGGTCTTGAATTATTTGTGAATGTCCAGAGAAGGTTTAAAAGGTAGATAAGTATGAAAATGCTCGGTATTAAATAAAAATAACAATTTTGTTTTTCCTTTGATGTGTCCCCCTTTTGTTTGTTTTAAGTTTATTTTATACAAAACTTTACGTCTTTTGATTTATCGATTGAGGCACTACGAAGTCTGCCGGGTCAGCTAGTTCATAATAAATATTCTGAATGTTATTTGTTTGATTTTCGAATGTCGTAGAGATGTCCTTATTAAATTTAGTTTTCTATTTATCATTGAACATCTGATTTTGATGAGAGCAACAAATTTAAAAAGTAATGTTTTCAGGTATCGTTTCCACTTCAATCGGACACGGAAAACTATGGCAACAAGAATGTAATGGAGCTATTCCTCCCCGTCGCAGTACAGTTCCTGCATAAAGGCAATCGGGAGATATCCAGGCACATGGCTCGATATCTGTCATTAGCCGCTGTACATCATGCAGTGCTACTCAAGCCTCACGTTCAAACGATTATGGACTCTATAATGTCCGGTAAGAGAAATCTTAACTGCACAAGGCTGCATTCTATGTTGTTTTCATTCATTTTCATAATACATTTTTCAGCTATGATGTCAAAATAGACAATGTTATTATTATCAAGGACTAAAACTTGAATGAAAGCACATGTAACTGAATTGAAATAAGACTAATAATATTAATTCAATTGTTTTGATATTTAGTATGTACGATAAATAATAAAAAATAGTGGTTGCTGTATATTTACTGGTGGTAGGACCTCTTATGAGTTCGCACGGATAGGTACCATCGCCCTGCCTATTTCTGCCGTCAAGCAGTAATGCGTTTCAGTTGGAAGGGTGGAGCAGCCGTTGTAGCTATACTGAGATCTTAGAACTCATATCTCAAGGTGGGTGGCGCATTTACGTTGTAGATGTTTATAGGCTCCAGTAATCACTTAACAAAAGGTGGACTGTGAGCTCGTCCACCCATCTAAGCCATCCATTTGTTAGACAGCGGCTTGGCTCTGCCCCTGGCATTGCTGAAGTCCATGGGCGACGGTAACCACTCACTATCAGGTGGGCCGTATGCTCGTCTGCCTACAAGGGCAATAAAAAACAAAGCAATAAAAAAAAAACTCACTAAAATGATGATTAATTCGTCTAGGTAACTATCCTCTGTGCCGAATACTAACGAATCTATACGAAGTATCCCCCGAGCCGCTGGAGGGTCACGCGACCGCCCTGGTGTCGCTGCTGCCCCACGCGGAACAAGTCGAGAAGAACTCGCTGTTCGCGCTGTTCGAGCTGATCGCCGCGCGCAAGCCCGACGCCCTGCGGACCTGCGTGCCCCAGCTGCTGTCCTACCTGTGCCCCAGCACCGCCCGCCCCGACGAGCCCGGCTGCATGTGTGTGGACATCGTGCAGGCAAGCACTGTGCACTACTACCGACACGGGACACTCGGTGTCTCCACGTCCTCAACTACCTCAACTACATAGTATAATTAAAACTATTTTAACGGTTCATTGTGCTAATTACTTTTTTCTCCTACCTATGCCGAAAGTTCGGTTTTCGTCCCGCTGTACAGGGAAGAAAGTGTAACTTTTCTCCCTGGGTACAAGTGCGCATGCGCGTTAGTGTCTACGTCTGCTCTCACGCACCTAAAATTTTCCGCCATTGTAGTACTCGGGTAATTTTCAATATTGTGTTTAGTGTAAAAGTGAAATAAACAAAAGGCAATAAAATTTAATAGTGAAGTATTAAACAAATATGAGTTCATCAGACAGTTCTTATTTAATTAGTAGTAGTTTATTTAAAAATTAAAAAACAGTTAAATTGTTTTTTTTATGAGTACGGGGGGCACCGCCCCCCCCCCCCCCCTACCCCCGCCAGGGTTTCGCCCTTGGACCCCGGCTCGGTACTCCAAGAACTTTCAGCCTGGTAGGAGAAAAAATAGTATGTGCACCGCGGGAAAAAAGTTGGACATTTCTTCCCACGTGTAAAATTGCCACCTGAGCCGAAGGCAATTTTACACATAGGAGGAAATGTCCAACTTTTCTCCCTTGGTGCACAATGCACTATTTTCATTTTCGACACTACGAATGCTCCATAATTCTCTTTAAAGAATTCTAATTGTCCATAAATTATTTTATGGAAAATTTGCGGGTAGTTGGTAAAGTATTCACGAATCGACTTATACATAAATATATCGCTTAACATTTAAGATTTGTCGTCTGTGATCACGAAAAACTAATAGCCCAAGAGCCCGCGACAGCCAGACCTTCGTTATTTTATAAAAGCTGAAAGTTTCTCTGTGTATGTCTCCAACACAGGTAAGTACGACCCGTGATTATAGAGTTTCGATTGTGGTTCCTTGGGCAGGTAACAGGCAGTAAAGGTATATAAAATAGTACCTTAAATTCGTTACAGTATAAAGTTATTTTTTTTTATTATTTACTCCAGAATACCTTTAGAAATCACAATATCCGATTGCCGACTTTTTCCAGTTGCTACCCCCTGTAAACCCTACAAAAATAAAAATAAAAAACCCCCAATAAACCACTAATTTGAGTGTCTCACTTGCATTACGATGCCGCTCTAGAAGTTAAATGACGTTGCATGAGAGATCATCTCATAGCGAGAATGCTAAATTATTAATAACTATAGTTCAAGTTCGTAGATTTTTAGTTTTTTATTTACATCTAAACTTCGCGTTTTAATATTTTAATAACCACTCATTCACAAATTTTAACATGTGACGTCACAAAACTATTGACCCCCCTGCCCCTTGTCACACTATGTCACATTTCGGTGACACCCCCCATCCCCGTCAACGTGTGACGTAATTTATGGATGACCCCTAATGAGGAATTCGAAACTGCTGGAATAATAATATTAATGAAAAATTTAACCTTAAAATAGTTTTAATTATGTCGCTACCTGTGGAAACTGTAAAAAATATTATCCTTTAGTAAACTGTCCACCCGAGTACACGAGGCCACCGTGTCGGTCCGCAGGTGATGGCGTGCGTGAGCCGCAGCCGCGCGTCGCTGCTGAGCGAGCAGGGGCCCGCCCTGGCGCGCGCCGCCGCCCCCCCGCACGCCCCGCCCCGCCTCGTCGCGCTCGTCGCCGCGCTGCTCACGCGCATCGGCTACACGCACCGGGTACGTACCGTGCTGCCGCCTCATAAAATGACCTATGAATGAATGAATGAATGAATGAAAATTCTTTATTGCACAAAGTAGTGTACAAAGGCGAACTTAACGCCATGCAGTCATTCTCTTCCAGTTAACCTTCGTTGATGAAGTGAAAGATTCAAGAAGTGCGTAGCTGTGATGAAGTTAATACATGGCGATAATTTAAAGAATTACACCTATCATCAGATAATAACGATTTATTTTAAGAGCAGCAGGAAATGTGGATTTTCTATAATTTGTGTCAACAGATCCGTAAATTCAAAGTCGCTCAGCGTGCTATGGAAAGGTGTATGCTGGGAGTTTCTTTGATGGATCGAGTCAAAAATGAGGAAATCCGTCAAAGAACCAAAGTAACCGACATAGCCCCAAAGATTAGCAAGCTGAAATGGCAATGGGCCGGACATACGTGTCCCAGAACCGATGGCCGATGGAGCAGACGTGTTCTGGACTGGAGACCGCGTATCGGTAAGCGCAGCGTTGGGCGTCCCCCTGGCCGTTGGACCGATGACTTGCGGCGATATGCTGGGAAAGGTTGGATGCGGAAGGCGGAGGATCGTTCATTGTGGCGGACTATGGGAGAGGCCTACATCCAGCAGTGGAGAGACACAGGCTGATGATGATGATGTGTCAACAGGAGCGAGCTCAAGAAGCCCTGAACTTCATACTGGAGAAGCTGTCGACTGCGGACCGCGCGCAGCAGGCGGTGCTCATGAGGGAGGCCACGTCGCTCTGCAGCGCATTCCCCGCTCTGTTCACCGACAAACTGCTCACCGCCGTCAGGGCCAATAATACGTGAGTTTCAACTTTATTCAATTTTTTACGACTTTTTTTTTTGTAGTACATATTGATTTTGAAATTTGTCTATTAATTTATAGCCTCTAAAGAATGAAATGTCTTTTGAATTTCAAAAAATAAATAATTTTGGTCCCATGTGTACTTATGGAATCAAAAGTTCTTATTTTATGTATGTACCATACTGACCATATTTGTTGTTTAAAGACTATAGACTCGTATGGAGTTTGTTCTTGTAGTTTTTTATTTATTGCCCTTGTAGGCAGACGAGCATACGGCCCACCTGATAGTGAGTGGTTACCGTCGCCCATTGACCTCAGCAATGCCAAGGGCAGAGCCGCTTAATACTCTCCACAAGCCTCGTTTGAAGAAGGACATGTCATAGCGCTCGGGAAACACTGTGGAGGGGAGCTCATTCCATAGCCGGATGGTACGTGGCAAAAAAGACCTCTGGAAACGCACTGTCGATGAACGCAGCGGCTCCAGATAATATGGATGAACTCTGCTCCGATGGCGGGAGGTGCGATGATAAAAAGGAGATGAGGGGATCATCTCAAACAATTCCTCAGGGCACTCCTCTAAGACTGACTAAGATGACTAAACGAGTTAATCGCTGGTCGGTATTAAGTAATGGAAGACGGTAGACACATAATCGTGTAAATGCCACCGCCCGATCTGGGTTGTGAGGTCAAGGTTTCAGTTGTATCTTAATTATGGCTATAGTAGTAACATGAAATAATAAGGATGGCCATATCAACAATGAATTTATTTTAACACGAAACATTTTGATACAGCACTCGTCCTAAATCAGCGATATCTCACAGTGAAGTCAACCGTACATCAGGCGGCGTTACCATCGTCAAGCTGGGGGGACCGCAGAGTGCCCCCGCGCCGCCCCCCCCGGTGACCCCCGCGCCCCCCGTCGCCCCCCCGGCGCCCCCCGCGGCCGGGTACACGCGGCGCGCCAAGCTCGGGGACTCGCGCAGTACTGGACGACTGCACCCAGGACCTAACTCACATCGAAGCATGACCAGGCTGAATGTAGCGGGTATAAATTACTACACTATAAAAATTGTTAACTAACTTCTTCTTTTCTGGTCTATTTAAATTCCTCCACTTTGCCTAGGCTTCGGCATCCTTTGGGTGAGATTATTCTCCTCCATATCCGCTTTTACCACATCCAATCTGCGTTTCTTGGGTTTACCGCAGGATCCTAGTAATTTGATCTATGTAACTACGAGAAAAAGGCTCTCTTCCATCTGCCGGGAACGTGTTATGAGCTTCTTCGGACACATCATGCGGTCTCCCAGACATGAATTAGACAAGCTCATAATTGCGGGCCGCATAGAGAAAAAGCGCGCCGTGGGCAGAACACCAGCCAGATGGTCAGATCTAGTAAAAAAAGCACTTGGTGGTAGTCTGTACCATGCGGTCCATGCCACCCATGATCAAACACAGTGGAAGAACATCACATGTGGTCGCGATCCTCAGTAGTGAGGGACGTGGTCGGCTCTTGCTAGGATTCGTGTTAGCAACGTCGTCAGGTTTGAGCCCCGTGAGCTCACTTACTAGTTAAGGTTACTAGGTAGGAAAAAAATATATGGGGGAACGATATAGAAGAAGAAGTACGAGAAAAATATCAAATGTGTCAGTAGGCATTTTCTTATTGCCCTTGTATGCAGACGTGCATACGGTCAACTGGTGAGTGGTCATTGCCCCATATAAACATCAGCAAAGTAAAAGGTATAGCCTACCGCTGAGTACTCTACGCAAGTCTCGTTTGAAGAAGGACATGTAATAGCGCTCGGGAAACACCGTGGAGGGGAGCTCATTCCAAAGCCGGATGGTACGTGACAGAAAAAAATCTTTAGAAACACACCAGATCAACACAGTGGTTCTAAGTAGTATGGATGAACAGTCCTCTGGTGCGGGAGGGCGATAGTAAAACAGTGACATGTTATTATTTATTTAATTTTGAAAAACACTTTATCATAAGAATATACTTTATCTATTAAATTAGGGCTGTCTATGTAAGAGAATTAAATGATAAAAAGAGCACGAACGCGATGGGCCAAATCACGCTATCGTTTTTATATAATTCTATTATATATTGAAAACTTCTTAACAAATTTATTTTATGCTTTAAAATTGTGCCGGCCGCACATTCTTGAGTCGCAGGCCTTAGGTCGGACAGCCCTATATCAGTGGGTTCCATTACAGGCGGCTCGGTCGGAGGACTCCACAAGAGCATGACCCGGTTGTCGTCGTCGCAGCAGATCAACTTGCAGCAGCAGAACAGCGCCAGCAGCACCGGTGAGGACATCTCAATAAATTTTAATACTCTATACTAGGCCCTAGGATGGATGGCGAGGATGAATACACACAACTTTATTTTCTCAGAATCGTAAATTTGAAAGCTAAATTGGTTAATTAGAAATTTCTGATAATATTTTATTTAAATTGTTTATAAAAATTTATAGTCTAAAAATGAAGACAACGATAAAATTGGATAACAAATATATATGAATATATAAGGTTTTTTTTTTTAAAGTTCAATGTTAACTTTATGAAAAATACTGTAGTTCAAAAGTTCATCAAGCAGTCTTAATACCTATGTTACACTGATGAACAAAAATATATTAAAACTAACCCTTGTTCACATCAAGCAAACTGTCACCTGTTGTCACTCGAGAAATTTTGTGTGACAGCCGGTGTGGTGTAGGGCGGTGCAACATAATCCCTAAAACTACGTTTTGCTTCACACAGTCACGACGAATGGCAAGCCCGGTGTCTGCACGTCCAGCGTTGCGGCCAACAAGACTGCCAACACTCCCAGACAACACCACCATCACAATATCGTTATCGGAGCTCCACCTAACACGGTGAGTCACTCAACATGAATGAAAACAAAAAAAAAAGCTAGACAGAGAACGCTTTATTAATACTTTTCTAAGTCTGTTTATAGGAAAGCAATAGAACACTCCTTTTCTATATAGACCAAAAAGTTGTTGAATGTACAAAACAATTAAACAATATTCATCCAGGCTCACAAATATTAATTTTACAAATTCGGCAGAGCGCACATTGTATCTTTTATTTTTAGTTAAATTCCTGTTATGTTAGTAAATATTTATTTATTTATTTGTTCTGAATTTTCATTGTCTATGGTTTCGACTTTTTGCAAAGAATGCTTTTTTTTTTTATATGTACTTCATTCTCTTTGCCATTAGATTGTAGAAATCAAAAAAATATGAATAGTTCTATGATAACTTTTTTTTATATTTCAGACAAACGGTCCAACGATCATCACTAATCCACCGCACCAACCGCAATCGATATCGGTAAACCCGCTCACCGGAAAATCTTCCGACGCTCTCACTCCCTCCGTATCGATCCAGCACTCGAACAATGCACTGGGCCACGTTTCCATCATCACCTCCACGGCCAATTCCCCGCCGTGCTCCAACCCTAATTCTATATCGATAACCGGACCGGTGACCGTGACGTCACGCCGCGCGAACAACACTAGTGTGACCATGATCAACGGAGCGAACAACACGGACAATTCAAACCACAGGATCAGCGTATTTGAGCCGTACCCGATGCGCGACACCGTCCAGCACTTCTGCGAGAAGCATTTGGACAAGATCAAAGCTTACATGGATAATGTTTCGCTGAGGCTGCCGCCGCCCGCCAAGTGTACTATCGAAGGTGACTTGATTCATTGTATAATGTTCATTGGCTCTACTGGCCGGTTCGACCATTGTCTCTCAGTGGAGAGGGCGTAACATATTGTGAGTGCGCATGCGTGGGTACCGTCATCCTGTCTATTTCTGCCGCGAAGCAGCATACCAGTTTGGATGGGTAGGGATAGCGGTTGCAGTAGTCGCAGCAGGGTTTGGGTGAGTTGCTAATGCTGGGCGTGGTGTGGCTGCGCGCAGAGCGGCGCTCGAAGAAGCACGCGCGGCTGTCGTTCGCGTGCGGCGGGCGCGGCGCGCACTGCCTGTTCTCTGCGGCGCCGTTCTGCGTGCGCACCCGCGCGCCCCGCGTGTGGGTGCACCTCATGTTCCTGGCGCTGCAGGCCCGCCACGCCGCGGCGCTGTCCTCGCGCGACCCCACGCTGGCCAGCCTCAAGCACTGCTGGGACATCCTCAAGTGCGAGAACAAGACCTTCCTCACGCTGGTCACGGGCGCCTTCCCGCCGCTCAAGGACCAGGACTTGTTGGTGGACGAGCTGCGGGCCGCCGGCTTCTTCGATGTGTTCGAGCGGGACTCCCGCGGCGCCTGGGGCTGCTTCCTGTGCACGCGGCCCGAGCGCGCGCTGCCCTTCCTGTCGCCCTGCGCCGCGCCCGTCATCGAGGGCACGCTCAAGGAGAAGAAGGGCCGCTGGAGGATCTTCCGTCGCTGGCGCACCAGGTACTTCACGCTCTCCGGCGCCCACCTCTCCTGCAAGGGATCTGTGAGTATGATGTGTTTGCTTTCTTGAAATTCTTAGAATAAGACTCCAGTCGTCTTTGTTGTGGAAAGCTAGCTAGAGCGTTGTAGTGGAGGTATCGTCGCGGCTGTGCCCGTGAGCGACGATGACCACCTACCCACGCGTACTCTTCGGCCCGTTAATTTACAAAATCCCTCGTCCGCAGAGCGGCGGCGAAAGTATCGACATCAATCAGATCCGGTCCGTGAAGGTGTCGCGCGGCGCCCGCAACATCCCGAAGGCGTTCGAGATATTCACCGGGGACCAGACGCTGATACTGAAGCCGAAGGACGGCAAGAACGCCGAGGAGTGGGTGCAGTGCCTCAGCATCGCGCTGGCGCACTCGCACGCGCGCGACGCGCCCGCCAAGGCCAACAGCCTGCCCGCCAGGGGCGTCACGCTCAAGAGCTTCTAAACGACGCACGCGCACCCGCAACCGGACCCGCACCAGCGCCCGCGCCCGCAGTACACACACTAACAGACTGACAAAAGTAATCAACGTTGTATATATAATAAAAATCAGACTTTATAAGTGCTAACACAAGAAACTGGAAGTCATAATGGCGTTTATTGCGTACAAAGCTCTACACAAAGCTCTACAGCTGGTTCGCTAAATAAAATTAACCGTTAAAATAATCACAGTTGCGGCCCAGTGGCTCTCGTCGCCTCGACGTAACTAACTCTGTGTTCAATCGTACTTAATTACATATTTTTCAAAGACTGTAGAATAAACTCGATTTCACCGGAAGAGATTGTTTAAGCAAATGAAAGTTTTTATTTAGTTATTCTTAGTTTAATTATTCGGTTGTGTATATATTGACCGCGTATTGCGATTTATCAATTTAACGTTTTGTAGAATAAGATAATGTACTTAATTTTTGTGTATACATACTTACATTTGTCTGTCAATTTGTCCGTCCCTAACATTAAACGAACATTATCATTTTAAAGTTACATATTTCTAGTTTTACGAAATTTAATGTATATATTATGTAATAACATTATGAATGCCATTCCCACCCTTCAATCGATTTATATTGAAAAGCTGACGTCACGTTTGTGAAAACAAAAATCAATATATTTTATCCGATGAAATATGTGAAAAAATATGTAAAGAAAAAATATTTACTAATTATAATTATATAAGCATATTTAAGAATGCTTTTTTTGCCTTTGAAGACAAACGATACGTCTCGCCTGATGATTTGCTTATCATCACTGTTGTTCATGGACAGCAGCACTATCAAGTAGCGGTCTACCGTTGAGGACTCTCCGCAAACCTCATTGAATGTTTTATAAAACAATAAGCCTCGATAAGAAAGGTAATTTGAATTTTCTTTCAATAGCAAGAAAACACATTATACAATATAGTTGGAACAACCTCTCCTGACCGAGTCCTTGTGAGCACCCGTCCTAGTCTTTGACTAGCCCAGCCGTAAATACCTAGGAATAGCCGCGATCCGTCCATTCCAAAAAAAAAAAAAAACTTATGGAAAAAATACCGTTTAATAATATCAATATAACATAATAATTTTTACATTAATATGAATGGTATGTACATATGAAGAGACAAAATGATAATGAGATTGATTGAGTTTTAATTATGAATGTGGCTTTAGAGGAAGAGGTAGACCTAAGAAGAAATAGATGGATTGCGTGAAATATGATATGTGTAAAAGAGGAGTGAACGAAGAAATGGTATATGATATCAAATCAAATCAAATGCACCCGACACCGATTTTGTAACAAGTTCTATTCTATGTCTAGATAGGATAAAGCGGTAGATAGTTTAAAACTCCTCCTGTTGGACTCCTCGGTAGTACAGTGGTGAGTAAGCTCGCCTGTCACTAGCTCAAGTGTAATGTATCGATGTATTTGTAGTGAGATTTAGTTTACATGTAGCCAATATGGCGCGGGTGTGCGAGAGAGACAGCGATATGTACCCACATCCTGTCTAAAACGTTAATCGCTTTGTCATCTTAGTAATTACGAAGTCGGCTCTACAGGTTTCATTTTGAACGGTAATTCCTTATGTATATGAAATAATTTACAATATATTTAAACAGGAAATTTTAAGGTCCGTATTGACTAATGAAGTTTCTCGTCCCGATATAAACGACAGTAAATTGCATGTCAGAACGTTTGTTCCCATTGCGCGTCCGACATAAATCATACAAAGATATTTAAATTTACAAATGAATTATTATTATTATTATTCGAATATTGTTGTTTTTCGTCGTTTTTATAGATTTTTGTGATGTTTTTACAAATATTTTATTGTTTTTTTTTAAATATAATAATTATAAGAGTGTATGTGATAAGTGTTTTATTGAGTACAATGAAAGTAAATATATAAATAATGTTATTAGTCATGTTTAAAGTTTGTACTTAAAGAAAATTATTATTAAGTGATATTGTGAATATTTATATCCGTCCTTGATAGTGTTGCCAAAATTTATAAAATATACTTATGTTTAGAAAATTTATAGTCCGGTTATAACTACGTTTTATAATTGGCAACACAATATAAAGACAAATGTATAGTATAGTTTTAATCTGAGAACCTGATTTATTGATGATTTTATGAAATTAAAAATCAAGAAGTTATTGTATGGTAGTCCATATGTGACACAGCATTTTATAGTAGTCATTTTAATTATTAGTTAAACATGCATACGCAAACAGAGTTATTAACAGAGGCCCTTTATAAGAAGAAATGTTACATAAAGTTATTTGGTAGAGCTAAAACGTTCATTAACAATCCGATAACGTTTAGACAACGCCATTATAGCGTTCGACATTGTCGTGCAACGTTTTAATTAATATCGACTCTAATGCATTCATCAAAGGTTCCATTATGCATTAAACTCGATGTATTCCACAGCATTTCGTTATTGAATAGACGTGATTAAATAATAAGTATGTGTTGCCATTTCCAAAAATGCTTTTTTTTATCGAGCGATTATTCCACGGAATTTTAAGGGGCAGATATATTAATGCACAACAGATTAAACAGATATATCGATAGGTGAAAGCTTATTTGTTTTAAACGACATTTTTGCAAATTTACAGGAGAACTATTTAAAGTTTTGAAGTCGTCGTGGCCTAAAGGATAAAACGTCCGGTGCATTCGTATGTAGCGATGCACCGGTGTTCGAATCCCGCAGGCGGGTACCAATTTTTCTAATGAGATACGTACTCAACAAATGTTCACGATTGACTTCCACGGTGAAGGAATAACATCGTGTAATAAAAACCATACCCGCAAAATTATAATTTGCGTAATCACTGGTGGTAGGACCTCTTATGAGTCCGCACGAGTAGGTACCACCACCCTGCCTATTTTCCGCCGTGAAGCAGTAATGCGTTTCGGTTCGAAGGGTGGGGTAGCCCTTGTAACTATACTGAGACCTTAGAACTTAAATCTCAAGGTGGGTGGCGCATTTACGTTGTAGATGTCTATGGGCTCCAGTAACCACTTAACACCAGGTGGGCTGTGAGCTCGTCCATCCACCTAAGCAATAATAAAAAAAAGTTTAAAATTTAGAAAAAATATCATAATAAAAAAACTTCTTCAGCTATTTGAATCGAGTAAACTTAACTGAAGTTCAATTTAAAAAATCGAACTGTTGATGCTAAATCCAAATAAAACGCACCTTTAATTACAAAGATAAATGTATTAAGCGGAATGGTGCTTAAACCAAATAGCATTTCACCCTTCGATATTATAATTAAATCAAAATAATCGCACTAAATATAAAAGAGGCGATTTGATCATTTTTGTAACCAGTTGATATTCGAAAATTATTGTATTTCGCATCGGTCTTTGATGCGTGTGCAAATTTTCAAGTCAATGACGTCTTAATTATGTTCAAAGAATCTGTTACATACAAATAAACATAGGAGTGTACCAAGCTAATGAAAATGGTTTTAATATTGTTGCTTCGAAAACAATTGTGATTATAATCGGAAAGCTCTTTTTGTAGCTTTCGCATGTTGCTTTATTATCGTATTAACAAGTAAAGTTTTCTTGTTACGAAGGAGTAGCGGTTAAATTCCAAGTTACTAACCATGAAATGAGTCGTCTATTATCAAAGGTGGCAATCTGTGCATTTGGACAAAAAAAAATTATTGATATTTCAATACAGATTGATTTGAATATAATCGTCTCCTTCAAAGAATACGGTTCAAAACCTGCATTAAATAAAGGTTAATACTTAACCTGTTATTTATCTAAGATGTCGTTCAGAAGAGTTTTGTGACTGCCAATGGAANTTTGAATATAATCGTCTCCTTCAAAGAATACGGTTCAAAACCTGCATTAAATAAAGGTTAATACTTAACCTGTTATTTATCTAAGATGTCGTTCAGAAGAGTTTTGTGACTGCCAATGGAATACAAAGTCAATAATTCGTTTTTCTGATTTACCAATAATTATCCAAAAGTCACATTGCCGGCTTTGATAATAGTCGACTCAAATGTAATATAAACTTTTTAATATTTAATTGCCGAGTCGAGTTTTTTCGAAATGTTTTTATTTTTCATGTTCGCATGATTATTTTGATCAGAGCAAATTGAGCACTAATCGGCACTCACCAGTGTGTTGTGTTTATGCATATGCATGTGTAGATTTTATGTACTAGCTCCTTGAGACTAAAGTTGTGATTTAGAAAATGCACATTCCCTTTTTTATATTATTTTTATTGGTCGCGCTCAAAATGTCAAAAATTACATACAAACTTCAACTTTGAACGAAATCGCGAATGTTATATGTTAAAAATATGAGACGCGATTGAAATATGACTCTCTCATTTATGATAGGACATGACCTATATTTTATTATGTTTACGTACGAGTATATAGTAATCATATCTAATAATTGGTTATTTAACTATGCCAAGTAGTTTGAGTTACAGCGTATTATAATAATGTTTTTAATTACGTCCGATGCAACGGCCTAAGTGTTAATGAGTGCTCAAACTGAACGGTTAGCAGAGTATTAGGTATTTAATGCTGATGTAAACACTTCAACGGTCTGCAAATAATGACGTGAACATTATTAGAATTGTATGTATTGTAATATAGTTTCTTCACACAAAGGGAATATATGACATAATTAAATCAAATTCAAATTCTATTGTTATTGTCTGGCGACTTGTACTTATTGACATTCTCGGAATGTTTGTGAACTCGATTTAATATTTAGTTTTGTATCTGATCTACAGACTATTTGCTGTGGAGGGTAGAAGGAAAACCATAAGGTAAGATGGCGCCACTATAGCAAAATGTTAATTTATATATTTATTGTTTTAATCTATTTAGTAATTAAGGTTTTTCGGGTAATGTTAATTTTGCGGTGACGTCATTATTACAGTCGATACGATTTGTTCACTCGGCATACTTCACCGTCAATAATGCGTAGTTCACATAATACCGTGATGGGTGGAGTGAAGCTATCCTAGTCGATCATTGGATTGCGGCCTGATGCTCGAGATCTCCTTAGTGCCTTTTCGGTTTGAGCCCCCCCTCCACACAATCCTTTTCTACACCTCCACACCACAATACTCCTACCCTCCACAGTCTTCTCAAGACATCTTGTTAAAATGTCTAAATTTTGATGTACCTACGTTTAATTCAAATCTATTATATTTAATATTTCGTATCCAAAACCACCGACACCCAATGCGAATATATTATTATTAATTAGGACATATTTTAAAAGAAATGAATGTTTCGTATTTGAACAATCAAATTTAATTGTACTTAATAATGTATTTTAATTGGCTCTTGAAATTATATGTATATTTAAACTATCTGTTTATATATTAGAGAATTATCAAAAGAAAATTGTATTTTTTTTAATTGTCTGATNTCCAAAACCACCGACACCCAATGCGAATATATTATTATTAATTAGGACATATTTTAAAAGAAATGAATGTTTCGTATTTGAACAATCAAATTTAATTGTACTTAATAATGTATTTTAATTGGCTCTTGAAATTATATGTATATTTAAACTATCTGTTTATATATTAGAGAATTATCAAAAGAAAATTGTATTTTTTTTAATTGTCTGATCCAGCGTTATAAATACATAGTGTGCGTTCTTAGAAAACTGGCATTCGATAAGGTTAATAATGCTTCTAACCAGTTTTACATTAAATGTACCAGGGTTTATTTAGTGATCGAAATTCGACCATAGTCGCTAACGCTATAAGATTTACATTCATTTTATGTTTTGCTTTCTTTTTGATATTAAAAAAATGACACAATTTTTTATTGAAAAACTGTAGCTCGCCAATATCTCCTTACATAAAAAATCGATTGTCAAACAAATAAGGTACTGACTTTACCTATTTAAATATTCACACTATCGTCAAATGTCTTCAGCGTCTCACTTTAGGTTAATTAGAGCTATTCCGTTAAGATTAGAGGGAAAGGTGACTATGATAAATAAAAAATCAAAATCAAAATCTATAACGTTTCAAGCGCCAATCTATTTCCTTAGTTCTTCATTGTGTCAGTGTAATTTTATTCATATCACCGTGTTTTTGTATACAGGATGTGTTTCGATTGCGCCAGTCCAAATACACCCTGTATAACAGTTTTCTATTAATGTTGTAGATGTACTGTAAATTTTTTGAAAATTTTGTACAGTAATCGTTTTTGACGATTTACATAAAACTATATAAAATGTTATGTTTTTATAAGTTTATCAACGTGTATTTATTACGAAATTGGTGCTAATTTTATTGTAGAATATTATTTAGTACTGACAGTAAAGTAAATCTTACTTTTTTATTGACCTTTATAACTGGACAAATGCTGTTATGCGGTTAAAAAGTCAGCAGATCTCTATTTCAATATAATGTCGACTGTCCCGCCCCTCCCGTCAAAACATATTTGACTGTAAGAAATAAATTGCAAATGAAGAGAGCATCAATGTACATCAATCCCCCTATCTACACTGAAGATGGGTTCCCGACAGGACCGTATAAATCAAAATCCTTCATTAAGCTTATGTAATGCCGCGTAAAACGAAATAAACTCCCAAAATGTGCTCAATTCAGTCATTTATTTAGCTTAAACAAAAGCACAACATTTTAAAAACCTTACCAAGAATATTTCATGAATAAAAACAAATAGCAAAGTCCTTAATCCTTCTCTGTTACGTAAAGTCGTAAACGATCCAATATTTTAATTTTTCTTTCCATGGATATAACATAATTTTTCGTCCATGTTTTTCACACAGATTCCATATTATAAAAAAACCAAAAAGCTATGTAATTGATGACTTACCAGTTCTAATACTCGTAGTAAGAAATATATGTTTTTTTAGCTTGCTTTTACACGAACACATTGTTATTGTGAATACATATTGAGGGAACGTATTTCCCAAATTGTATTTTAAAATCTCTGGCAATCCTACTTTATTCCTATCAGTGTTGTCAAATGAATGAGTCCACAAAATGTTAATGATATGAATTCGTTAATTTATAAATCGGCTAAATGCGAATTCATGTAAAACGTGTAAATAGGGGGATGGGTGTAATAATAAGTCGTCGTTTTTAAATTATTTATTACTTTACGTAACGTGGAGTTGTGACGCGTGTGTACCACTGCGCTCACAGTTGACAACCTGTCGATAGTATATTGACATTGGTGATAGCATGAAATACTGTCGCAGTAAAAGCATGTAATAATGAAATAAATTTTTTTAGTAATAATACTGAATAATAAATTTTATTGTTGTTTTGGCTACTGTACTTTGAACTGCCTTTATTAATAAATATATTTCATTTGTTTGTAATTGAAGTTTTAATCATTAAAACTAAACTTTAAAAACCTAAAAAACTAAACAACCTTTAAGAATAACAATGTTTATTTTCTATAACTCAATTGCACAAATTTTTTGTTGATGATTATTTGATTTTTTATAAACTCATCTTAATACAATAAATACAATGGCGCTTGAACTAAACTATTTTTTAATTTTATTATATACAATTCTTTGACTAACAAGGCAAGCTTATGTCTTACCTCATTATTTTATTTTTGTTAATACCAGACTTTTTGGTTTCAATGATAGTGTTAAAAACCTAAATAATCAAAGTTCTTTTTAAATATTTTTTACGTCATTTAAAACTATATTAATAAACAATTTCATTTTTTGATAGTAGGACCAATATATTTAATCTTCTCTAAAATTCTCAGGACTGCAAATGTCTTCGGAAAGGGTTAAAAGAGTATAAAATAAACACATACATAATGTATATATTTTGCTACACAATTAAAGTTGAACTAAATTATTCAGATTTTTTTTGTTTAGTGTAACTATGAAATGTTACAAAACATTAAAAATACTCGTAACGCCAAAAATATCTCCTGGTCTAACCATAATACATTTTCTACTACTTTAAATAAAGAAGGAAAAGCGTAATAATTAACATAATTATAAATTAATCAATTAAGCCATTATTTGGATACACCCAATATGTTTAACATGGGTAAGTCTATGGTTAAATCAATTCACCAGGTTTCAGTTGCTCCAATTGCTTCCTAAACCCATCGTTTGGTCTTACAGCTGGTCTTTTCGTCTTCACGAGCTCGTGCGCTTCGTCGAAACTCATATTCTCATATTGCATCAGATATCCTATAGCCACAGTCGAAGTCCTAGACACACCCGCATTACAATGCACAAGAACATTCTGTTTCAAGAGCACGCAGTCACGTAGATACGGCAGACTCTTCTCGAGTAAAGGCCTCACATCGATTTCCGGTAAATCGAGACAATCGATATATTTATAATCGATTTTCAGTGGTACTTTGACGCCTAAACTTAACACGTGCCTGATGTCGTGCTGTACTAGCACGTTCTCGGCCGTGCAATCCTGCGACCCTACGTATAGATGTTCCGTGATCAAGGCGGGCGTATTGTCAGGTTTATTGTCTACGACAAAGCCGTACGCATTGGGACTGAGAATAATTTTCTCGTTGGTTTTGCTTTCTATATACCTTTGTCCGTCGGCATTTGTTACAATCGTATCTGCTCCTTTCAGTTTTATTTTTTGCTTCTGTAACTGGTCCGCGAAACTCATGTTGATTTGAAATAAAAACGTGTTTATCAAACGATTCGATTGGTTCACTTATTTATTAAATATATACAGCGTGTTGTTTTACTATCCTCTCTGTTTTATTCTACTGATTAATATAACAGTTCAATCAAATGTTACTACTGTAAGGATCAGTAGGAGTTCTCGCACACATATTATGATTCAACGAGTGTTTCACTTTCAACAGTAGTATCGGGGTCGTAAAACAGGTCTTTAGGGTCGTATTCCACTTCGCAAAGATATAGACCGTCCGAAGGGCAGTTCTGTATGAAAGAATGCCACGAGTGCTTCGATGGTATCTGGAGCATAAACTTGACGTCGTCAGGCTGGAGTTTGCCGATGGCTACTGATATCAGAGTGCCTACCATGCGCCGAATCTGAAATGTTAAATTTTAAAATCTTGTAATAGGATTGTGGCGGGTAGTTATGTATGGGTAGGTAGGTTATGTTAACCCTCAGATACAGCCCACTGAGTTTCTCGCCGGATCTTCTCAGTGGGTCGCGTTTCCGATCCGGTGGTAGATCCGGCGAAGCACGGCTCTTGCTAGGGTTCGTGTTAGCAACGTCGTCAGGTTTGAGCCCCGTGAGCTCACCTACCGAAACTGGAATAGTCTCTTAGGCTAGCGAAAGGAAAGCCTGAGACCTGTTTAGAGATATAAATTTAACATTTTCCAACTTATATCCGACGAAGTCTTATCTACAACCTATTTGTAAGTTGATTATTTCTTGTTGTTTGATGTTGCTTTTAAAAATAATATTATGTCCAAGTGCTTGGCAACACTGAGAACCTTTAACAGATTTTTTTAATTTTTTTATTGCTTACATGTGTGGACGAGTTGACAGCAAAATAAATGCGCCACCCACCTTGAGATATAAGTTCTAAGGTCTCAGTATAGTTACAACGGCTGCCGCACCCTTCAAACCGAAACGCATTACTGCTTCATGGCAGAAATAGGCGGGGCGGTGGTACCTATCCGCGCGGACTCACAAGAGGTCCCACCACCAGTAAATTATATTTCGATCCTCACCTGATTATGTACAAAAGCGCGTCCGTGGAATTCGATATCCCAATAATCGAATGCACTCCCCCTGCTCTCCGTGTGCGCAGTCACAACGGGTTTACCCGCCCTTATTGTTACGCTCTTCAACTCTCTGCGGTTGTGTTTGTGTTGGAGTAGTTTGTCGAATTTCTTGAACGTCGAGAAGTCGTGGTAGCCTTCTAAATGTTTAGCTCCTTCTTTGAATTTTTCTATGTCGAATTCTGCTAATCTAAAGAAAAAATATTTTTGTAAAATATTGTTACTTGGCAGTGTTTAATTTACAAACATTGTCATGTGTTATTAATATATTTGCCAAAACGCACATGTTTTTCAGAGTGTACTGATGAGGATCACAGTTTATCTAGTACCAAGGAGTTACAAGGGTCTATAAAAATGACAGTTTGAACTAGACTTTTTCCCCCAGATTCAAGGCGTGTGATGGTACTCTGGATCATTGCCTAACCAGTAAAAGCTAAAACTTAAAATAATATAAGGAGATACAGGTAGCCATAGACAATTGCCGTTATGATGGTACTTTTTACCTGATGAAGTGGCACCGTTTCCATTCTTCCACAGGTATGACAGATGCTATAGAGACATTCTCTGGTATCACTACATCTTTTTTTAGCACTGCTAGTCTGAAATGTAATGTTTTATTAAATAAACCTACTGATGATGTTCACATTGGCCATGTCAGGTTACATCATCATCGGTCATCAAAATAACTTATATCTATGAATGAAATCATGAATGTGAAATCCCGAATGATTTGATGATATATTATCTTTTATTTAAGGAACTAAGCTAACTGACTGCCTAACATCTCAATTACACCCCCACTACATTTGTAGTCTCCGAAGACCCGGGTTAGCAGGGAACCAGGGATTGTGGGCCTAACTCTACGAACCCTAGGAATCTATTGTGTTAAGCTCCAAATCAGCAGTTTCCTGCTAGCTTTGGTCTTCAGAGTTTATAAATGCAATAAATTATGGCAAATAGATATTTTGAAATGAAAATTTCCGACAAGTCGTCGTAGCCTAAAGGATAGGACGTCCGATGCATTCGTATCTAGCGATGCACCGGTGTTCGAATCTCATAGGCGGGTACCAATTTTACTAATGAAATACGTACTTAACAAATGTTCACGATTGACTTCCACGGTGAAGGAATAACATCGTGTAAAAAAATCAAACCCGCAAAATTATAATTTGCGTAATTACTGATGGTAGGACCTCTTGTGAGTCCGGACGGGTAGGTACCACCGCCTTGCCTATTTCTGCCGTGAAGCAGTAATGCGTTTCGGTTTGAAGGGTTGGGCAGCTGTTGTAACTATACTGAGAATCTCAAGGTGGGTGGCGCATTTACGTTGTAGGGCTTCAGTAACCTATTAACATCAGGTAGCTGTGAGCTCGTCCACTCATCTAACCAATAAATAAATAAAATTAATTATTCATCTGGTAATTTTTGGAAATCTTATTGTTTTTATCTGTGAATCTCTTTAATGCAAGTATTGAGGAGCAACAAAATATAATATGCAATATGCATATAACATGTAACTTATTGTGTTGATTTTGGTTGGAACTAATATCTATTTTTTTAATTTTATTAAAAAAAATTGAAAACATTCAGATGCAATAAACTGATTGATGGTGGTTATAATTATGCACACATATATTGTTGTTGTATAGGTTAAATACTTAAATCATTTTCATACCTATATAAGTATCTCCTGGAAGTGGCATTGAACCTTGCATTAAAATTATCTGACACCCTGAGGCACTGCTTCACAATTATACCTATGTTGTTGACAAAGAAATACCTATTCATAAGGTATGAAATATTGTTTGCATCATATATCTGTGTACCATATCTTTCCAGATCAAAATGTGCACTTGATTTCAATGCATGGACTCCTCCATCTGTTCTGTAACAAGGTGATTTTAAAGAAACACCACATACAGTAAAGATCTTTATTCAGGTATGAGCAAGTTTAGGGTGGTGAAACTCGTAATGTTCATTTACTGGAGTCTTGAAGCACACAGGGGAAAGTATCATCACCCTTCCTATTACTGCTATGAAGCAATAATGCGTTTTGATTTAAAATGTGGGACAGCCATTGCACTATAAAGCTGAGACTTAGAACTCATGTCAGTTGGTTGAAGGCATTAAGATTGATGTCTATGGGCTCTGGTAACCACCATGTGGGCCTTGAGATGGTTCATCAATTTAAGTAAAAACAAAAAAAATGCATTATAAGATTTTCACTTATTTGTCTGTTTTTTTTTTTTTATTGCTTATATGGGTGGACGAGCCCACCTGGTGTTAAGTGGTTACTGGAGCCCATAGACATCTACAACGGAAATAGGCGGGGTGGTGGTACCTACCCGTGCGGACTCACAAGTGGTCCTACCACCAGTAATTACGCAAATTATAATTTTGCAGGTTTGGTTTTTATTACACGATGTTATTCCTTCACCGTGGAGGTCAATCGTGACTATTTGTTGAGTACGTATTTCTTTAGAAAAATTGGTACCAGCCTGCGGAATTCGAACACCGTTGCATCGCTTCAACACGAATGCACCGGACGTCTTATTCTTGAGGCCACGACGACTTCAAACCACCTGGTGTTAAGTGGTTACTGGAGTCCATAGACATCTACAACGTAAATGCGCCACCCACCTTGAGATATAGATCTAAGGTCTCAGTATAGTTACAACGGCTACTCCACCCTTCAAACCGAAATGCATTGCTGCTTCACGGTAGAAATAGGTGTGGCCATGGTACCTACCCGTGCGGACTCATAAGAGGCCCTACCACCATTGCATTCCACAATACTATGCCAAAGTGTATATTATGTTTCACATATCATTATCCGTCCCGTAATGCACCATAACGTAAAGTCCTTTACCTTCTTCATTAAAACTCTAATAGTCTATCTAATGAGTAAGGTACTTTTTTTGAGTTTTTGTCTGTATAGTCTGTTATTGTGATAATAAGTCCCATTATTAGAGGTTCTTTATCATATCTTGATGCTCCAATGATACTTCAACTTATATTGAGCTACATCGGTAACCTTGGTCTATGGCAGTTTTCATTACTTCTAATTTTATCTATGAGAAAAATTCCAAATGTAGACTTTACCTATGGACGAGTGGTCTCCTATAGTGACTTTAGTGTTAGATCAAGATATATTACTTACATTTATACTGGGCGTTCCAGAAGGTAATGATAACTTGGTATCGGATGAAAGACCCTCTTATGATGTGCCAGTAATGAAAATCAACATTATACACAGAGTGGTATTCAAGCACCAACCATTTTATTGATAAACTAAAAATTCTTATCCAGAAATTTCCTACATAATAACTAGTTTTTAATGTTTGTAAATTTTATTACTGTTTTGTCCTTGTAAAAGGCCAGGTGCTGCCAAAACAAACAAGTCGGAAGCATATAGACGCTTGAAAGGTAAACGTGACTAAACGACAATAACTGCTTTATACATAAATGATAGGCAATAACCATATTCAATGCGTAAAAAAAATATATTTCTAGGTCTATTAAAATCATTTCAATCCTACAGCTAGATTCGTTGAAATAGAATTTTTTTCAGGTATTTCAACTTTAGTCTACTGTAAAGTTCACGCATTGTCACTTAGTCACATTTGGCTTTCAAGCGTCGATATGTATTTTTAGAAAAAAATAAGTGAATCTCATCAATAAAATGTATTGTAAATTTACTATCATTTAACTAAATTACGCATACTAAAAAATAATAATGAGCCAAGCAGGCAAGTTTTGTTTTAGGTTTCAGTAGTCACCGCATTTAGCTTACCGGCTAGACAAAGTAACGTTAGGATAATTCAAGGAGCGTAGTTTCAGAAGTGATAATTCCATCATACCCTGCACGCTTTCAGGGTCTGGTAGATTTCTGTTCTCCTTGAGCCAAATTTTTTCTGAAGACCTGTAATTTTTTTATACATTTATATTACGATCAGTTGTATTTATTTCTAGCTACCGATATGTTTAATGCAGATATTGTTTACTTTCCGCACCTAAACCCAGTACCTATGTAGGAGAAAAATGTTAAATAGCGTGCTTTCATTCTATTATGAATTTTCAACAGAATTTCCTAGTTTTACTTCACAAATTTGTATATTGTAATCAATTAAACAATAGTAGCATTAATTCTTGTCTATATCATACAAACAAGAAATCTGTTATCTGTCTGATTTAAGTTAGGTTATATGTCACTGTATAAAAAGTTGATTTTGCAAATGTCAAAGAGAATTTTTAGTAGGTAGGTAGTAACTATCTTATTCAGACCGAACTACCCTACCTCATATTTATCTATGGAACTATCTACTATGAACAGGCTATATTTACTATTTCAGGAGAAAGCATTTTATTGTTAATAACAGATGAACGCTTTAAAAATAAGAATAAAAATGTTAAAATAATAAATGATAAGTATTATTTAACAATTAGATACCATTTTACGAATGATTCTAATTTCTTTTTCTCGGAATGCTTCTTTTGAACCTTTCACTTTCACATGCTATCTGCCTCTCTGTCACACACGTCATATTTAAATAAAAACATGGCATTCAGGACGTGGCATTTGTCTACAGTGATAACATTATTATTTATTGTTTTATCACATGAAGGCGATGGTTTATCATCGTCAGCAGCACCATGGTACGAAAATCTACCTGCCGTTACCATGGATTACAAAGTCCACCTCGATGCTGGGAAGGAAGATTGTTACTTTCAATATGTTCAACCCGGTGCCACTTTCTACGCCAGTTATCAGGTAAATTAATATAGAAATATTTTACAGTCGTCTAGTCGTTCTGAGCATACGCGTAATACACTTAATTTATTTATTTTATTTTTAAATAATCAAACAGAAGACGGATTAAGTCAAACAGCTGTTTCCAATGTTTTGATGGAATATTTATTTATTTAGCTAGTTAATATACCAATATATTTAACTAGAAGTAAAATGTAAATTCTGTTGAAATTAGTTGTCTGATTGCAAGACTTTTTATTCAATTTCCTTTTTATTACATTTTTGAACAACCTCGCGCTCGCCTGGGGATAAGTGGTTATCGTAAGAAACGAGTAATGAGTATTACAACGTGTATGCAGCTACTCCCCTTGGCACATGAGGTCGATGTCTCAAAACTACTGTATAACAGCTGTAATGGTACAGACTTGAATACAATAATGTTTTGTGGCAGAAATAGGCAACATAATAGGTAAATTAGGTATTAGTAGTAGTAATAAAATGTAAGGCATAACTGTGTAATGCATACAGTGCGCTATGAGTAAGAATAAGAATTTATGTCAAAAAGGAAAATAAAAGTTAATTAAAAATAATTTTAGGTGTTGAAAGGAGGTGACGGCATGTGCGGGTTCGCTGTCCGTCATCCAAATGGCAAAATAGTTCATCCATATGAATGGAGACAAAGTGCAGAGTATGCTGATCAATCATCATCAGGTAAAATCTGAATTCTGATATATTTTAATTTTATTATATGTATGAGTTCAGTCCTTCCAGTCTAGACCTCTGACCTTCAACACTAAAATTAATAGAGTGGTTGTCTGAACATTTGAAACTATATATTGTAACATATTTAAGGCAGAAATAAGTAAGAAACTGTTTAGTATTTTTTCTTTTTCACATACAATGTGGTTTCTTGACTGGATAATTCGATTTCAATATCAATAGGTGAAATCTTATTTGTAGGCGGCTACTATGCTGTGTGTATTGACAACCAATTCTCAAGGTTTGCTGGAAAATTAGTTAATCTGTACTTGTCGGTGATCAGATACGATATGTGGGAGAAGTATGCGAAAGAGGTTGAGGAACTGGACATGAATATCAAAAATTTTACTGTAAGTTATTTTTTATTAATTAGTAGATTTATATTGGTGTAAGTTATCGCATAGGTGTACCATATATATCGACGCTTGAAAGGCAAACGTGACTAAGCGACAATGCGTGAACTTAACAGTAGACTAATTTAAAGTTAAAATTAATTTAAAATATACCTGAGAAATACCTGAAAAAAATTCTATTTAAACGAATATAGCTGTAGGATTGAAATGATTTTAATAGACCTAGAAATATATATTTTTTCGCATTGAATATGGTTATTGCCTATCATTTATGTACAAAGGAGTTATTGTCGCTTAGTCACGTTTGTCTTTCAAGCGTCGATATCCTTTGTAAAGATAAGTTTTTTTAATTAATTAGTTTGCATAATAAGTTTCCACCAGAGAAACCTCTTTCGAACATTATGTGTACTAAACAGTGTTTTAAGTCTCTCTCATAAAAATATAATTTCTTGCAGTCTTCCATTCAGTTTGTGGAGAGGAACATTAATGACATACTGCAGTACCAGTATCACTCGAGGGCGAGAGAATCTCGTGATTACAACCTGCTGTTAGACAACAATATTTATGTACTTAGGTATTTATTTTTTTGTTTTTATATTGTGTTTTACTCTTACGAACAATTGACGTGGCTTGTATTTTATTATGATGTAAATCATTTTGCCACAACCGGAAAACATAAACATATTATATTTTTGCATATGCATCTAATTTTTGGACTAAACAGGTGAACTAAACAGGTGCGATGATTCCATTTTCGAACTCAATTTTTATGAAAATCAGCAACAGCATGTCATCTGGGTAGCTGACATTTTTGACGCATATGTGTGCGTCAATGACAATGTAGAGAATTAGGTCTATGTAGCAACCGACTCTGGTGCCTCAGAACGATTAGTTCGTTTACGTATAGGCTGAAAAGGGCTGGTGAGGTAGTCCTCCCTTCCTCTCAACAAACAAAATTTTATAGACAGCGGCTTTGCTGCACTCTGGCATTGTTGATATCTATGAGCGATGGGGGTCACTTACCATCGGTTGGTCTTTATGTTCGTTTGCTAACATGACAATAAAAAAAGAATAAGTGAACTAAAGAAAGAACAGGTAGTGGACATGTCTGTATATTACAGAATACTTTTGTAAAAGAGTGGATACTGAGTTTTATTAATTTGCGTATTTATTGTTGTTGTTGGCTTTTAATCATTCATTACACTATTCACGAGACATCTCAGACTATAAGTAACAGGACTGTCTAAACAGTAAGGGCATATTAATAATGAGGTTTTTTTACAGGTGGTCAATAATACAAATCATAGCAGTGACGGCAACCGGCACTCTTCAGGTTTACTTTTTAAGAAAGCTGTTTGAAGTTAAAGACAACTCCTCAAAGACTCGGATATGATTTTATTTATTTTAAAGTGTTTCCTTTTCTATATTTCTTGACTGACTCTTATCATTCCAAACGACGTTGAAGTTTTAATATTTTTCAACTGGTCAATACTCTTTTTTTATTTTTATTTTTTTCTGCTGGCAACATTATCCTAAATGGTGTTACGCAAGTTACTAGAATTTTATTAAGGTTATACTCAGCTAGTTTTTAAAATGGAAATGTTCTTTATGAATATGTAGTACATACATACAGTATCAATTTTTTAAAATAATTAAGCGGCATTACTTTTTCAGTTAAAATTAAAATTTCTAAATGGGAATAAAACCTTTCTTTTATGTTAATAGCTCTCAATTGTTCTTCTTTCTTTCTATTAGACATGCAATATTGCTTAATTTTAATGTTTATCAGGAAAACATTTGTTAGGCATTCTTTTCTAATGACTGTCAATCAAATTGTTTTTTTGTTTTGTTTTTTTTGTAGTTTTATTTTTTCATTTATTTTATTTTGGATTTTTATTTATTTTTGTGATCTGATTAGATGAATAATTTTTAAAGCTTGCATTTTTTTACTTTTATTGTAAAATATATTTTTGATACGTATACAAAGCTACATTGAAATGAATTTACCTGTTGATTGTATTGTGACCAATGTAATTTATGAAATATAAATATTTTTCTGATCAGTTGTTTCGTTGTCAAAAAAGTGAGCCTTTTGTTGTTGCTCCTGGTGGTGACGAGCATATCTGGTGGTTATTGACGTGCAGTTTTACCGTCGCTTATGGACACTGGCAATGCCAGGGGCGTAGTCGGACCGCTGGCCGAGTTTTTATTTTATTGCTTTGATGGGTGGACGAGCTCACAGCCCACCCGGCGGTAAGTGGTTACTGGAACCCATTGACATCTACAACGTAAATGCGCCATCCACCTTGAGATATAAGTTCTAAGGTCTCAGTACAGTTACAACGGCTGCCCCACCCTTCAAACCGAAACGCATTACCGCTTCACCGCAGAAATTGGCAGGGTGGTGGTACCTACCCGTGCGGACTCACAAGAGGTCCTACCACCAGTAAAAATGCATGGTGTTATTAGTTATATATATTTTTTTCTGACAGATATGAGTAGAAGAATTATTATTTCAATAATATCTAATCAATAAGCAACCCACGCTTTTTTAAAAATAAAATATATTTTACACTATTTTCAATTTAAATTTGCTAAAATTTATTTTCTATTTTTTAGTTGAATTTTATATTTATATAAACGCTATATATACGCTTTAGCGTGTTATTTAGTTTTTTTAAACTATTGTTTATTTTTCATTTTTTAGTTAAATTTTCTAGAAAAGCGTATTTTTAAAACTATTAAGTACTTTAACATCAATTCCTGCCTTATCGACTATAGATAAAAATTGGCAAAAATCTTATTTTGGAAATTGAATAATGGAATAATCTTATCAAATTAGTGTATTGTCATCGGTCCTCGATAAATCTACAAAGTTTGAATGAAAACTGGCCGTTTAAAGTGGGTCAAAATCGCGTCTAAAGGAGTCAGTTACAAACATACAAGTGAAGCTAATATAAAGCGTGTAAAAATGCCTTTTTTCCCTACCTATGCTCATAGCCTTGAGAGGTTGGTGGTAGGACCTCTTATACGCTAGTGGTAGGACCTCTTATGAGTCCGCGCGGGTGGGTACCACCACCCTGCCTATTTCTGCCGTGAAGCAGTAATGCGTTTCGGTTTGAAGGGTGGGGCAGCCGTCGTTACTATACTTGAGACCTTAGAACTTTTATCTCAAGGTGGGTGGCGCATTTACGTTGTGGATGTCTATTGGCTCCAGTAACCACTTAACACCAGGTGGGCTGTGAGCTCGTCCACCCATCTAAGCAATAAAAAATAAATAAATAAAAAGGCTATTTCAGCTTCATCCTGACGTGTAGGTAAGCTCACGGGGCTCAAACCGAAAGTGTTGCTAACACTGGCCCTAGAAAGAGTAGTTAGTGCTTCGCAGAATCTACCACCGGATCGGAAACGCGACCCGCTGAGAAGATCTATGGGTTAATTTACTCGTCGAATCCTTTGTCGCAATTGACGGGCTCGGCGATGACGGTGACCGGTGCTTGAGGTACCTAAAAGCACCGTTAATGGATCGGGAGGATCCGTAATGATAAAAATTGACGTTAGTTAGACAGTATTTTGATGTCGACTAATAACATCTAACTTAACTAATAACATTAAAGACCACGAAAACTGTAACGATTTCAATATTTTTGAAATAAACCTAAACGTGACTAAGCCGTAAATTTTTCTTTAACTATGTCTACGACCCGCAAAATCTTCACTTCGAAAACACGGTGCGACACGATAACCCTCTCATCGTGGCCGCCGGAAACTAAATACCCGATTCTGTGGACCTAACGGTAAACAGTCGCCGTCACCCAAAACACGTCATTTCGGATCCTATCGATCATTTAGGCATTCCAAGCACCGGTCACCATTCTCGTCGGACCCTCTCAGTGGGTCGTGTTTTCGATCAAGTTGTAAATTCTGCGAACCATTGCTCTTGCTAGGGCTAGTGTTAGCAAATTCGCCAGGCTGAGCCCCGAGAGCTGCCTACACGTTCGGTGACGCTGGTATATGGATATGTGGTTTGTTATTTACTCTCCTATTAGCGGGAAATTTGCACTCAAATATAAATAAGTCAAACACACTATTTTATAAACACGAATGTTTTGGTAGTGTACCTACAGTATTATAATGTTAACAGGAAACGGAGAAAACCAAGCTACGCACTATGTGATACTAATTATATTATAGGTATTATGAAGATATTATTTTTATATTACACTTTAAATCGGTGCGCGAATCTTGTCGATTGACATATAGTGACGTCTGCGTATTTGGGAATTCCGATTGCTCCCGAAGACGCCCTAGTGCGACTTGATTTGTAATTGTTGCACGCTACTGATATGGTACGGCTGGTTGCGAGGTGAAAGTCCCAGAGGCGTTTGCGTAATAGCCGTTCGTATAATTTGCCTAACAATGGGAGGAGGTTGTTGGGGCGGTAGCTCGCGGGTTCGTTTTTAGTTTTTCCAGGTTTGTGTATGCAGATAACGTCCGGTGCTTTCCACACCGGGGGAAAGATGCAGTTCGTCATAGTGACATATAAATTGGAGACCAGCATGATTATTAGTTGAGCAGATAACATTTCTACGAGTAAAACCAGGTTCTGGTTAAGACGATAATAGTTACTTGTCACCATCGGAATGTTCTTTAAAACGCTATTGACACTGTACTGTCAAAATGTAGGCAGCGGCTTGGCTCTGCCCCTGGCATTGCTGAAGTCCATGGGCGACGGTAACCACTCACCATCAGGTGGGCCGTATGCTCGTCTGCCTACAAGGGCAACAAAAAAAAATGTAAAAATAATAATATTTAGATTATAGTATTATGCAATTACTAAAAAAGTCATGACGGAACGTTACTCGCTGCATCGGTAGCATCAGGAACGAGTGGAGGGATAGACTCTGGCAACCCGGAGACTCTCTAGCCCAGGGGCTCCCAAACTTTGGGGCCTGCAGCGCTTCTCTAGCCTGTGACCGAGCGATAAACGAAACGGTAAGGATTGATCGATTAACGATTATCACATTTAAAGGACTCACACATCTGACCATAACATGTATTGTTTTCACGATTCATGATGTTTTTGGACAATATTCACTAATTTCAATTAATGACATTCGAATTCTTATCGATAAGAGATCTAATTATGCAGAAAGAATATAGAATATCAGAGATCCTATCGATAAGAGACGATTACGGGTGCGTGACAATGCATATCAGATTTATTTTATTTAACAGGGATTGTCGCTCCGTTATCATTTTGAGCTACAGGTCCTAACTATATAAATATCTGACAGCGTCCAAACAGCACATTCCCAGTGCAAGTATGCTGCGATTGGTTGCTCTGTTAGGCTTGTTGTCGGCGGTGGCTGCCCGGTTGAGGGTAGACCCCCTTGTTGATACTCAGCGGGGACTCATCAGGGGACTGAGGTCCGAAAATGGAAAGTTCGCGAAGTTTTTGGGCATACCGTACGCACTAGTTGATGAGAACAATCCTTTCGGGGTGAGTACGAATATATTTTTTCCTACCTATTCTAGTAGCCTTGAGGGGTTATGCTAGATTCACAGAATGAGTAGTTAGGTGAGCTGACGGGGCTCTAACCTGACGACGTTGCTAACATTAGCCCTAGCAAGAGCAGTGTTTCGTAGAAGCTACCACCGGATCGGAAGCGCGACCCACTGAGAAGATCCGCTGAGAAACCCAGAGGGTTGTGTCTGTGGGTTAATTTACTCGCCGAGCCCTTCGTCGCAAGCGACGGGTTCGGCAAGGATGACGACCGGTGCTTGAGGTACCCAAAAGCATCGTTAGTGGATCAGCAGGATCCGAAATGACGCTTGAGTACAAATGAGTGTATTTTGAAGTATCGGGGTCTAAGATACTTATTTTTACCAAAACACGAATCAGTTAAATATTAGTTATATGGATGCGATAGATGTTATAATGTACAAAATTCAATGAATATGTTTGGGTTCATATTGTAACTTTATTCGGCGTTTATATTATTATTTTTTAAAAACGAAAGCCAAAATTTTACGCTTCTCTCCAGAGGTTCTAAAGTGTTAAGTTTGTTTACAAGCATTCAGGAGAAGAATTCTAAACCTATTAATTAAAATAAACAATCTAACATTACAATACTCGTAATAATTGTAATATTCTATCGAAATCAAAGAACATGTTATTTTTCAGCCATCAGTACCACACCCTGGTTTCGAAGAGACATTCGAAGCATACGATGATTCCGTAGTTTGTCCTCAAGTTACTAAGGGCGTCGGAGTTGGTAGTCTTCAGTGTTTGAACCTGAACGTTTATGTCCCAAACACGGCTACATCGCGCAACAAGCGCCCCGTGATGATTTGGATCCACGGAGGAGGCTTCGCCACCGGCAGTGGGACAGGCAGGGACTTCTCCTACGACGACCTGGTCCGACATGACGTCATCGTCGTATCGGTCAACTACCGACTCGGACCCTACGGGTTCTTATGCTTGGACAGTCCTGATATTCCCGGGAACCAGGGTTTGAAGGATCAAGCTCTTGCTCTCAGATGGATTAAGGAAAATATCGAAGCGTTCGGCGGAGATGTCTCTAAAATAACCTTGTTCGGAGAGAGTGCTGGTGGCATCGCTGTCGAGCTACACCTACTGACCGACCAGGATAAACTGTTCAATCAGGTGATCATCCAGAGTGCATCTGCTTTCTTTGCTGGGGGTATTAGGAAACCTAGCAACCGTGTTCCAATAGAAATAGCAAGCCAGCTGGGATTCGAAACTGACAACTTCGTAGAGGCGGTAAAGTTTCTGGCCGGTCAAGACCCCCACCTGGTGGTCGCAGCCAGCACTT